GTGTTTCTCTCTCTTGCCCCTCCTACCCTCTTCCCCTCTCTCCCCTCCCCCCCCTCCTTCCGCTCCCACCCTCGGCTCCCCTACTCACAGGGTGGCTGTCAACACCAGAAGCTTCTTAATTCACAACTCACCCGCCTCCCCGGCTCTTTCCTCGCATCCCTCCCTTTCCCCCCTCCCCCAACCCCCCCCCCCGGCCCCTCTCCCCCACTCACAGGGTGGCCCTCAACACGGGAAGCTTCTTAATCCGCAATTCACAGGTGAGCATTCCTGTCACTTTCACCGCGCCACGCCATCGTGGCCACGTTGCCATATTTCTTCCGTGTGCTGCGCGCTCCATTCCATGTCTCCCCTCCTTCCCCCATCTTTCCCCCCTATTCCCCTCTGCCACCACTCCTCCCCGAACCCTTCCCTTATCATCCTCCCCGCCCCCCCGCTCCCCACCTCTTCCCTGTTCCCATCCCCTCTCCTCCCTCGCTGCCCCCGTGGTTACCAGCTGCTGCCATTGTGGTTACCACATCCCCTGGTTACTAGCTGCTGCCATTGTGGTTACCATATCCCCTGGTTACCAGCTGCTGCCATTGTGGTTACCATATCCCCTGGTCACCAGCTGCTGCCATGCTGTCACCTTTTAATGTCTCCCTACTCCCCTTCTGGTTACCAGCTGCCGCCATTGTGGTTACCAACCGCCTCTCCTTGTGCTGTCTGAATCTCTCTTTGCATCCCCCGCTTGCATCCCTCTTGCATGCCTCCCTTGCATGCCTCTTGCATGCCTCCCTTGCATGCCTCTTGCATGCCTCCCTTGCATGCCTCTTGCATGCCTCCCTTGCATGCCTCTTGCATGCCTCCCTTGCATGCCTCTTGCATGCCTCCCTTGCATGCCTCTTGCATGCCTCCCTTGCATGCCTCTTGCATGCCTCCCTTGCATGCCTCTTGCATGCCTCCCTTGCATGCCTCTTGCATGCCTCCCTTGCATGCCTCTTGCATGCCTCTTGCATGCCTCTTGCATGCCTCCCTTGCATGCCTCTTGCATGCCTCCCTTGCATGCCTCTTGCATGCCTCCCTTGCATCCCTCTTGCATGCCTCCCTTGCATCCCTCTTGCATGCCTCCCTTGCATGCCTCTTGCATGCCTCCCTTGCATGCCTCTTGCATGCCTCCCTTGCATGCCTCTTGCATGCCTCCCTTGCATGCCTCTTGCATGCCTCCCTTGCATGCCTCTTGCATGCCTCCCTTGCATGCCTCTTGCATGCCTCCCTTGCATGCCTCTTGCATGCCTCCCTTGCATGCCTCTTGCATGCCTCTTGCATGCCTCTTGCATCCCTCTTGCATGCCTCCCTTGCATCCTCTTGCATGCCTCCCTTGCATGCCTCTTGCATGCCTCCCTTGCATGCCTCTTGCATGCCTCCCTTGCATGCCTCTTGCATGCCTCCCTTGCATGCCTCTTGCATGCCTCCCTTGCATGCCTCTTGCATGCCTCTTGCATGCCTCTTGCATGCCTCCCTTGCATGCCTCTTGCATGCCTCCCTTGCATGCCTCTTGCATGCCTCCCTTGCATCCCTCTTGCATGCCTCCCTTGCATCCCTCTTGCATGCCTCCCTTGCATGCCTCTTGCATGCCTCCCTTGCATGCCTCTTGCATGCCTCCCTTGCATGCCTCTTGCATGCCTCCCTTGCATGCCTCTTGCATGCCTCCCTTGCATGCCTCTTGCATGCCTCCCTTGCATGCCTCTTGCATGCCTCCCTTGCATGCCTCTTGCATGCCTCCCTTGCATGCCTCTTGCATGCCTCTTGCATGCCTCTTGCATGCCTCTTGCATGCCTCCCTTGCATCCCTCTTGCACGCCTCCCTTGCATGCCTCTTGCATGCCTCCCTTGCATCCCTCTTGCATGCCTCCCTTGCATCAGGACGGGCTTGACTTTTTGGACGACTGGGGGCAGTACGGGGTGCCACTGCCTTGCTTCCATGTGCCATTCACCCTCTTAAGCCCGTCTGCACCCCTCTGCACCCATCTGCACCCCTTGGCACCTGCCGTGTTCTCTCCCCCCACAGGACGGGATTGACTTTCTGGACGACTGGGGGCAGTACGGGTACTCGGAGAAGGTCACAGTCAAGTGGGGGAGATAGCCAGCAGGGTGCTTCAGGTGATTGCTGGGAGATGGTTCAGGTGATTACAGCAGAGTGGTTCAGGTGACAACAGCAGAGTGGTCAAAAAGTTGATCAAAGCAGAGTGCCTCAGGTGATACCAGCAGAGTGCCTCAGGTGATACTAGTGGAGCACAGGCTGTGTAGCTAAGTTGACCATTTCTGACTGGTAAGGTATGGGGAGAGAATGCAAGGGCTAGCCTTTTCACTCTGAAAAAACAAGTGTGACCAACGGAACGAGCGCCCTGTTCCGTTCCTCTCCATGCTGTCTCCCTCGCTCCCTCCTTCCCTCGCTTCTCCCCCTGCTCTTCCTCTCTCTTTCCTTCCCCTCCTAGTTCCCTGTCCTAATCACTCTCTCACTCCCCTTAACCGCCCCCACCAGAAGCGCAAGAACTGGCCGGCGGACGACCAGACGGCTCTGGTGCTGATGCTGACAGGGGAGGGCGAGAAGCCCCAAGACAAGGCCAAGCGGCTCATGCCGCTTTCCCTCTCTCCCACCCCTCTGACACTCTCTTGTCCTCGTTATAATCGCTCCCCTTGACAGAAACGCAAGAACTGGCCGGCGGACGACCAGACGGCGCTGGTGCTGATGATCACTGGGGAGGGCGAGAAGCCCGACGACAAGGCCAAGGGGCTCAAGCCGCTGGCGGACCGCTGGGCCCCTCGCATGCACCTGGACCCCACCTACACCCTCCATGGCTTCTGGGGGATCTTCGTTGACAAGTAAGTGCCTGAGTGCCTGAAAGGGGATAAGGCTGTAGCAACGGGGCAGGCACCAAGGTCACTGGCCGGCCACTGGGCCCCTCGCACCCACATGGCCTGGACCCCACGTGTACCCTCCATGGCTTCTGGGGCATCATTGTCCACAACTCAGTGCATTGATAGGACTCAGACCGGGCGGTTTTGAGGTTAGCTGTTACACTTAGGGCTCAAACCGTTAGCAAACCGCTGGGCCCCTCGCACGCACCTGGACACTCCTTGCACGGGTTCCTAGACAAGTGAGTGCATTGATACAGCTCGCACTGGGCTGCAGGGAGGTTAGCCGTTAAATATGGGGGGCTCAAACCTCTGGCGGACCGCTGGGCCACACGCACGCACCTGGACCTTATACTCATTGGCACTGGGAGACTGAAAGCCGTTCACGTTGCACTTCACCCACCGTCCACTAGGCGCCTACTTTCTTGCTGACCGCTGGGCCCCCCGACGCACCTGGACTCCACCTATACCCCTCGTGCTTCCCCTCTTTCCATCCCCTCGCCTCACCCCTTCCCCTTCAGGCTGGAGCAGATTCAGTCCAAGTACCACAACGGCAAGGGTGACTGGCGGTGGCCTTTCGCTGTGCATTTACACGCTCTCTCATCATCCTCGTTTCACCTCCCCTCTCTCCCATCCTCCTCTTATCCTCCCTTTTCCTCCCTGCACCTCCCCATCAGGCTGGAGAAGATCCAGTCCAAGTACCACAACGGCGTCGGGGACTGGGAGTGGCCTTTCACGGTGCACTTCACCGGGTGCAAGCTGTGCGACCGCAAGTTCACTGACTACGACCCCGAGACGTGCGACCGTGGAATCCACCGGTGAGTGGGATGTAGGGTGGCGATACTCACACTGTGAGGGGAGTAGGAGTCCTCCCGATGCACTTCACATGTGGTGCAAGCTGTGCGATCGCAGTTTCACTGATTATGATCTTGAGACGTGCGACCGCAGCATCCACCGGTGAGTGGGGGGTGCAGAAGGGGTTTGCAGGTACTGTGAGAGTAGTTGGAGCCTTCGCGACGCACTCACATGGGGTGCAAGCTGTGTGGTTGGAAGTTAATGGATTATGATATTGGGACGTGTGACCGTGGCATTCACCGGTGAGTGTAAGGTGGCGTCGAGGCATGCATGTACTATAAGAGAGATAGAGGCATTCCCTGTGCACTTCACGAGGTGCAGGCTGTGCGACCACAAGTTCACAGATGGGGAGCTTTAGGTGGGGGGGAGGTTTGCAAGTACTGCAAGCGAGATTGCACTTCACGAGGTGCGGGCCTTGCGATCACAAGTTCACGGATTATGACGCCGAGACGTGTGAGTGACCACAGCATCCACTGGTGGGTGGAGGATAGAGTGGGAGGTCTGCATGTATTGCGGGAGGGACTGCGTCTTGTCTTGTACAACCAGGCGCTCAAGAGATATGGTCTGGAGCATGCCTTTTTCCATTTGCCAAATAGGCCTTTCTCTCCCCCGCTCTCCTCCCACTTCCATGTCATCCCCTCCCTTCACTCGTTTCTGTTGCTCAAGAGATACGGCCTGGAGCATGCATGCCTTACTCTTTCCTCCTCCCCTTTCGTCCACCCTTCTCTCTATTCCGCTCCTTCACAATCCCCTTGGTGCATGCGCCTTTGTGGGCAACCAGATGCGCACGAGGTATGTCGTGGAGCCTGTAGTCGGTGCTTCCTTCCCCTGACCTACTCCGTCTCCTCTCTTCTATGCTCCCACACGATCCCCTCAGCGCGTACGCCTTTGCGGACAACCAGGTGCTCAAGAGATATGGCCTGGAGCACGCAAACCTCAATGACACTGCCATCACGAAAATTGGAGCGCAGACAGCATGATTCTGGGAGGTGTACCGTGTGGGGAAGTAATGTGGCAGGAAGAAAGCACCACGCTCATGTCATGTGTGCCATTACAGTACCCTGTCATTTGTTAGATCAGATTTCGGATGTGGGGGTATGAAGTTCGTAGCTGCACTTCAAGTTGGAAAACCCTGTAGGCATGTACTTTGTATAACAGGCTAGCTGCTCCCACGTGAGTACTACTGTTTGACGACTTTTCACACCCCGCCGGACAACATACGCAACACAAATAAAATACAATTTCATGGGACTGTTGTGGGCAACTGTTGTGGTCGTAGGTCGGGAGATACGAAAACTGTAAAACATCTAAGGTCGGGACGCGGAGTACAATATGGTGGGGCTCAACGGCATTAAATTCATGGTGCAGCAGAACTGGGACTGGAAGTCGGGCTCGTGCGTGACGCAGGCGATTTAGTAGGCCCCCTACACTAGAATCCCTTCAGCTAGTGGTTGCTGAACGGAGGAACAAGACGGGACGGAAGTTCAAGTCAAGAAATTCTATATTACATACCAACTTTCCGATGCTGCAGGACGCAGGATCCGCTAGGCCGAAGCTTCTCACTTTCACAAACAAGAAGCGCTTGAGTCTAGTCGCCGTGGTCCAAGTGCTTGCCCGACATAATATTTAGGCGGGAGCAGTCGAGAGTGCTCGAAGTTCCGCGAATCCGTATTCGCCGATTCGGAGTGCCGAACAACAAGTTGTGTGTGGTGGAGCCCAAGCTGAGCCGTAGAATGTTATCAATGCTATTGGTTGGTGTTGTACACCTGGAAGGGAGTGAAATCGGAACGAGTGGCTCTCCCGACCTCGATTTTGCCGAACGAGTGCAACACGCGCCCACACCACATTCCTCCACCACAGCTGTAGAAAGCCCACACCCGCCAAGTGGAACTATACATGAATGGCAACCACTTCAATGTACTTAGAATTTGCAGTTCTAGCAATGAACTTGCTGCAATAGAAGTGAACATAAACCCAGACTGTTGGAAATATCTCAAGGACTTAAGCGTTTCTGAAGTGTAACACTGTACTCGAGGAAGATTACAGGGGAGCACGCGAGTCAACGGAGGTTACACGAGGGGGCGGACAAAGAATGCGAAAGGACTCGAAAGGTCGCAACTGGAGGTTGCGACTGACCGTTACAACATCACGGATGGTAACCAAAGCGGCAATCGAGTCGCTGTGCGACTCGATAAACCGTTCCTGTAACTGTATTCTACAACTGCTTTCTCATCTACTATATATTGCTGTATGCTTGTTTCTTTAATCAATCACTTGTTCTCACATACTAGTACAAGGGTTCAACTACCTCAACTTCCGCTGCACTACTCCAAGTCTCAAGTCTTTACAGCTGGGACTTAGTCTCTGCAAAAGATCCCAAAGGGTTTTTCTCAGCCCAACATGGTATGAGAGCTGGTCAGAGACCAAACTCCCAGCAACTACGTCCTATCAACAACCTGCAACTCAACTCAATTCAACGACTTCATTGATTACAAGACATGGACAACAAGGGCAAGAAAGTCTCTACGGGCTCACCCAGCGCCCAAGAAACTCAACACGGCAACTCTGGTCTGCACACCTCAGGACTGCAGACAGAGACCGGGACTGCTCAAGAAACAACGGGAAGAGTACCAGAGATGGTGACCCCGTCTCCCTCTTCAAGTGTGGACCCGAATCTCATGGAGAGATTCTTCAGCTTCATGTCACACTTCGATCAGCAGCAGCAGACAAGGACACCTGCGCACTCAACACAGAGCAATGGAGGGAATATGGGATTAGCGCCGATGAGCCTCGACAACTCATCCTTCGGGCGACACAATCAAGCGCCTACCTTTGCGCCTTATCATTCTTCGCCGGGGACGTTCGAATTCATGCCGCCCCGTGCCCAGCCAACAGCAGCTGCTTCACAACAAACACCGAATGAAATCTTAAGTTTACAGGCGCAGTTCTCACACGTGATCAAACTTCAGACATCCTCACCGTTCAACGGACACGACTTCTTTACCTGGAGCTTCGAGTTCGAGCTGCTGATGGAGGCCGCGCATCTTCTGGGATACTTCAACGGGTCCCTGCCATTCCCAAGCAACGGCACTGGGAAGGAACAAGAGATCTTCACGTATCAGTCGCTGCTGGCGTACACGGTACTCCTGAGAAACCTGTCACCACAAGAGCAGCAGAGCATCAGAACGTATCGGAGTTATGGAAACTCCGCGGAGCTCGCATGGCACCACCTCAAATGCCTTTACCAAGCAAACGACAGCGTGACACAAAGCAGACTCATGCAACAGCTGACAACAATACAGATGAAGACCGGGGAAAAGGCGATGCAGTATATGAGTCGCTGCCAGACCCTCCGCGACCGCCTGCTTCGGTGCGGAGGAACGATCACTGAAGAAAGCTTCGTGACACTTGTCCTCGCCGGGCTCGGGCCAGAATGGAGAACCACACGATCACTTCTTCGAGCCCACGGAAGAATTTCGGAGATGCACCTCTGCGCCGAGCTTCACGCTGAACAACAGGAGATGGATCTGTTCGAGGAAAGACAACCAAGGAAGCAACAGCAGTTAGTCTTCTACACTCAAAGAAGAAATGACAACAACTACAACCGACGCAGCAAGCAAGATCAACGCGACAACCGAGGACTCACCATCGTGCCGCCGTTCTGCCACAACTGTCAGACTTCCGGGCACTCCAAGGTCAACTGCAACCGCCCTCGCGTTTACCGTGCAGCAGACCCACAAGTCGCTTCCACTCAAGCAAGTCCTCCAAGGCGCTCTTCAACATCTGCACAACAAACACCCAACATCATCAACTGCATGGTACACATCGACAACTGCGCACCCGCTTCACCACCCACTTACGCACCAGACGAAGAGGAATTCCCGCCGCCGCGCTCGCAAGGACTTCAGGTCAACCCGACATACGCTGCAGTCGCTAACGCCGAACCCACCGGGCGGAACACCTGGTTCTTGGACAGTTGCTGCGGTCAGCACATGTGCTCCTCCGGACGCTTCGTACAACACGAGCGACGCCTCAACCGTGACGTCGTCATCACCGTCGCCAACAACGAAAACCTGAAAACAAATAGACAAGGCGTGGTTCAGTTACAATCAATGGAGACAAACGTTATTCTTCAGCTCAACAAGGTCCTCATCGTCGACAATCTGGGATACAACCTATTAAGCGTAAGCCAACTAATGGCTAAGGGGATTCACCTGGAGTGCGACTCCTTCTCCAACGAGTTCCGACTTTACCACGGGAAGGGCGGTCTCTTCATCGGTCGTGCCCTCCTGAAGTCCGGTGTCTTCGTGTTGGACTTCGTCCCCGACCGCGGAACTGCCGACAGCGACGGTATCGTATCCTTCGCCGCCTGGACTCATCCGCCAGATCTTGATCCCGACTTCGACAGCGACGGCTTCTGGCACTCCAACACCATACCTGCAGCAGAAAGAACACGAGCATTAGCAGTTATCAGACAAGAAAGACAAGTACCCGCATGTGTCCCAACAAAACCATCACCTGCAGTATCGGCAGCAGGACCCAGCCGAGTACCACCACCAGCGACACGAGGACAGCCAACCGAAGCAGACCAACTTATGCCCGCCACACGAGAAGCTTGTCGAAGTCCCGCCTCGGTCGTCGCGTTCTTCTCCAACGCCGACATCTACCACCGCTCGCCCGGTCACCGCGCTCCCGACGACATCTGGCACCAACGTCTCGGACATCCTGCAAACAGCACGATACTTCAAACAATCCAAGCAGAAGTGTTAGAACGCAACGCCCTTCTGACGACGAGCGGCCAGGAACTCCGACGACCACGCGCACGGTGTTTCACATGCCCCGAAGCAGATCTTCCTCATCAACCTTTCCCAGCCCATCACAATCCAAGCGCACCCACTTACGCTCCGATGGAAAAGGTCTACAGCGATATTCTAAACATGCCTCGAGACGACACCGAAGCCGACTTCAACTACGTCATCACGTTCATCGACGCCGCAACCAGATACGTCTGGCACTTCAATCTCAAAACGCGCGATCAAGCCTTCGAGGCATTCACCACATGGCTTCCAATTGCCGAACGAGAGTCAGGAACCAAACTCAAGAGTTTCCAGTCAGACGGTGCACTGGAATACCAGTCACAACGCTTCAGGACCTATCTCGCGGAAAGGGGAATCCGACGCCTGGTGTCTCTGCCCTATGCTCACCAGCAGCAGGGAGTAGCAGAACGCATGAACCGGACCTTGCAGACGACGATGCGAAAACTGCTTCTGGGGATGAGGCTGCCCAACGCACTGTGGCCAGACGCGATGACACATGCAGTCCACCTGCACAACCTGTTGTCCTCGTCATCGCTCCCCAACAACGCATCACCACACCTGCTGTGGACGGGAAAAAGGGGCAGCACAAAATTACTTAGAGTTTTCGGCTGCATGGTACAATACAGACCCCACACAGCTCAAGCAGGACGCTTCACTCAACGAGCTCGGTGGGGACTACACCTCGGCATCGCCAAACATTTTCACGCGTGGAAGATCCTCGACATACAAGACAAAAATACGGTGGCATCACGTGATGTTATCTTCTACGAGCGACTGACGCTGCAGCATTACCTGGACAACATTGCCAACTCAGACGACCCCACCGACGGCTTCGCGGGCCTTCGCTCCTTCGCTGACCATGCTGCCGAGGCTGACGCAGCAGAAGAAGACGTACCTGGAGCCTCGGAAGCTGCCGGGCCACTCCCATTCTGTTCCATACCTGTTCCACTCGATGAAGATAATCCCCTCGATAGCAACAACCTCGACACCTTTTACCACTTCGCCGACCAAGGTTACGCTACACCGCACCCCGTCGACACGAATATTTCGGAACGCATCGGCCCCAATTTCTTACCTGACCCCGAAGACGGTGACGAAGCAGCTTATTCCGGGAATGACAATTCCCCTCGACACACACCCACGGGACTCCAGATTCTAGGCCTCTGGGTCTCCGTCCAGCATCCACCGCCGCCTTCTACGCGTGAGCCTTCAACCTTGTCGCAGGCTCTGGGGGGGAACATAAGGCAAAATGGAAAGAAGCGATGGAAAAGGAGTTAAAAGCTCTGCAAGACCGAGAAACATGGAAACTGGTACCTGCAACGAGCATCAACGGGAAGAACGTTCTCTCGGGGAAATGGGTGTACCGCATCAAGACCAACTCAGACGGCTCCATCGAACGATTCAAAGCTCGATGGGTCGTACGAGGCTTCGATCAACGATACGGAACCGACTACACAGAAACCTTCGCCCCAGTCTCCCGTCACACCTCATTACGCATCCTACTCGCCGTCGCGGCCACAAAAACACTACCACTACGCCAAATCGATGTCGCGAATGCGTTCCTATACGCACCTGTGGACGCTGAGATCTTCGTCGAACAACCCCACGGATTCATCGACGACCCCACGAAAATATGCCGACTGACAAAATCCCTATACGGGATCAAGCAAGCCCCGCGGCTCTGGCAGCAGCATCTTCACAGCCGTCTCGTAAAAATCGGCTTCCTACAGCTGCCGCATGACCAAGGGATGTACCGACTGCAGAAGGGAAGAGAGTATGTTCTGCTCATCGTCTACGTCGACGACCTGCTCTACATCGGCTCAACTACCGACATCGCCACCTGGTTCGAAGGGGAGCTGAAAGAAGATTTAACTCTCACGGTGTCCGACGAAGTTACGCAGTACCTAGGACTGAACGTCGTCGAAGACGACACGGCGTTCTACCTATACGCTGGAAAGTACTCAAGCACCGTCGCGAAGAAATTCGCTCTAACACCGACTGCGGTCCCAACTCCCTACCGCTACGGGAACAACGGCAGCGCCTCTACAAAACTCCCCGCGAAACAAATCCAGGAGTATCAACAGAAGCTCGGCTGCCTACTATTCGCAGCAGTAACCTGCCGACCCGACCTATCCTATAGTGCGAGTCAGCTGGCGACACATCTGAAGCATCCGCAACAGGAAGATCTCGAAGAACTCAATCGAGCGCTACTCTACTTCGTCTCCACGCCGACGATCGGGCTTACCTACAGCAAGGCAACAACACCGTCCGTACGACTACTCGGATACGTCGACGCCGACCACGCGGGAGACAGCGAAAATCGACGGTCTAGGACGGGCTACATCTACCGACTAGAACCTATCGGAACTATCTCCTGGCAGTCGAGCAAGCAGGAGTTAATCGCACTATCCTCGGCTGAAGCAGAGTATATCGCCCTTTGTACTGCGACCAAGGAAGGACTCTACCTACGAGAGTTACTCGAAGAAGCGAAGATCGCGACCCTGCCCGCCTTCTCACTCCTCTGCGACAACCAATCTGCGATCAAAATCGCGAACAAGGACGGCTTCGCCAATCGAACCAAGCACATCGCCCTGCGGTACTTCTTCGTCAAGGATGAAATCGCGAAGGGGAGACTTCAACTCAGTTACTGCCCGACGACAGAAATGGCCGCAGATTATCTGACGAAGAAATTGGCGAAAGCAAAATTCGACTACTGCATGCTCCTAACCGGGCAAACAAACGCCACCGGATCTGAACACTCCAGCACTCCAGAAACGAAGGGGAGTGTTGGAAATATCTCAAGGACTTAAGCGTTTCTGAAGTGTAACACTGTACTCGAGGAAGATTACAGGGGAGCACGCGAGTCAACGGAGGTTACACGAGGGGGCGGACAAAGAATGCGAAAGGACTCGAAAGGTCGCAACTGGAGGTTGCGACTGACCGTTACAACATCACGGATGGTAACCAAAGCGGCAATCGAGTCGCTGTGCGACTCGATAAACCGTTCCTGTAACTGTATTCTACAACTGCTTTCTCATCTACTATATATTGCTGTATGCTTGTTTCTTTAATCAATCACTTGTTCTCACATACTAGTACAAGGGTTCAACTACCTCAACTTCCGCTGCACTACTCCAAGTCTCAAGTCTTTACAGCTGGGACTTAGTCTCTGCAAAAGATCCCAAAGGGTTTTTCTCAGCCCAACACAGACAACAGCCTAGCAACCAACAAATCAACGGAGAACAAAACATCAGCGTAGCAGCCACCTGCTGTGCCTTGTCAGCCTCAAGCCGCACCAGCCTAGTTATCGATCACAGCAAGTTAGCATATTCTCCTGACTAACCAACCTGATTCGCCTGTCGAGTGGTTATATGGCATGGCACCAAGCACTACCCAGTGGAGTACTTGTGCAGCGGCACATACAGTAGTCCCAGCTGCTGGTACCAGCCGTTTCAGCCCGTTTGTTAACCCTGGAGGCTGACTTGAAGTCGACATGAAAATGTGAAGGGCACCAAGCACTAGCCTGCTGAGTGTTCGTGCAACAGCACATACTCCCGGCTGCTGTTGCCAAACTTTAACGTGTCCTTCTCCATCAGCTCATAGTACCGCTGTGCGTCGATGCGCGACCCCTGCAGGGCAGTTGAGGACAGACGGGGGGGCAGACATACAGTGCTGCTTCAAGGTGCCTCAGAACATGGTCCGTTGCCAAGCTTCAACGTGTCCTTCTCCATCAGCTCGTAGTACCGCTGTGCGTCGATGCGCGACCCCTGCAGGGCAGTTGAGGACAGACGGGGGGGCAGACATACAGTGCTGCTTCAAGGTGCCTCAGAACATGGTCCGTTGCCAAGCTTCAACGTGTCCTTCTCCATCAGCTCGTAGTACCGCTGTGCGTCGATGCGCGACCCCTGCAGGGCAGTTGAGGACAGACGGGGGGGCAGACATACAGTGCTGCTTCAAGGTGCCTCAGAACATGGTCCGTTGCCAAGCTTCAACGTGTCCTTCTCCATCAGCTCGTAGTACCGCTGTGCGTCGATGCGCGACCCCTGCAGGGCAGTTGAGGACAGACGGGGGGGCAGACATACAGTGCTGCTTCAAGGTGCCTCAGAACATGGTCCGTTGCCAAGCTTCAACGTGTCCTTCTCCATCAGCTCGTAGTACCGCTGTGCGTCGATGCGCGATCCCTTCAGGTTCAGAGGATGGGGGAAGGGGAGTGGGGGGAGAAGGGGGGAGGGGGGGGGAGGGAATGGTGGAGGATGCATTGAGTTGTGAGCCAACTCAGAACTCACGAGTGAGTTGAGTTGTGTTCCCAAACCACGATGTGCTCATTTCCATGAGCTCGCAGTCGATGCCGCACCCCTGCAGGCAGTGCAAGGGAGAGACAGGCATAGAGGGAAAACCGAGAGCAGAAGTGATGCAAAATCCGACAGCGTCCTTCGCAACCAGCCCACAAGAAGGCTGAGACGTTCGAGACCCCTGCAGGGAAAAGGAGGGCGGGCAGAGAGACAGGGGCAGCCAGCCAAACGGGTTGTGCAGGGAGTTTTTGAGAATTCTCAAAAAACACCCTGCACAATCGTGACCCCTGCAGGGAAACAGAGGGCAGACAGAGAGACATGGGCAGCCAGCCAAACGGGGCTGTTTTTTAATAGTGAGGTGCTTGAGGATGGGCCGAACTGCTGCCAAACTTGTTGCCAAACAACGTCACACATCACACTGCAAAAACCGCCACTTGAGCTGCCAAGGTCCATACGATTCACGCATACCCTGTGCCGTTATCTAATTCCCATGCCATGCCACACCACACCACACCACACCACACCAAACCACACCGCACCACACCACAGTGGTGCCTTACATTGAGGAAAGTGCCGTTGGTGCTGCCTAGGTCCATGACATAGGGCCTGCGAGGGGAGAAGAGGAGCGATAGAGGGAGGGGCGAAGGGTGGGAGGGAGGATGGGAGGAAGGATAGAAGAACCGTGAGAGGAAAAAGCTATGGAAGGAAATGAGCTTCATGCAGGTGCAGTTGGACGAGGAAGAATGAGGTTCGATGCAATTTGATGCGGTTGGATGTGGTCTGATGAGATTTGATGGAGTACAAGAAGCCACAGCTTCCCTCCATGCACTACATCGTAACGCGGTGACTTGCAGTAGACTCAACAGAGCATTGGCAAGCGTGGCTGCACCATAATAAATTCCCTCCATGCGTTAACCAAGAAAAAAGTTGGCAAGCACAGCAGCGACCCTCACCCTACCATATCTTCCACTCGGCTCCTCCTTGTCCACCAGGCTGGCATGGGACGGCAGCTTGATTGGCAATGCAGAGCCAACCTACCACACTGGACAAGCAATGCCATCCCCTCACCTCACAAGGGACGCCATCTCGCCACTGGGCTCCTCCTTGCCCTCCTTACAGAGCCATCCTCACCCCGCTACTACCTCCCCACTCTCCAAGAAATGGCACCCCCTCACCTCACGAGGGAAGTCATCTCTCCACTGGGCTTCTCCCTGTCCACCAGGCTGCCATGGGACGGCTGCTGCACTCACTGCCAATGCGTTCTTTGCATGCACCTACCTCACCTGACATGCGATGCCATCCATCCCCTCACCTCACAAGAGCCGTCACCTCGCCACTCGGCTCCTCCTTGTCCACCAGGCTGGCATGGCAAGAGTTAGACGCAGGGGAGGTGATGAGATGGCACGAGAGGGGATGAAATAAGGTGATGCGAAATGATGATGCAACCCATCGCTCGCCATGAATAGGCAGAAGTGGATCGCCCATCCCAACGATATACATACACAATGGAATGGAATAAGGGAGGGGGGGAGACGAAGGAGGGGAGAAGTGCAGAGGTACAAGGTTTGCTGAATCCAGAAATATATTTAAAAAGATGTACAAGAAATCATGCCCCAAAGCAGAGCAATCCAAAGCGACCAGAATCGAGCAACCACTACTCTACTCTCACCGGAATGGGATGAATGCATGCTGCTTGCTGCAGGAGGGAGGGATGGTCTGCTGTCCAGCTGGCAGCAGGGTGACATGGAGCTCCGACCAGAATAGACCACCCACAGACATGGCACATTTTGCTCACCGGAATTGGATGACTGCATGCTGCTTGCTGCAGGAGGGATGGTCTGTTGGCACATCTGCAACCTGTAAGCAAAATTACAGACATCACATGGAAACACAGATGGCGCTGTGTTGAACACGTGGGGAACCTTGTTGCAGAATTAACAACGGAACATAGAAGATGGGTTCCCATTGTTCTGAACCCCAGATTCCTGGGAACAACCCAACAGGATAGAAGAGTGGCTGTGGTTGAATGTGTTGTCAGGAGACAATAGAGCCAGTGTTGATTCCATCCTCACGTTTCCAACAGAACCTGCAGTGCGACTTCATAATGCCATGATGCCATGGTGACATGATGCCATGGTGACATGATGCCATGGTGACATGATGCCATGGTGACATGATGCCATGGTGACATGATGCCATGGTGACATGATGCCATGGTGACATGATGCCATGGTGACATGATGCCATGGTGCCATGATGCCATGATGCCATGGTGACATGATGCCATGATGCCATGATGCCATGGTGACATGATGCCATGGTGACATGATGCCATGGTGACATGATGCCATGGTGACATGATCCCATGGTGACATGATGCCATGGTGACATGATCCCATGGTGACATGATGCCATGGTGACATGATGCCATGGTGACATGATGCCATGGTGACATGATGCTATGATAGTGATGCTAGGATGTTGTGATGCTATGATAGTGATGCTGGATGTTGTGATGCTATGATAGTGATGCTAGGATGTTGTGATGCTATGATAGTGATGCTGGATGTTGTGATGCTACGATAGTGATGCTAGGATGTTGTGATGCTAGGACACCATGATGCCATTGTGCCGTGATGCCATGATGATGCCATCACCCCTCTTTCCCTCCGTGGGCTCTGATCCCCCCCCCCAATACACCCCGTTCCTCTTCCCCATCATCACTCACCCGTCTCTCCCGTCCGAAGAGGTAGCACGTCTGGCGATGGATGTACAGCGGCTCTGATAGCACATTCGGACATGCACACATGCACCAACAATCCAGCATGCATGCACACGGACACACACACACACCACGCACACACACACATACACACGCATACAAACTCATACACACGCACACAAATGCATGCACGGATGAAGGCTCGCTAGGGTGTGCGCTGCGGCAGAAACATGTTTGTCCCATCATTCACTCTTTGCTCACAAGACAGGCTCCGATTTGCTACTAAAATACTTTTCTGGTACTGTACCTTCACTTTTAACTGTTTTTTCCTACTTGCTCAAACCTACTCCCTCGCACGGCTGCTCACAGGTACTATGTCCAAAGAACAATAGCTTTTGAAACATAGTACGAACAAATAGCTTTCGAAACATAGTGCGAACAAATAGCTTTCGAAACATAGTACGTCGCAAATCAACTATTGATGGGCAGTGGAACCATCAACCAGAGGAAATCAAACAAATGTTTTAAAAGCTGCCCATTGCTGAAGCTTTACCTTTCAAGGGCTCCCCGTCCTTAAAGACATATAGCCGCCAGCGGATAGAGGGCTTGCGCGCCTCAGTAGGCTCGTTGTACACCAGCGCGACACCTGGCAGCATGTGATTGGAACAGATGGGTGAACAGAACGAAGAAGGGCCAGGAAATAGCAGGTGGTAGTAGTACCAATAGGTCAACCGGTGTCCCCTTTATAAAGATGTTGCGCTGAACAAGATTAGCTTCACCTTCCCAACCACCTCTGCCTTGCACACCCTCCTCACCCACCCTCTCCCCCCCCCCCACCCTCTTCCCCCACCCTCATCACCCCCCACCCTCTTCCCCCACCCTCATCACCCCCCACCCTCTTCCCCCACCCTCATCACCCCCCACCCTCTTCCCCCACCCTCATCACCCCCCACCCTCTTCCCCCACCCTCATCACCCCCCACCCTCTTCCCCCACCCTCATCACCCCCCACCCTCTTCCCCCACCCTCATCACCCCCCACCCTCTTCCCCCACCCTCATCACCCCCCACCCTCTTCCCCCACCCTCATCACCCCCCACCCTCTTCCCCCACCCTCATCACCCCCGCACCACTTCCACTGCCCCTGCCACCCAGCTCACCTCTGAAGCGGTTGGTTTCTTCCGCCAGTTTGCCAGACAGCTCAAATGACGGTTGTGCTGCCTGCAGTGCCGGGGCAAGGGAGCGAAAGGAGGGAGGGGGAAAGGGTTTCCACAGGATTGAAATTGGTTACAGCACTCGCCTTCGTTTCCCCTCACGAATCCTAGTCCTCCCCCCCCCCCCCCCCCCCCTCTCTCTTCCCCCCCTCCCTCCGCTCCACCCCCCCCTTCCGCCCTCGACTCCTGACTTGATTCCTTCTCCTGTCGCTGCCCTCTAGTAGCAGCTAATCGACCCTCCCCATACCTCTGCGGCTCTGCCCACTCTTAACTTGGTCGTCCGCCCAGGTTTGATGTCCCCCCCCTTTCAACGCCCGATATTCATCGCCTCCCTCCACTCCTCACCTGCTTCGTTCCCCATCCTCCCGCCCCCCCCTCACACTCTCTCCACCCCTCACCTTCTTCCCTCTCCCCCCTCATCTCTCTCATCCCTCACGTCGTCTCCACTCTCTCCTCCTTCTCCCCCCATACCCTCCCCCCTCCTTCCCCCTCACCTTCCCCAACAACCAACACACCCCCCTCCCCCCCCCCCCCTCCCTCTTCTCTTCCCCCCCCCCACCTCACCTTCTTCTTCTCCCCCTCCTTCGCCTCAAGCGCCTTCTGCGTTGCTTCCATGGCCTCCAGGGTCTCGGGGTCCACGTCAGCAAGAACTCTCCCCCCCGACGCCGACCGGTCCACCTCAGCAATCACACGCCCCGCTGACGCCGACCTGTCCACGTCAGCAAGCACTCTCCCCCCTGCCGCCGCCCCATTCCCGCTACCGTGGGGAGCGGCGCGGATAGGGGGGCCGCCAAGGGGGGGAGGGGGAGGCGCGGAGAAGGGGTAGTGCGGGGGAGGGGGGGCGGGGGGAGAGATGGGGGGGCGGAGGCGGAAGGGGGCAAGGGCGGTGGAGGGGGGAGGGACGGGGGAGCGCCGCTGGGGGGAGGGCCAAAGCCAGCAGCCGCTCTAACTGCCTCTGCTGCAAAGGCTGCTGCTGCGTCTAGCGCTGCTGTACTTAAGGTGCCCTGGTCTCGCTTTGACCGAGCAGTAGACCCCTTAGAAACAGACGCGCTTGCAGTAGAAGCACCACCAGCAGCATCGGCGGTCCGGGATTTGCTCTTTGGGTCGTTCCCTCTCGCCACCTTCTCCCTTCTCTCCTCGTCCTCCGCGTCTCTGACCCTTCTCCGCCTCGCCTCGTTATCCTCATCCTCGCTACTGTCACTCCCGCTACGCCTCACATGCGCGCTTCGTCCCCCCACACCCTTCGCTCCGCCTCGCCTTCCCCCATCCCCCTCCTCCCCTTTCCGCCGCCTCCGCGCCTTCTCCTCTTCCGAGTCAGACTCACTCCTGCTCCGACTCCTCCTCCTCCCTCTCCCACCCCCAGTGCCCCTATCCCCGCGCTTCCTCGCCCTCTCCTCCTCTTCGTCCGAATCCGAGCCTCGGCTTGGGCTTCGGCTTGGGCTTCGGCTTCTCGCACCTGCGGGCTCTCGGCTCCTCCTCACCTTTCTCCCATCCCCAGAGGCCCTATGCCCGCGTCTCCTCTCCCGCTCTTCCTCCTCCTCGTCCTCCTCGTCGCTGCCTGATCCACGCTTCCCGCTTCGTTGCCGATCCGCATGCCTCGATTCCCCTCCTCCTCTCCCTCTCCCGCTTTCCCTCCTCATCTCCTCTTTCACCTTTTCCCTCCCCTTCCCCGCTTTCCCCTCTTCCCTCCGTTTATCCTCCTCCTCCTCGTCGTCGTCCGACGAATATCTTCGTCGCACGCGTCGCCCGCGATCGCCCCGCCGCTGATCTCGCTCGTCGTCGGATACCGAGTTCCGTCGTCGCGCGCTCCCGCTATTGCCACTATCGCTATCGCTATTACCACTGTCGCTGTCGCCTCGCCGACGATAGTGCCGCCCACGGCCGCCCTCCGCCATAGCCACGCGCGCCTCTAGATTACAGTCACGCGATGGAGGCAGGTACGAACGGACGCGGTTTAACCTAAGCTAGCGTAGCTTGCGCTTACGGCTGGCTGGGAAGAATACACTCGACAGTAGCGGGCTAGCAACTTGGAATTTATGGTCTTTATTTCTCTAGGGCTTGTAACGCGGAGTTTTTGTTTGCCCAGCTGCTACACTACTGAATGGGACAGGTCGTTATAGATGCTTAAAATGCTGTACGATGTTATACGGCAAGATTAGCCTTGCTAATTGGTTCAACCAGGCTTACAATAACCCTTGGAAACACCTCGCGGGAATTTTAACAAGGGCGGTATGCATAACAAGCTTCTACGCTTAGAAACCCCAATCTTGACTCGTGAGGCGAGAAGCGGCTAGGAGGACATCAGGGACTCGATTGCCTGATCATCTTGTACTGATGCATCGTGCCTAAAAGCGATAGAGAAGCACGGAAAGCGATACGAAACAACAAGGGAGGAAACACAAGAAAAAACGAGGCCACCGGAGAAAAAGTAGACGGAGAACGAAGGGGTGATCATAGGAAGGAAAGGCGTGGGAAGACATGGCACGATGTTAGACAATGGCAAGGGCTTTAGAGGAAGCAGACTGGCGAGGTTGAGGACGGAGAGAGAGAGGCGATGCAGGAGAGGGAAGAGGGCAGAGTAGGAAGGGAAGGGTGCAGCATATCGGGGGGAAAAGTGGAAAGGGCTCCAGAGGGAGGCGAGGGTGAGGAGGGGGAGGAGGGGGAGGAGGTGCTGGAGGAGAGGGAGGGGGTCAAAGCAGGAAGGACAAAATGCCGCATACAGGGAAGAGAGGCAGGAGGGGCTCCAGAGGAAGCAAGGGGGGGCGAGGGTGAGGAAGGGAAGGGGGCGAGGAGGACAAGGGAGGAAGGGAAAAGTGGGAAGGAGAAAGTAGGGAGGAAGTAGGGAGGACAGACTGCCGCATACCTGGAGGAGAAGCGGGACGGGCTCCAGAGGAAGCAGAGGGATGCGAGGGTGAGGAGGGAGAGTAGGTGCCACGCAGCTGTGATGAGCCAGTCCCACTGCCACTGCAGATTGAGGGGGTCTGAAAGCTTGAAGTAGGCCTGGTGCATGGGAGGGGGAGAGAAGAAGCGAAGCAGGGAGAGTGAGAAGAAAGAGAGGATACGGGAAGGCAGGGGCCACATTTGACGGAGAGGAGGTGCCATGCTGCTATGATGAGCCACTCGCTCTGCCGTTGCAGGCTGAGGGGATCTCTAAGATTCAGGTAGGCCCGATGGTGCAAGAGAGCGAGAGGGGAGGATGAGAGGGGAGGATGAGAGGGGAGGATGAGAGGGCAGGATGAGAGGGGAGGATGAGAGGGCAGGATGAGAGGGGAGGATGAGAGGGGAGGATGAGAGGGCAGGATGAGAGGGGAGGATGAGAGGGGAGGATGAGAGGGGAGGATGAGAGGGGAGGATGAGAGGGGAGGATGAGAGGGGAAGAGGTGGGTGCAAACGCTGGGAGGAAACAGGAGAACAAGGATGAACAAAAAAGGTGTGGAATGAGCCGAGTTTTTAGTCGACTAAAAAAACCCCAGGGAGGAGAGATGGGAAAAAGAGGATGAGCAAGAGCAGGGGGGGGAGCGAGGCAACAAAGAAGAGAACGGAGATGGTCGTACCTCCAAGAAAGAGAGGAATGTTAAGGCGCCTCAAATGATGAGACCATTTATGCAAAAAAATGAGATTTTTTTTTGGCACCTCAAATTTGAGGGGGGAATGGGGGACGAGGTGACCAAGAAGAGAAAGGAGATGGACGTACCTCCCAGCAGGTTAGAGCGAGGGCAGCAGCGGCAAGGACCCCCATGGCTGTCAGAGCATGGCGAAAGATGCCCAGCATCTGATTGCTAGCAGCCTGCATGCCCTGCATTACCGCACAGCGACGCATCACACCGCACAGTAGCGCATCAAACCACACAGCAACGCATCACACCGCACAGTAAAGTGCCATACCGGATGGCATCGCATGGCACATCACATCACACGGAATGCAACGAGCAAAGGCAGAGTGCTGGTACAGTGATCACAACACAATGCAGATCGCGGAGAAGGGCAACGAGGACGTGCCCCTCCCAGCCAGGCAGAAAGGAGCGCGCCCAGCAGAATTGGGGAGTGTGCAGAGCCACGTGCTCGGCACTGCTGCTGCAGTCAGTGCTTACCTGCGCCTTGATCTGCTCCAGCATGGCAAGAGCAGCGGGAACCAGCCAGGCGGCAAGGAGGAGGTCCAGCAGAACTGGGGGGGTGCGCAGAGCCACACGGCTCTCCAGGCAATTATTACCTGCGTCTTAATCTGTTCCAGTGTGGCAAGAGCAGCAGGGACCAGATAGGCGGCAAGGAGGAGGTCCAGCAGAACTGGGGGGGTGCGCAGAGCCACACGGCTCTCCAGGCAATGATTACCTGCGCCTTAATCTGTTCCAGTGTGGCAAGAGCAGCAGGGACCAGATAGGCGGCAAGGAGGAGGTCCAGCAGAACTGGGGGGGTGCGCAGAGCCACACGGCTCTCCAGGCAATGATTACCTGCGCCTTAATCTGTTCCAGTGTGGCAAGAGCAGCAGGGACCAGATAGGCGGTAAGGAGGAGGTCCAGCAGAACTGGGGGGGTGCGCAGAGCCACACGGCTCTCCAGGCAATAATTACCTGCGTCTTAATCTGTTCAAGTGTGGCAAGAGCAGCAGGGACTAGAGAGCCACACGGCTCTCCAGGCAATGATTACCTGCGTCTTAATCTGTTCCAGTGTGGCAAGAGCAGCAGGGACCAGATAGGCAGCAAGGAGGAGGTCCAGCAGAACTGGGGGGGTGCGCAGAGCCACACGGCTCTCCAGGCAATGATTACCTGCGTCTTAATCTGTTCCAGTGTGGCAAGAGCAGCAGGGACTAGAGAGCCACACGGCTCTCCAGGCAATGATTACCTGCGTCTTAATCTGTTCCAGTGTGGCAAGAGCAGCAGGGACCAGATAGGCGGTAAGGAGGAGGTCCAGCAGAACTGGGGGGGTGCGCAGAGCCACACGGCTCTCCAGGCAATAATTACCTGCGTCTTAATCTGTTCCAGTGTGGCAAGAGCAGCAGGGACTAGAGAGCCACACGGCTCTCCAGGCAATGATTACCTGCGTCTTAATCTGTTCCAGTGTGGCAAGAGCAGCAGGGACCAGATAGGCAGCAAGGAGGAGGTCCAGCAGAACTGGGGGGGTGCGCAGAGCCACACGGCTCTCCAGGCAATTATTACCTGCGTCTTAATCTGTTCCAGTGTGGCAAGAGCAGCAGGGACCAGATAGGCGGCAAGGAGGAGGTCCAGCAGAACTGGGGGGGTGCGCAGAGCCACACGGCTCTCCAGGCAATGATTACCTGCGCCTTAATCTGTTCCAGTGTGGCAAGAGCAGCAGGGACCAGATAGGCGGCAAGGAGGAGGTCCAGCAGAACTGGGGGGGTGCGCAGAGCCACACGGCTCTCCAGGCAATGATTACCTGCGCCTTAATCTGTTCCAGTGTGGCAAGAGCAGCAGGGACCAGATAGGCGGTAAGGAGGAGGTCCAGCAGAACTGGGGGGGTGCGCAGAGCCACACGGCTCTCCAGGCAATAATTACCTGCGTCTTAATCTGTTCCAGTGTGGCAAGAGCAGCAGGGACTAGAGAGCCACACGGCTCTCCAGGCAATGATTACCTGCGTCTTAATCTGTTCCAGTGTGGCAAGAGCAGCAGGGACCAGATAGGCAGCAAGGAGGAGGTCCAGCAGAACTGGGGGGGTGCGCAGAGCCACACGGCTCTCCAGGCAATGATTACCTGCGTCTTAATCTGTTCCAGTGTGGCAAGAGCAGCAGGGACTAGAGAGCCACACGGCTCTCCAGGCAATGATTACCTGCGTCTTAATCTGTTCCAGTGTGGCAAGAGCAGCAGGGACCAGATAGGCGGTAAGGAGGAGGTCCAGCAGAACTGGGGGGGTGCGCAGAGCCACACGGCTCTCCAGGCAATAATTACCTGCGTCTTAATCTGTTCCAGTGTGGCAAGAGCAGCAGGGACTAGAGAGCCACACGGCTCTCCAGGCAATGATTACCTGCGTCTTAATCTGTTCCAGTGTGGCAAGAGCAGCAGGGACCAGATAGGCAGCAAGGAGGAGGTCCAGCAGAACTGGGGGGGTGCGCAGAGCCACACGGCTCTCCAGGCAATTATTACCTGCGTCTTAATCTGTTCCAGTGTGGCAAGAGCAGCAGGGACCAGATAGGCGGCAAGGAGGAGGTCCAGCAGAACTGGGGGGGTGCGCAGAGCCACACGGCTCTCCAGGCAATGATTACCTGCGCCTTAATCTGTTCCAGTGTGGCAAGAGCAGCAGGGACCAGATAGGCGGCAAGGAGGAGGTCCAGCAGAACTGGGGGGGTGCGCAGAGCCACACGGCTCTCCAGGCAATGATTACCTGCGCCTTAATCTGTTCCAGTGTGGCAAGAGCAGCAGGGACCAGATAGGCGGTAAGGAGGAGGTCCAGCAGAACTGGGGGGGTGCGCAGAGCCACACGGCTCTCCAGGCAATAATTACCTGCGTCTTAATCTGTTCCAGTGTGGCAAGAGCAGCAGGGACTAGAGAGCCACACGGCTCTCCAGGCAATGATTACCTGCGTCTTAATCTGTTCCAGTGTGGCAAGAGCAGCAGGGACCAGATAGGCAGCAAGGAGGAGGTCCAGCAGAACTGGGGGGGTGCGCAGAGCCACACGGCTCTCCAGGCAATGATTACCTGCGTCTTAATCTGTTCCAGTGTGGCAAGAGCAGCAGGGACTAGAGAGCCACACGGCTCTCCAGGCAATGATTACCTGCGTCTTAATCTGTTCCAGTGTGGCAAGAGCAGCAGGGACCAGATAGGCAGCAAGGAGGAGGTCCAGCAGAACTGGGGGGGTGCGCAGAGCCACACGGCTCTCCAGGCAATGATTACCTGCGTCTTAATCTGTTCCAGTGTGGCAAGAGCAGCAGGGACTAGAGAGCCACACGGCTCTCCAGGCAATGATTACCTGCGTCTTAATCTGTTCCAGTGTGGCAAGAGCAGCAGGGACCAGATAGGCGGTAAGGAGGAGGTCCAGCAGAACTGGGGGGGTGCGCAGAGCCACACGGCTCTCCAGGCAATAATTACCTGCGTCTTAATCTGTTCCAGTGTGGCAAGAGCAGCAGGGACTAGAGAGCCACACGGCTCTCCAGGCAATGATTACCTGCGTCTTAATCTGTTCCAGTGTGGCAAGAGCAGCAGGGACCAGATAGGCAGCAAGGAGGAGGTCCAGCAGAACTGGGGGGGTGCGCAGAGCCACACGGCTCTCCAGGCAATTATTACCTGCGTCTTAATCTGTTCCAGTGTGGCAAGAGCAGCAGGGACCAGATAGGCGGCAAGGAGGAGGTCCAGCAGAACTGGGGGGGTGCGCAGAGCCACACGGCTCTCCAGGCAATGATTACCTGCGCCTTAATCTGTTCCAGTGTGGCAAGAGCAGCAGGGACCAGATAGGCGGCAAGGAGGAGGTCCAGCAGAACTGGGGGGGTGCGCAGAGCCACACGGCTCTCCAGGCAATGATTACCTGCGCCTTAATCTGTTCCAGTGTGGCAAGAGCAGCAGGGACCAGATAGGCAGCAAGGAGGAGGTCCAGCAGAACTGGGGGGGTGCGCAGAGCCACACGGCTCTCCAGGCAATAATTACCTGCGTCTTAATCTGTTCCAGTGTGGCAAGAGCAGCAGGGACTAGAGAGCCACACGGCTCTCCAGGCAATGATTACCTGCGTCTTAATCTGTTCCAGTGTGGCAAGAGCAGCAGGGACCAGATAGGCAGCAAGGAGGAGGTCCAGCAGAACTGGGGGGGTGCGCAGAGCCACACGGCTCTCCAGGCAATGATTACCTGCGTCTTAATCTGTTCCAGTGTGGCAAGAGCAGCAGGGACTAGAGAGCCACACGGCTCTCCAGGCAATGATTACCTGCGTCTTAATCTGTTCCAGTGTGGCAAGAGCAGCAGGGACCAGATAGGCGGTAAGGAGGAGGTCCAGCAGAACTGGGGGGGTGCGCAGAGCCACACGGCTCTCCAGGCAATAATTACCTGCGTCTTAATCTGTTCCAGTGTGGCAAGAGCAGCAGGGACTAGAGAGCCACACGGCTCTCCAGGCAATGATTACCTGCGTCTTAATCTGTTCCAGTGTGGCAAGAGCAGCAGGGACCAGATAGGCAGCAAGGAGGAGGTCCAGCAGAACTGGGGGGGTGCGCAGAGCCACACGGCTCTCCAGGCAATTATTACCTGCGTCTTAATCTGTTCCAGTGTGGCAAGAGCAGCAGGGACCAGATAGGCGGCAAGGAGGAGGTCCAGCAGAACTGGGGGGGTGCGCAGAGCCACACGGCTCTCCAGGCAATGATTACCTGCGCCTTAATCTGTTCCAGTGTGGCAAGAGCAGCAGGGACCAGATAGGCGGCAAGGAGGAGGTCCAGCAGAACTGGGGGGGTGCGCAGAGCCACACGGCTCTCCAGGCAATGATTACCTGCGCCTTAATCTGTTCCAGTGTGGCAAGAGCAGCAGGGACCAGATAGGCGGTAAGGAGGAGGTCCAGCAGAACTGGGGGGGTGCGCAGAGCCACACGGCTCTCCAGGCAATAATTACCTGCGTCTTAATCTGTTCCAGTGTGGCAAGAGCAGCAGGGACTAGAGAGCCACACGGCTCTCCAGGCAATGATTACCTGCGTCTTAATCTGTTCCAGTGTGGCAAGAGCAGCAGGGACCAGATAGGCAGCAAGGAGGAGGTCCAGCAGAACTGGGGGGGTGCGCAGAGCCACACGGCTCTCCAGGCAATGATTACCTGCGTCTTAATCTGTTCCAGTGTGGCAAGAGCAGCAGGGACTAGAGAGCCACACGGCTCTCCAGGCAATGATTACCTGCGTCTTAATCTGTTCCAGTGTGGCAAGAGCAGCAGGGACCAGATAGGCAGCAAGGAGGAGGTCCAGCAGAACTGGGGGGGTGCGCAGAGCCACACGGCTCTCCAGGCAATGATTACCTGCGTCTTAATCTGTTCCAGTGTGGCAAGAGCAGCAGGGATCAGATAGGCGGTAAGGAGGAGGTCCAGCAGAACTGGGGGGGTGCGCAGAGCCACATGGCTCTCCAGGCAATGATTACCTGCGTCTTAATCTGTTCCAGTGTGGCAAGAGCAGCAGGGACCAGATAGGCGGTAAGGAGGAGTTCCAGCAGAACTGGGGGGGTGCGCAGAGCCACACGGCTCTCCAGGCAATGATTACCTGCGTCTTAATCTGTTCCAGTGTGGCAAGAGCAGCAGGGACCAGATAGGCGGCAAGGACGAGGTCCAGCAGAACTGGGGGGGTGCGCAGAGCCACACGGCTCTCCAGGCCATGATTACCTGCGTCTTAATCTGTTCCAGTGTGGCAAGAGCAGCAGGGAACAGATAGGCAGCAAGGAGGAGGTCCAGCAGAACTGGGGGGGTGCGCAGCGCCACGTGCTCGCCACTGCCCCAGTCGTCCACCTGCCCCACGCTCCTCACTCCCTCACACGCGCCCACCACGAGAATGTAGAGCACTGCTGGTATCAGGACCTGCAGAGAAAGGAAGGATAGAGAGGAGTTAGACATTCGTAGCCAGTCCCACACTCCTCACTCCCTCACAGGCGCCCACCACGACAATGTAGAACGCTGCTGGTATCAGAGCCTGGTTTGGGCAGCAAGAAAGAAGAGATAAAAGGATGTTAGGACATGAGATGTTGCCTGACCTGCCCCCCACGCTCCTCACTCCCTCACACGGTCCCACCACGAGAATGAAGACAGCTGTTGGTGTCGGAGCCCGTGGGGAACAGGAGAAACAGATAAAGCAACCACATGCTCGCCACTGCCCCAGTCGTCAACATGCCCCGCGTGCCCCACTCCCTCACGCGCCCCCATCACAAGCACATAGAGCCCTGCTGGTACGCGGGCCTGCAGGATAGAAGAGCAGATGGGAGGCGAGAGAACAGGGGATGTGTCCAAGCCTGCCCCACCCCTGCGCACGCTCAGTCGGCACATTCAAGGCCATTGTAGGCCATTCTTGATTTTTTAGAATTCTCAAACATCACCTGCACATTCAAGCCCACTGGCCCAGCCGACACTCACTCAATTTCCTCGCACCCACTGTTGACACACTCACCCTCTGGATGCTCCCGGCTCGGACTACAGAAATGACTGCACAGTCGAGTCGGACCCACCTTGTTGGGCTTGTCCCCTCAACACCCGGCCTAGCCTGACCGCTCAACACCCACCTTGCCCACCCGGCCTAGCCTGACCGCTCAACACCCACCTTGCCCACCCGGCCTAGCCTGACTGCTCAACACCCACCTTGCCCACCCGGCCTAGCCTGACCGCTCAACACCCACCTTGCCCACCCGGCCTAGCCTGACCGCTCAACACCCACCTTGCCCACCCGGCCTAGCCTGACTGCTCAACACCCACCTTGCCCACCCGGCCTAGCCTGACCGCTCAACACCCACCTTGCCCACCCGGCCTAGCCTGACCGCTCAACACCCACCTTGCCCACCCGGCCTAGCCTGACCGCTCAACACCCACCTTGCCCACCCGGCCTAGCCTGACCGCTCAACACCCACCTTGCCCACCCGGCCTAGCCTGTCCGCTCAACACCCACCTTGCCCACCCGGCCTAGCCTGACCGCTCAACACCCACCTTGCCCACCCGGCCTAGCCTGACTGCTCAACACCCACCTTGCCCACCCGGCCTAGCCTGACTGCTCAACACCCACCTTGCCCACCCGGCCTAGCCTGTCCGCTCAACACCCACCTTGCCCACCCGGCCTAGCCTGTCCGCTCAACACCCACCTTGCCCACCCGGCCTAGCCTGTCCGCTCAACACCCACCTTCCCCACCCGGCCTAGCCTGTCCGCTCAACACCCACCTTGCCCACCCGGCCTAGCCTGTCCGCTCAACACCCACCTTGCCCACCCGGCCTAGCCTGTCCGCTCAACACCCACCTTGCCCACCCGGCCTAGCCTGTCCGCTCAACACCCACCTTGCCCACCCGGCCTAGCCTGTCCGCTCAACACCCACCTTGCCCACCCGGCCTAGCCTGTCCGCTCAACACCCACCTTGCCCACCCGGCCTAGCCTGTCCGCTCAACACCCACCTTGCCCACCCGGCCTAGCCTGTCCGCTCAACACCCACCTTGCCCACCCGGCCTAGCCTGTCCGCTCAACACCCACCTTGCCCACCCGGCCTAGCCTGTCCGCTCAACACCCACCTTGCCCACCCAGCCTAGCCTGTCCCCTCACAGCCCACCTTGCCTGGAATGGGCCCCAGCTTCGGCAGCAGCGTTCCAAACCCCGCTGCCACCCCCACCAGCACCGCCCTCAGCAGCAGACCCTGCAGCACCCCCGCTGTGACCGCAGCCAGTGTGACTACAACGAATCGGTGCCCAGTGACGCTGAGGAGGAGGAGTTCTAAGAGGGTGGTGAGGGAGGAGAGGAGGGAGAGGAGGAGGAGGAAGGTGAGGAAGTGGGGGAGGGAATTGCGGTCGAGGGAGCGCCAGGCGGGGCCGAATTGGGGGCGCCAGAGGAGGTGGAGAGCCAAGTAGAGCTGGAGGGATGAACGTTGGGGGACACAGTTGGGGGACATAGGATGCAGCTAAGAGTGAGACGGGTGAGGAAGTGAGGGAGGGAGTTGCGGTCGAGGGAGCGCCAGGCGGGGCCGAATTGGGGGCGCCAGAAGAGGTAGAGAGGCAAGTAGAGCTGGAGGGATAAGGGGGGATAGCATGGGAGAGCAAGAGGGGCGGATGGTGAGGAGGAGTGTGAGGAAGTAAAGGAGGGAATTGCAGGGTTTTCTTCGAATTCTTAAAGAAACACCGGCAACAAGAGGAGCCATTTCTGAGAATTCTATAAGAAACCTGCAACACGATGGTGAGGAGGAGTGTGAGGAAGTAAAGGAGGGAGTTGCCGGCGAGGAGCCAGCAGGCGGGGCGGGCGAGGAAACATGGGACGAATGAAACACCTTCCCCCAACATGCGAAACATGGGACGAATGAAACACCTTCCCCCAACATGCGAGCTGAAGAAACATCGGAGAGACAGGCACATGGTGGGGGGGGAGAGGGGTGAGGGAGAGGGGTGGGGAAGAGGGGTGAGGGAGAGGGGTGGGTGGGGGAATGGGGTGGGGTGGAGATGCTTGCATGCATGCATTCCCAGATCCATGCACACATGCACACACACACACACGCACACACGCACACACGCACACACGCACACATCAAGACACATGCACAAGACCACTCACCAGCACCATGCTTGCTTGCACCAGCAGGCTGCATCCCTGGCAAATACCCATGCGCCCGCCACTCCGTGAAGCCAACCACATGGCTGTGGTCCAGGTTCTCAACACACTCACATGGCTAGCCACCAGCCACAGACACACAAAGCCAGGCCAGCACAGGTGCTCCAGAGCGCTCACCAGCAGCATGCCTGCTTGCACCAGCAGGCAGTTCGACAGCATCCCTGGCAGGTACCCCCACCCGTGCGCGTGCCACTCCGTGTGGCCAAACACCTTGCTGCTGTCCAGGTTCTTGTCGCACATGGCCAGCCACAAGTACACAAAGCCGGCTCTTGGCACGTGCACGTCTGCCTCCAGAGGGGCCGAGAGCAAACTGTTGCCGATGAACTGGGCCTCGAGGATCCGAGGCCACTAGGGGAATAGGCAAGAGGAAAAGGAGGAAGGTTGAGAAGACACAATGACGAACCCATGTGCACAAAGCCGGCTCTCGGCACTTGCACGTCACACAACCAGCCACAGGTAGACGAAACCGGATTTCGGCACGTGCACTTCTGCTTCCAGAGGGGCGGACAGCGAGCTGTTGCCGATGAACTGGGCCTCTGGGATTCGAGGCCATTGGGGGGGAGATTGCATGAGAGAGAAGGAAGGAGAGGAGGAGAAGGGGCGTCTAGGACAGGATCCGAGGCCACTGGGGCATCCCAGTCAGGTAAAGGGTGGGAAGGGAGAGAAGGAAGAGGAGAGAAGGAAGAGGAGAGAAGGAAGAGGTGAGAAGGAAGAGCAGAGAAGGAAGAGGAGACACATCAAGGGGACACGGCAGCGAGCTGACGAGGAGAAACGTCACAAGCACCACATCACCAACCGTTCTGCGTGCGTCAATGTATGATGGACTCACTCCAGATGTGTGGGCCGCATGGCGCACTATGAGCTTGCCCAGGGTGCGCCCGGTGACTGGCATTACCTCCTTGGTGCAGCAGGCTGCTCTCATCAGTCTAGAAGACTCACTCCACGCTCGAGGACAGCATGCTGCTCTACGAGCTTGCCCAGCGTGCGGTGCGCCCCCTGACTGGCACTAGCCCCTTGGTGCCACCGCGTGCTTGCAATAACGCTGTGCACGTTGCACAATCGCCGTGCACGTTGCATAATCACCGTGCACGTTGCACAATCACCGTGCACGTTGCACAATCACCGTGAACGTTGCACAATCACCGTGAACGTCTCACAATCACCGTGAACGTCGCACGATCAACGTGCACGTCGCACAGTCAACGGGCACGTTGCACAATCGCCGTGCACGTTGCGCAATCACCGTGCACGTTGCACAATCACCGTGCAAGTCGCACAATCACCGTGGAGGTCGCATAATCACCGTGCACGTTGCGCAATCACCGTGCACGATGCGCAATCACCGTGCACAATGCGCAATCACTGTGCACGTTGCGCAATCACCGTGCACATTGCACAATTACTGTGCAATGACCATGCATGTTGCGCAATCACCGCGCACGTTGCACAATCACTGTGCACGTCGAACAATCACCGTGCACATCGCTCAATCACCGTCCACGTCGCACAATCACTACCCATGTCACACAATCACCATGCATGTTGCTTGCACAATCACGGTGCACGTTGCACAATCACGGTGCACGTTGCACAATCACCGTGCACATTGCACAGTCACCGTGCACGTTGCATTGCACAATCACCGTGCACGTTGCAGAATCACAGTGCAATCGCTGTGCACGTTGTGCAATCACCGTTCACGTCGCGCAATCACCGTGCACGTCGAACAATCACCGTGCATGTCGCACAACCACCGTCCACGTCGCACAATCACTACGCATGTCGCACAATCACCGTGCACGTCGCACAATCACCGTGCACGTCGCACAATCACCGAGCACATTGCACAATCACCGAGCACGTCGCACAATCACCGTGCATGTCGCACAATCACGGTGCATGTCGCACAACCACCATGCACGTTGCACAATCACCGTCCATGTCGCACATATCACCGTCCATGTCGCACAACCACCATGCATGTTGCACAATCACCATGCATGTTGCACAGTCACCGTGCATGTTGCACAATCACAACCACCGTGCATGTCGCACAAACACTATGCATGTTGCACAATCACCGGGCACGTTGCACAATCACCGGGCACGTTGCACAATCACCGTGCGCGTTGCACAATCACCGTGCGCGTTGCACAATCACCGTGCACGTCGCACAATCACCGTGCACGTCACACAATCACCGTGCACGTTGCACAATCACAACCACCGTGCATGTCGCACAAACACTATGCATGTTGCACAATCACCGGGCACGTTGCACAATCACCGTGCGCGTTGCACAATCACCGTGCGCGTTGCACAATCACCATGCACGTTGCACAATCACCGTGCACGTTGCACAATTACCTTGAACGTCGCACAATCACCGTGAACGTCGCACGAATCAACGTGCACGTCGCACAATCACCGTGCACGTTGCGCAATCACCGTGCACGTTGCACAATCACCGTGCACGTTGCGCAATCACTGTGCACGTTGCACAATCGTCATGCGCGTTGCACAATCACCGTGCACGTTGCACAATCACCGTGCACGTTGCACAATTACTGTGCACTCACCATGCACGTTGCACAATCACTGTGCACGTTGCACAATCACCGTGCACGTCGAACAATCACCTTGCGCTTTGCACAATCACCGTCCACGTCGCACAATCACTACGCATGTCGCACAATCACTATGCATGTTGCACAATCACCGTGCACGTTGCACAATCACCGTGCACGTTGCACAATCACCGTGCACACTGCACAATCACCGTGCAGGTTGCACAATCACCGTGCACGTTGCACAATCATTGTGCACGTTGCAGAATCACTGTGCAATCGCATTGCACGTTGTGCAATTACCGTGCACGTTGCGCAATCACCGTGCACGTCGCGCAATCACCGTGCATGTCGCCCAACCACTGTCCACGTCGCACAATCACTACGCATGCCGAACAATCACCATGCATGTCGCACAATCACCATACATGTTGCACAATCACCATGCACGTGGCACAATCACCGTGCACGTGGCACAATCACCGTGCACGTCGCACAATCACCGTGCACATTGCACAATCACCGTGCACGTCGCACAATCACCGTACATGTCACACAATCACCATGCACATCGCACAATCACCGTGCGTGTCGCGCAATCACCGTGCGCGTCGCACAATCACCGTGCACGTCGCACAATCATCGTGCACTTTGCGCAATCACCGTGCACGTTGCACAATCACCGTCCATGTCGCACATTCACTGTCCATGTCGCACAACCACCATGCATGTTGCACATACACCATGCATGTTGCACAATCACCGTGCATGTTGCACAATCACCGTGCATGTTGCACAATCAACGTGCATGTTGCACAACCACCGTGCATGTTGCACAATCACCGGGCACGTTGCACAATCACCGTGTGCGTTGCACAATCACCGTGCACGTTGCACAATCACCGTGCGCATTGCACAATCACCGTGCGCGTTGCACAATCACCGTGCACGTTGCACAATCACCGTGAACGTTGCAGTCACCGTGAACGTCGCACAATCAACGTGCACGTTGCACAATCACCGTGCACGTTGCGCAATCACCGTGCACGTTGCGCGATCACACGTCGCACAACCACCGAGCACGTCGCACAATCACTGTGCGCGTCGCACAATCACCGGGCCCGTCATACAATCACCGTGCCCGTCGCACAACCACCATGCATGTCGCACAATCATGATGCATGTTGCACAATCACCATGCATGTTGCACAGTCACCATGCATGTTGCACAACCAATGTGCATGTCGCACAACCACCGTGCATGTCGCACAATCACCGTGCATGTCGCACAATCCCCGTGCATGTCGCACAATCCCCGTGCATGTTGCAGAATCACCGTGTACGTTGCACAATCACCATGCATGTTGCACAATCACCGTACACGTCGCACAATCAGTATGTATGTTGCACAATCTCTATGCATGTTGCACAATCACCATGCATGTTGCACAATTACCATACATGTTGCACAACCGCTCTGGATGTCGCACAACCACCGTGCATGTTGCACAATCACCGTGCACATTGCACAATCCCCGTCCACGTTGCACAGTCACCGTGCACGTCGCCCAATCGTCGTGGACATTGCACAATCAGGGTGAACGTCGCACAATCACCGTGCACAACGCAAATAACCGTGGATGTCGCACAATCACCGTGCACGTCGCACAATCACCATGCACGTCGCACTAGCACCGTGCGCGTCGCACAATTATCGTACATGTCGCATAATCACCGTGCACGTTGCGCAATCACCGTGCACATTGCGCAATGACCGTGCACGTCCCACAATCACCATGCACGTCGCACAATCACCGTGCGCGTCGCACAATCACCGTGCACGTCGCACAATCACCGTGCACTACGCACAATCACCCTGCACATCGCGCAATCACCGTGCACGTCACACAATCACCGTGCACGTCGCACAACCACCGTGCACTTGCACCATACCATGCACGTTGCACAATCACCGTGCACGTCGCACAATCACCGTGCACGTCGCACAATCACCGTGCAGCCCCATAATCACCGTGCACGTCGCACAAGCACCATGCACGTCGCGCAATCACCGTGCACGTTGCACAATCTCCGTGCACGTTGCACAATCACCATGCATGTTGCACAATGACCACGCATACCATGCATGTGGCACAATCACCATGCATGTCGCACAATCACCATGTATGTCGCACAATCACCATGCATGTTGCTTGCACAATCACCATGCATATTGCACAACCACCATGCATGTTGCACAATCACCGTGGATGTCGCACAGCCACCGTGCAGGTCGCACAACCACTGTGCACGTCGCACAACCACCGTGCACGTCGCACAACCACCGTGCACGTCGCACAATCACCGTGCACGTTGCATGATCACCGTGCACGTTGCACAATCACCATGCATGTTGCACAATCATCATGCATACCATGCATGTTGCACAATCACCATGCATGTCGCACAATCACCAAGCATGTCGCACAATCACTAAGGCCTCACTCCCCTCGCAACGGTTTCTTGCGGGTGGAACCTCATTCCACCTGCCACTCCGCCTACAACAGACTCGTGAGCCGCATGGCAAAGCGAACTGTGAGCTTGCTTGAGGTTTTTTAGAATCCTAGAAAATCGGCCAATGCCCACAGTGCACGTGCACCCAGTTGCAGCCGCTACCAGCTCCTTGGTGAGGCGCAACGTACTTGCGTCACTCTATCCCTCATTTCACCAGCATCAGTCCACTCACATCAGGCTCATGAGCCACAAGACGCACTATGAGCTTGCCCAATGGCCAGTGTGCACGGTGTTTTTGAGAACTCTCAAAAACACCTTGCAAAACCAGGGTGCACGTGCACCCGGTGGCAGGTACAAGCTCAGTGCTCCAGGTGAGGCGTAAAGCAAGGTACTAGCGTCACTCCATGCCCCATTTCACCGGCACAAGTGATCCAATCCACTCACATCAGGCTCATGCGCCACTCGCCGCACTATGAGCTTGCCCAGGGTGCAGCCAGTGAGTGGCACGAGCTCCTTAGTGCAGCAGAAGAATAGAGGGCCGGCCCCTGGTGTCAGCGACACTGTGTCGCCTTCAGGGGTGCCGCTGCCTGCATGGGAGAAAGGTGCTGGGATCAGGGGTGCAGGGTGGAGGGATGGGAGGGGAGGGGGGAAGGAGGGGGGAACACACGAAGAAGCTCTGTGCGCGATTCAAGGCGGATTAGCTGGCTTCTGTGCCGCACGCTGCACGCTAATGTCCAACACCACCACTCCCGTGGCACATCACACACCACACAACCACCATGCCAGAGATGCATACTCACTAGCCTCAGTGCTGCTGCTGCTGTTCCTCCACCGATACTTAATCACAGGTGCTGTGCCCTCATATCAATAATCAAACACCACCACTTACGCCACACACATCAAGCAGCATGAATGTAAGCACCTAGCGAAACACCTTCTGAGACAAGGTAAAAGCCGTGCACTAGCTGCTTTCAGTGACACTGCTGCTGTTGCGCCACCGGTGCCCTATCCAGTGCCGCACGCTCATATCGAACACCACCACACTACCTCCACCAAGCCAGTCACGCCTTGCCAAAGCAAGCACTGTGCCACATGCATGCATGCATACTCACTGCTGTCAGTGCTGCTGCCACTGCTGTTGCGCCACCGGTACCCTATTCTGTGCCGCACGCTCATGTCGAACACCACCACCTCCACCACGCCCGTCACGCCTTCCAACGGCTGCAGCTCCGCCTCCCACGATGGGCGCTGTATTCGCAGGCCGTGCAGGCTGGCGAGGGGGGGAAGAGGTGGGGGGGGGAGGGGGGTCCTGAGAAGCCAGTCACGCCTTCCGAGGGCTGCAGCTCCGCCTCCCACTAGGGGAGCTGTATCTATAAACCGTGCAGGGTGACTTTGAGTCGACTCAAAAGTGAGCTGTGTTTGTAAACCGTGCAGGGTGGTAGGCCGGAAAGAGGGAGAAAGAGGAACGGGCGGCTAGCTATAGGGTAATTCTCTGCCGCACGCCGCATGCTCATGTCGAACCCCACCACCTCGGCCACGTGGCCTCGGCCAGTGCTGCATCTGCAGCCCGTGCAGCCTGGTGGGGGAAGAGGCGGAAGGCGGGGAAGGGGGGGGAGGGGGGAAGGAGGGCGGCGGGAGGGGGGAGGAGCAGCCAATGAAAGGAGGATTTTGAGGCGCCATTCAACAGCTGCACCTCCGCGCAGACTGGTAGGGGGGGAACGGGAAAAGGAGTGGAGGGAAAGGGAAAAGGGGTGGAGTGGAGTGCTGCCTGTGCGGATCGACAGGAAAAACAAGGGGGGGAAGAGGGCGTCCGTTTTGTGGGAAGGGGGGTGAGTTTGGAAGAGGGAAGTCTTACAGTGCCTCACACCACTCCACCACCAGAGGTGCTTGGAGTGCTGCCTGTGCAGATATAACCCTAACGCGCCAGGCGTAACCCAATCGCACCGAGTGTAACCCGACGGCACCGAATATAGCTGGACCCAGACGAGGTAGCGTCATCCCCAGTGGTAGCTAATCCTGACCGTCCGTTCGCTAACATGCCCTCGCGCCCCTCGTGCCCTCGCGGTACAGCAGCAGGTCGAGAGGGGGAAGGGGGAAGGGGAAAAGGGAAGGGGAAAAGGGGGAAAGGGAGGAAGGGGGAAGGAGAAGGGGGACGGAGAAGGGGGAAGGGTGAAGGGGGACGGGGACGGGGACGGGGACGGGGACGGGGGACGGAGAAGGGGGACGGGGACGGGGAAGGGGGAAGGGTGAAGGGGAAGGGCGAAGGGTGAAGGGGAAGGGGGAATGGGGGAGAGCATGGAATGGCGCTAAGCGAACCCACCGGATGTAACCGGATCCTAACGACACGCCATCATCTCCACTGGAAGTCGATCCTGGCCGTCCGTTCGCGAACATGCCCTCGCGGCCGCCGCGGTACAGCAACAGGTCGGCGGAATAGTAGGCCCGCTGGCCCGAGTACGTGTGTATCGCGGCTCGGGCGGAGGAGGTTAAAGCCACGAGTACTAGCCATGTGAGGGTGACGGCGGGCAAGCGTACGAGACGAGGCAGCACTAGCCATGTCGAACTTCCGCCTAGTATTGTTCGTGCGGGGCGAGGCAGCCTACTACCTACTACTGTTCGTGCGAGGCGGTGAGACCGTGACATTGTTCGACCGTAGTATTCTACGGCAGGTGCGCGCACAGCGCGAGGCAGTAGAGAGGATTATACTACGGTCGAGCGGTTTACGGCTAGAAGCTGGCGTGTGAGCGAGAAGCGTGGCTTTGCTCGGAGGCGCCAGTTGCGGAGGGTGTATCAGGGGATGCGACACTTACTGCGCGAAAGCCGAGGTGCTAGGCGTAAGTGAAAAGATGAGCAGAAGCGCAGGATGTGCAGGCTTCGACGTACAGGGCTCTAAGAACCAAGTATGGCTACGGAAACGAAAGGACACCACTGTCACCAAGTAAGCTGACTTATGAGCTGAGTCTAAGTGGACTCTTCCTGTAAGGATTTCACAAATCCTTGGTTTCGCCACAGCGAGTACCGTGAACAGTGCGCGTCCGTAACCTCAGCCTTTAAAGCCCGAACAGCAGGTTGCAAGTCAGTTCAGCTCAAGATGCATCTTCTTGAGCACCTGTTACAGGGAAGCAATCGCTGAACTGTCTGAGTTGGCCAAGCTGGCTGAAGCTGAACCCTCGACAAGCTTGGCAGTATGAAAAACCTAGGGCAGGAAACATAGCTACGAGTAGAAAGTAATTCCCCGGACGATAGACAATTTTGAGGCCTAAACGTGCGAATACACTGTCACTGTTGCGCGTTATTTGGGAAACTGGAACCACTGAACGGACTTCACTGCTGTAAACTTGTCGGGGGTAGTAGGCGGGATGCCAAGCATCGGAAAAAAAACTTCCAAGGCAGGAGCGAAACTTGGCGCTGCTGCCAAGTTGAACCCCTGCCAAATGAGGCACGAAACTTGGCACTCCTGCCAGTTTCCAAGCCTCGCGGCACTCACACGCAAGCAGGTACCTTAGCGAACACAAACCTTCGCCATACAATATGCCGGACCTATTGCTCGTCAGCCAATCATCTGCTGCCTGCCCACCTACCTTAATAGTGTCAATATGCAACCTGCTGGTCAGGCTTTAACGACCAGCGATTTATCGCATAATCTCATTCTCGCTAGGTTACCCTGCTCGCGAGTAAATTTTGGCCCCACAGGGGTCCCAGTTCAGGACAGTGTCACCATGTGTCCTGCGCGGGACAGCCCTCCCGCGCGGACCAGGTTGCGTTTCCGGGGGTCAGCTTGAGCATGACTCAGGGCCGATTCCTGCGTCGTGTCATCCTGCAGATGACATCCGATTTTGCCTGTAAGCTGGGTTCGGCCGAATCTAGATCAGGGGCACATCGGGTGTCATCCACGGGATGAGACGACACAGGAATCAGCTTGTACAGTGTACCTGGAAAATTTTTGTTTTTATGGTTTCGGGACGTACCAACAGCACCCCTGTCATTCCTTGGTCTCTCCTGCCCTTCCCTTTCTTCATGGTCCTTACCTTTCCCTCACCATGGCTGGTGTTCCACTTGTTCAACATCGCATCGGCATACTCGCTCCCCCGTCTGTATCCTCGCCGCCTCCTCTCAGCAGCTGTGCACCATCGCTTTCATCTTTCCATTCGACATCGAATAAACACTAAGCAATGCCGCGTCGATTTCTATAGATTCCGCTTCGCACTCGCCGCCGCGCGGTCTCTCTCGGCCGTTCGTTGTGCTGGCGGCAGCTGGCGCGGCAGCGGTTGGATTGCAGCTGCACGAGTTGCCACACAGCTTCGCGGCGCCCCCAAATCTGTTCTTCCCCACGCGCCGCGATGCCGCAGTCACTGACGCATTCGTCGCTGGGCGCGCGGCGGCCCGGCGTGGGGATGGCGGTGCTGGGGGCGGCGTGGGTGGCGGGGTGGGTGGGGATGTGCGCGTGGGTGGTGTGGTTCGCGCACCGGCAGGCGGCCGGCCCGCGACAAGAGGCGATCCAAGTGTGGTGTCGCGCGCGCGTGCGATACCTCCACCAGGACATGCGATCCGCCGTCGCGAGCGCCGAGGTGCGGATGACACATGCGAGAGAGCGAGGGTGGGTGACGCATGAGGGAGAGAGGGAGTGCGGGTGAAGCATGCGAGAGAGAGCATGAGGGTGACCCATGGAAGAGAGCGTGGGAGGGTGACGCATGAGAGAGGGCGAGGGTGACGCGTGAGAGAGAGCGAGGGTGACCCATGAGATGAGAGCGAGGATGACAATGAAAAGTGTGAGATTGGCACGTCACGCGTCCACTCGCCACTGCTGTTGACGCCCTGCTTGTCACGCCTGTCTCCTTGCGTTAAGGGGCCTTCCTCGCTGGCGCATGGCAGGCACCACTGGCGCATGGCGAACCAACCGTTGCGTCCCACCCTTCTTGAAGGGGCTTCAAGGGGCTTCAAGGGGCTTCTTGTCCTGTGCCTCACTGCCTACCCGCCCCCAGGCGGCCACAGGGCTGATGAAGGTGTTTGCCAGGTTCGGTCCGCGCAGCAACAGCAGCCTGCAGTACTGGGGCCTGGGGGGGTGCGTCAACAACGCGTCGCTGCTGAAGTACGCGGGGCAGGCGAACCTAATCGCCAACTACAGCAGCAGCTGCCTCAGCCTGCTGCTCACGGACAGCGACAGGTGAGCCACAGGGCGGGTGGGAGGAAGACAGCTGCCAGCAAGTTGGCTGAGGGGCGTTCTCGTTAATGCTCGTGATGCGAAAGGCTTGGGCGTTTCAGGGCGTTCCAGTGCGTTCCAAGGCGTTCCAGTGCGTTCCAGGGCGTTCCAGTGCGTTCCAGGGCGTTCCAGGGCGTTCCAGTGCGTTACAGGGCGTTCCAGAGCGTTCCTTCGCGTTCCCTGCTGTAGGCCGTGCACTCTAGCATGTGCTGTCTAGGCTGTGCACTCTAGCATGTGCTCTCTAGGCTGTGCACTCTAGCATGTGCTTTCTAGGCTGTGCACTCTAGCATGTGCTTTTCGTCTGGCTGTATGCTCTATGCTTTCTACTCTAGGGCCGTGCTCTCCAGCGAATTTGAATGTCACGTCACCGCACACACTTCACTTGGCATCCCACTCCAACTCTCCAACTCCCACGGCCGCTCTGCCAACTGATCTGCCTGCTACCATCCGTGCCCCCCTCTGCTCCTCCCGCGCCCCCCTCTGCTTCTCCCGCGCCCCCCTCTGCTCCTCCTGCATCCCCCTTCTGCTCCTCCTGCATCCCCCTCTGCTCCTCCTGCACCCCCCTCTGCTTCCGCGCAGGGTGACGGTGGAGGCGATCACAGGGTACGAGGTGCGCTCCGTGCTGGGGCTGCGCGCGCCCAGGAGGGACCTGTACCTAGTCAACCTGTGTGGCGACGCGGGGCAGGGCTACTTCCTGCCGCCGTTCACCGACTTCACTCCCCTCGTGCCGCCTGACGTCCTCACTAACCTGCTCGCAGGGAAGGCTACTGCTGGCCCTCCGGTTATCATCGACACTGGATACGTTGCAAGTGGTGCGTGCTCCAACCCAGCCCTCACCTTCCCATGTTTGTCCGTGTCGTAACGTGTGTCGTGTGTGCTCCCTTCACTCTGGATTCGAGGTCAGAATCAGTGCACTAGGGTAAACCTACGTAGTCTAGCAACAGGAGGTCGACGTTTTCTAGGGTTTATGGAATGGACCAGAAAAAATAGAGAGATTCTCAACCTACACTTGCATGCAACGTGGCTTTCCTTATGATCAAAGAACCACCTTTGTTGGGCGCGCCACATGTCTCGATTCTACACTAGCTATGGCTGTCGTGTTTCGTAGCATGTGACGACGTGATGATGTCGAGAATACAGGGAGGTGGTGCTAGTCGGACTGGGCGTGGAGGAAAGGTCCGCAGTGGCCGCAGTTTGCAGTTGCGACTCTGTCAATGTGGCGGATGCTCGGTGCAGCAGTGCACCTCACCTTACGGTGACCCCGAAATGCTCCTGCACACCTCACGGTCCTGTAAACCTCGTCGTGACCTAGGCTTGAGCAAAACACCCGCGCGGATCAGGTACCCGGACCCGGATCCGCTTTTTGGGCGGGTCGGGGATCCGGATTCCGGAATATTACCCGGCGGGTCGGGTCCGGGTTACCCGGGCGGGTATTCGATGCCCCTTACCCGAAACATTACCCGTTACTATGTGACACAACACCTTTTCTTCAAGGAGAGCTATTATCGCATGGAGGCTGCCAAAGAGAGTTGGAAATTGTTTAGTTTCTGCTTGCAAGTGACAATGAAGCTGTTTCTGCTTATTTCGCTTTTTGCTTCGTCCATCCCCAATTTCTGCGGGACGGATTCCTGCACGAGATGAGCCCTGGGCGACAATTTCTAGGCGTATGAGTAGTGCTCGTTCTCATGAGGACTCCTTGTGGTATGAAGAAGTCTGGAAGCCAAAACCAGTTACCACCACTTTTCACAAGAGTTTTACAAGCACCTTTTTTGCTAATAATAATAGGTTTTGAATCGTAAGTCGCCACCATGTATAGAAACCGTGGCAGCTACTTGGTGTTCCATCGGGCTTGAGTCATGTCTGACGCGCGAGTCAAAGGCTGGAATACTGTCAGCCCCGCCTCAAAGGCATCTACTCAAGTCTTGAGTCGGGCCTGGCAGACTTTGACCCGACTCGACATCGACTCCACCAGACTCGACTCCACTAGGTTTCACATGGTTGAATATGGCGCCTTGAGTGTCAGAGCGGTGAGACACGAGGACCACTTCCCAACGTATCACAGTGCACAGCGCCGCAGACAGCGTATGCTGGGCATGCTACTGTGACACGCCCATAGCGTGCCAATCCAGCCGGCCTTAGCTGCAAACAAAGATGCCGTGCTCGTTTGCAGCAGCAGGTGGTCAAGCACGTGAACGCTCTCCCCTGTGCTCCCAACGAATGCCCCACTCCTGCCTGCCATCCCCGCCCCTCGCCTTGCTGGCAGTGTTTGGCATCCCCATCTTGCGCCACCCGCTGCCGCCCAACGCATCGCCGCAGCAGATGAGGGAGAGCATCAGCACGGGATGGGCGTCTGTGGTTCACCTCGAGTGGCGGGCCCACGACATACTCAACATGCTGGACAGCGGTATGGTGTCAGCCTTCATCTTTTACGGATGGCAGGGTGGGACTTGTTTTCGAGGGTTTTCAAAAATCACTTATCATGGAGGGCGCGAGACATACTTAACAGTTATACCGTTTTTTTCTTCTTGGGTGTGGATCGGCCTGTAACTGGATGATTGCCCCTCTTCCCCCCTCCCCCCCCCCCCCCCCCCCCCTCCTCCTCCTCCTCCTCCTCCTCCTCCTCCTCCTCCTCCTCCTCCTCCTCCTCCTCCTCCTCCTCCTCCTCCTCCTCCTCCTCCTCCTCCTCCTCCTCCTCCTCCTCCTCCTCCTCCTCCTCCTCCTCCTCCTCCTCCTCCTCCTCGTTTGTCACAATCGGTTCGTCTCAACGACTGCCCCACATGATATGTCTCTAACCTGTCGCTGAGTGTTTCCTTTAAACAACTGCCATGTGTTGCCTCGCCATAGGGATGTTTACATCACAGGCTCGTGCTGGGCCGACCTAACCAAAAGCCCCCCTTGACCCTCGGCTAGACATGGGCAAAACATGATTGCGATTTAAATGGCATAGCGTCTAGGGGCGATTTAACATAGCATAGCGCGATTTTTGAAGTTCAAAACTGGAAATCGCATGTCGCTGGCTTTATGCGATATTATTTTAAATCGCATAAAAATAATCTAAAGTATCGCGATGCGATTTAAATAGCAATTGCATTATTGGCCGTGGGGAAAAACTTTCCGACAGGATTAATGATAGGCTAGGTTGGTGAGGGGCGGGGAAAGGTGCTTGCTTGGCAAAAACGCAATGCCGAACAGACTCTACGAAGGAGAATTTGTTTGGCTCGCTTTTTGGGTTTTGCGTTTTTGCCACCCCTTTGCTGGCGAGATTTCGCGTCGCGATGATTTTCAAAATCGCATGCGATAAAAACAAATCACAAATCACACATAAATCACACTATTTTAGGTGCGATATCATGCAATTAACAAAAACTGTGCAATAACCAATTAACTGCATAGGGTGATTAAAAAAGAAAAAAACGCATCGCGATGCGATGGGATGCAATGCGATGCGATTTTTTTTTCCCATGTCTACCCTTGGCCTTGCCGCGTCGCGCCGTGCCGGCCAGTGGCCCGCGCGGACCGACAACGCTGTCAATTCGGGCCCAACGGGAAGCCCTATAGGCTTGGACGGGCCCGAGCCTGAGGGCGGACCTATGCCGGCCCGCCATGTACCATGCGCCATGGGTCCCCCTTAACTGCTTGTCCGGCCTGAGCCCGACCAGGCCCGGCACGGGCCGGGCCGGTCCGAGGCCTACATTTCAACATGCCTACCTTGCCCTCCCTTGCCCTCCCTTGCCCTCCCTTGCCCTCCCTTGCCCTCCCTTGCCCTCCCTTGCTTCCTGTTCCTTGCGCTCGAGATCGTTAGCTCCGCCCCTTGGCTCGATACACTTCAATTCCTGCCAGGGTCGTCCCATGACCCATCCGCCACATCTCATCCCATCCGCCTCGTCCGTGCCTGTGCCCTGCAGGCGTTGCTTTGTATTCCTTTGCGATGTACGACGACACGCAGCCGGGCGAGCTGGTGCAGATCCTGGGCCCGCAACGCCTGCACCTGGAGAGCGGGCCTCTCGTGCAGCTTGTGCTGCCCGAGCGCACCGTGCCACCCGCCGACCATGTGGAGCCCTTTCCCGAGGGGCTCTTTGGCCACACCTACGAGGCGCACTGCAGGTGGGTGGCAGCACGGAACCGCACCGCATTCCACCGCTCAGCACTGCATGCCCGTAGATATCGGAACCAACCCATTTGCTGGCCATTACCTGCCGTTTGGGGTGAATGAATGCCATGCACCGTCTCTCCTTTCGGCCATGGTGCAGAGCGCCCGTTGACATTGTGAGGGCCGGACCAGCGTTGATGCTAGATTAGTGATGTAGTTTGGGCGGTTCCATAAGGAGAACATATTCTATTTCCCCCGTTAATACTGTGGAAGTCCACATTGGCAATGTAACTCCCTAGGACCTTGGATTGATTGAGAGTGCCGGATGCCGCGTGGACCACATGCATGATAACAGCCCTCTAGTCCGTCCACACAGGGCTCATACTGTTCCGCTTTTGCTCCAACCTAACCCCTTTTCCCTCCTTCCCCTCCTACCCGCCACTCTCTCTCGCTCCCCCTATAGTCCCTTTCCTCCCCCCCACTCCCCCTTCCCCATCCCTTTCCTCTGGATCATTCTCTCTTTCGCACTCCTCTCATTCCCGCCCGCAGCTTCCAGGGTGCCTACCCCAGGTGGGAGCTGGTGTATGCGCCGATGCTGCTGGGGCTGCTGGTGCTGCTGGTGGCGCTGCTGCTGTCAACGCTGATCGCCGTGCTGGCGTGGAAGAGGAGGCAGCTGGCAGAGGGCGTGCGCGAGATGGCGCTCTGCACGGCGGCGCTGGAGCGAGCCGAGCGCAAAAAGAGTGAGACGGTGGCCAACCTCTCACACGAGCTGCGCACGCCCATCATCGGCATGATAGGTGGGAGCACCCTTGGATGACATGAGAGCCTATATTTGTGCGCTGTAGCAACTACAAGCTTATTCTTCTTGTTTCAAGTGTGACAAAGCTGCTGGTGGGTGGTGGGGCTGTACGAAGTGAATTCTCGGTCGCGAGTGGCGTGAATCCGTTATCTGTGGGCGATGCGCAGGGATGATCGACGTGGTGCTGGGGTCAGCGTTGGAGGAGTGGCAGCGGGCAGACCTAAGGGATGCGAGTGCGTGTGCGGGCGAGACGGTGCACCTCATCAACCGCGTGCTCGACCTCGCCAAGCTGCAGGCCGGCCGCCTGCAGCTTGAGGCGCTGCCGTGCTGCCTGCCGCGCATTGCTCAAGATGCCATAGCATTGGCCGCACAGGATGCATGTGCAAAGGGGCTAAAAGGTACGAGCTGTTTAGTGCTGAGGGGGGCTGTGCCACTGCTGGCAGATGCGGACCTTTCTGGTTGACAAGCTTTCCGTCCCTTGCTGTTGCACGCAGTGACATGCCACGTGGATCCAAGCGTTCCGGAAGTGCTCATGGGTGATCCAACCCGGCTGGCACAAGTCGTGGGCGAGCTGACAGGTGAGTCGAGCTGACTGGTGGGTCGCCCTTTATGCCTCGCAGGTTTGTCACTCTGCATGCCTCCAGCCCTTTTGTGAACCACTGTTGGGGCATGGCTGTTGGAGGGGGATCTACCTACTCCTCGCTCATTACCGCCCTGCCATGTGCTTTTTTTGTCCCCTATGCACAACCCCCCTTCCATCCTGCAGCCCATGCTGTGAGCAGCACTCTGTCGGGCCACGTGGCTTTCCATCTCTGGTGCATCGCCCCCCATCCGCACGCCCCCCATCCGCACGGCCCCACCACGTCACCTTCATCAGGCCATGCTACTGCCACCCCTTCCCACACTCCCCATTCCTGCCATTCATCTCAAGCCTCTCGCGCCCCTCCAGCCCCTCCACCCGCATCAGCGTGGCCTCAGCTGGCTGCCTGCGTGCGCCGCTTCCCTCGGCCCACCCGCCTGGCCTGCACCCCGCAGCCCCTGGCAGCGAGCCAGGATGGGGGCACCAGCAGAGGCGAGAGGGAGGGTGGGATGGGGGTGGGAGGAAGACAAGCGAGGGGCAGGGAGGGGGTTGGAGGAGGCTGGGGCGGACGAGGGCGAAATGGCGTTGGGGCTTCAAGCATGGTTGAGGCGCAAGGTATCCTGCAACAAGGGCGGCATGGTGCGATGACAAGAAATGCAAGCACAGTAGACTCGAGCGCAGAGGATCCGAGCACACAAGTTTCGAGCGCAGGATATGCGAGCAGTTCAGTGGAGGAGCAGGGTGGCGGTGGGCGGTTGGAGAGGGAAGTGGCCGCGTGGGTGGAAGGGGCGTGCAGGGCGAGAGGCGAGGGCGAGTGGATGGTGGTGATGGCATGTGAGGACACGAGCGGTGGTATACCACCAGCCGAGATGCGGTGGGTGCTGGACCCACATGGCCACTCGCCCCACCCACCACACGCCTCTGCTGCTGCTGGTGGTGCTGGTGGTGGGCAGGGTGAGAGACACGGCAGCAAGAAGTGCCGAAGCATTGTGGTGAGTGAAGGGGGCATGCAAGTGTGAGGGAATGCATGCAAGTGTGTGGGAATGCATGCAAGTGTGAGGCAATGCATGCAAGTGTGTGGGAATGCATGCAAGTGTGTGGGAATGCATGCAAGTGTGAGGGAATGCATGCAGGTGTGTGGGAACGCACGCAAGTGTGTGGGAATGCATGCAATTGTGTGGGAATGCATGCAAGTGTGTGGGAATGCATGCAAGTGTGTGGGAATGCATGCAAGTGTGTGGGAATGCATGCAAGTGTGTGGGAATGCACGCAAGTGTGTGGGAATGCATGCAAGTGTGTGGGAATGCATGCAAGTGTGTGGGAATGCATGCAAGTGTGTGAGACCGTGTGTGTGGGGCTGCATGGTTGCTCTTCACGTGTTGTGGGCACTGTCGCTCGCTCCATCCTGCCTGTCAATGCACTGTTCTCTACCTTCCAACAACTCTGGTGCCTCCCTGCATTCTTCTGCTCTCTTTCATGTGCCTCCGTCCCTCTGCCCCCCATTCCTCTCTCTACAATCCCTTTCCATCTCCCCCCACTCACTTTGTGTCTCGCTCATCTTTCGCCTCCTCTTGTCTTGATTGACTCGGTTTCCACTTTTCGTTCTCCACATCTTATCCCGTTCCTGCTTCCCTCCTGCCTCTCTCTGCACTTGTTTCTTGCAGCCAAGGCCGAGCGGCACAGTGACCCCTCTGACTGCGGATCAGCGGGCAGCGGCCCGCCCCCCTTGGACGCCCTACCCGGTCCGCTTCCTCCTCTCCACGTCGCTTGTGAGTATGCCACTGCTGGAGTCATGCTAAATGCGGAGGGAAGGCTTGAAGAGTCTGGGTCGTGGCTAGAAAGAAAGTATTGCTCAAAGTGGTTGGTTGAAGTGGAGTCTCCAAAACACATGGGTGACAGAGCAGCATCACCCCTACAATTTAAGTCGAGAATGAACAGAGTTGAAGCTAGAAGCGAAACTTAGTTCGTAGTGGTCTTCCGTTGTTTAGGGTTAGGAACTGGATAGGGCTTGGATTGATGGTCACCAAAGGCAGGGTCTTTTAACATGTTGGGGTATTGGCTGGTCAACATATGTAGGAATCAAGCACATCCTTGGTTGTTTTCATCACATGCTCAGGGTCGACCTCTGCTCGTCCTTGGCCTCTCTCGTTGCTCTCTCTCAGCCCTGTTTATGCCTTCCCTCAACACACCGCCTCGTGTCTTCTCCCTACTCTCCCCCCCCAAAGGACAGCCCTACTTAAGCCTTCTCCTCAATAGTTTTTTTCTCTCTCCACACCCCCTTGCCCCTCTCCTCTCCGTCAGCACCGCTCCACCGTGTCTCCTTCCCCCCCTCCCCTTTGCCCCCCCACTGCAGGTGGCTGAGATGCGGGGCACCATGGCAGTGCTTTCAGACGCCACCACGGGCACCACCATTCTTCTCGCGCTGCCCATGGGGGGAGTCGAGGCCGCTTGTGCCAGGGGGGGTGGGGAGGGGGATGGTGATGAGGAGGGGGTGGTGGTAGCAGTGGCGGCAGGGCAGCAGGTGGCGGGCTCTAGTGGCCTTGGTGGGTGCACCCCTTGTGATGCCGCTGCTGTGGTGGAGCCACCAGCACTGCAGCAGCAGGCGGCACCGTGTCGGTCCCTCTCCCTGCTAAGGGACAGCATGGGGGCCAGCATGGGGGCGGCGGTGCGGGCAGAGGCGGCGATGCGGATTATGATGGCGGGGCTGTGGGTAGCGGTGGTGGATGACAACCTTGTGAACCGCATGGTGGCGCGCAGAACGCTGCAGGGCTACGGGGCACACGTGCTGCTGCTGCACTCAGGGGAGGACGCCCTCCACACGCTCTCCACTCACGCTCCCTCCCCGCCCGTCCACCTGCTGCTGCTGGACCTCCACATGCCGCCCGGCATCGATGGGTGAGTGCTTACCCCCTGCTCCCATGGGTATCAGCTGTGTTCTGCCCTCCCCGCTCTTTCATGTCACAACTGTATGGCATATTGCCATGCTGTGAACTCCGCTGTCTCCCGTTGTTACAGCGTCTGTCCCCGTTGTCATAGCATGCGTTATTATCCGTTCACAGGGTCATTATTATCCTTTCACTCTCCGTTCTGCCACTCTCCCATGCGTTTCTTTCGATGTTTGCCAACTTCTTTCCCTGTTACAGATTCGAAACGGCTCGTCAAATTCGTGGCATGGAGAGAGGTCAGCAGGTGCCGAGCATGGAAGGGCCAACAGCAGCTGCTGGGCTGGAGAACCATGTGCTGGAGGTAGGAGCGAGGCGGAAGGGCCTTTGCATCATAGCGCTGACTGCAGACTTGGATGTGGGAGTGAAGAAGGCGTGCCTGGAGGCGGGGATGGATGGAGCAGTGAGAAAGCCCATAGTGGCACAGGAGTTGCTCGCAGCACTCACAGGCGCTGGATTTGTTGCGCCTTCGGAACAACCCTTATTTTGTCACAGTAAATCATGTTAAATTATATATATGTTATATAATTATAGGCTTGGTACGTGTTACTAAAACTTATTGTAGAGGGTACAACACCCCTCCTTGTATCCCTCTCTCTTCTATTCTCGCTCTCTTTTTTCTCGTAACTTTCTCTCCTAGCAGAACCCTCGTGCCATTCCATGGCTTCCTAGCTACCTAGATCTCGTGTCATGGTAACAGAGCAGGTTGCCCTTCCCCGGCCTGCTCCTCACGCTCCCGCCGCGCACTCCTCCTCTCCCCCTCGCGCTGCCATGGCGGCCGTGTCGTGCTGCTGTGGCGGCGTCGTCGTGCCGCTGGCCGCGTCGTGCTGCCGTGGCCGTTTCGACGCGTTGCCGTGGCGTCGCGCTGTCGTGGAGTCGACGTCACGCCGTGGCGGCGTCGCCGACGTCGAGCTGTGGCGGCGTGACAGAGCCGTCGTGCTGCCATGGCGACGTGCTGCCAGCGCGCGTACGGCACGGTCAGCAGCGGCCAGCGCCCCGTTTTAGGCGCCGCCAGTCCTGACGCCCGCACGCCAGCCACGGGCGTGATGCTGGACCACGCCCCGTTCCCCCCCCCTTTTCCCCTGCGTCCCCTCCTCGCCACAGCCGACACCTGACTCGTGAGGGTCGTCCCCATCGTCGCGGAGCTTGGCCACGCCTCCGAGAGGGCGGGCGCCGCTGTCGTCGAAGCCGCCGCCGCTGCCGCTGTCGCCGCTGGCCTGTTGCCGCCGCACGCCGCCGCCGCTGCCGTCACTGCCGCCACTGCCGCCGTCGCCATCTCCCGGGCCGTGGGGTTGGCCATGCCGGTGTAGTCGTGGCTGCTGCTGGGAATGGGTGTGCTAGGTTAGGGGGTGTGGGTGTGTGTGGGTTCTTCTACTACTAAGCCTAGGGGGAGTGTTAAATTATATATATTTTACAAAATTATAGGCTTGGTAGGTGTTACTAAAACTTACTGTAGAGGGTACAACACCCCTCCTTGTATCCCTCTCTCTTCTATTCTCACTCTCTTTTCTCTCGTAACTTTCTCTCCTAGCAAAACCCTCGTGCCATTCCATGGCTTCCTAGCACCTAGATCTCGTGACAAAGCAGCCTGATTCACTGAAAATCGGTCTTTTTTTTTTACCACCCTGATGGCCCTCCTGGATATGTTTTCTTATTCTCTGGTTTATCAGAGTTGGCCTACCATGTGCCCTGTTGGACTCCCTATTGGGGGGATACCCCCAGGTTTTTCCTGTCCCCCCTGTACGCATACGGTACGTTGAACTTGCAGCCCGGATTCCTGGGTAGTTTCACACTCACCGCCCGTTGAGTACAAGTATTTTGCTGCCAAACTTGCTGCCACTGGAAGATTCATTTGTGCCCATTGGCCACTTATTGTAAGGAAATCGTAATTCCTTACTGGGGCTTGCCTCAGCGAGTACACACGAACAGATCGCGTTCAAACCAAGCCCACCGGCCTAATCGGCCCCAAACCTGATTCCAAGGCGCCCTGAGCCCATTTCGCCCTCATTGCCCTCGGGTCGGGGAACTCTCGCGTCCTAATTGGTTCAGCTTGGAGATCCTGCCATACTCCATTTGTCGTATTAATTCCTATGCCTTCATTTGTATCGACGCATTTTAGTCACATTCGCCTTTACAGTTTTCTGCGCTATACTTTGGGTTTGTTTCATAACACTTGGTATCAGAGCCACAATTATGCCCATCTAGGTTCTGGCAGGCGAGCAGACCCTATCTGAGAAGGGGGCGGAAGTATACTAGTGGTGAGCATCTCTGATGACGCCAAATCCTCTCCGATAGACGGCTGGGATTAGCTGGTCCCCCCTTGCCCCCTACGTGGACAGAATCACCGTCTAATCTGATGTGGCGATGTTGTCTCCAGATCTTTCGGGTACCGTATTCCTCCGGTTACAGTACCCACCGAAATTAAGCTCCCATGGGTAGCTTGAGCGGGTATGGGTGATTAATGAAACTGGATCTAGTTACCACCCTACTTTTGGGCTTGAAAACAATTGAACACCCTCCCCCGAAACAGGGAACTCAATTCTATGGATTTTCACTAAGCAATAAGGAATTAGAGGTTAGCTAAACAACCTAAGCTTGCTTGCATATCCTATAGCTCTATCAGGGGACCACAGTACAAGCTACCACTACTCTAACTCATGCTGCTACTGCCTCTGCTATATGCTCTAGTCATCCTTGTCATCATCTTCAACGTCGCCAGCATGCCACTCCTCAACATCACTCCCATCCGCCAGCTCGTCTCACCAGTGGCCGTCATCATCCTCTTCAGCAATGCCTTCAGCCGGCCACTCCACACTATCTACTCCAGCTCGTTCTGCTTCTGTTGCTGTCTCTGCCTCTATTGCAGGAAGGTCGGCATCCTCTCCTATTGCCGCTGCTTCATCCATGCCGACATCGGCTTCTTCTACCGCCGCGGCGTCATCCTCCTCATCGTCGGCCAAGTCCTCTTTGACGTCGATCGTGCAGTCATACAGAGGGTTCATGTACTCGCTCTCACCCTCTTGAACATGGATGTCGTCCATGACTTCCACGCCCGGCTTCTCGTGGAGATGACGGAGAGCCAACTTGTCCTCGGAGCCATCCAGCACGTTCGAGATCCCACAGGTCTTGAACGAATTCCGAATGAGCTCCTTCGGTACTGTCGCCCATGACCGTGCAATCCATTTGAGAATGAGCTATGCTGGGGTTTTTTTCAGATTTCCTGCAGAGGGAGTGGAGGAGGTCAACGGCAACAAGTCAGCGTTTAGAAAGCGAGGAACAACATTGAACAACGGTCAGATTAATGCAGAAAGCATTCAACGAAGCAACGGAAACATGATGCGGGCTCACCTCATGCTGTTTTAAGGTCAATGCCGAACTCCTCGAACCAGGTGCCGTAGTCGCTATGCACACCAGCTTTGAAGCTCTTGTTAACAGTGACATCCAGTGGCTGCACGAAAGGCGTGCATCCTCCAGGGATGACTACATGGGTCAGCTTGCAGAGCTTCATCGTTTGTCCGACCGCCTCTGTGAGGTGCCCCTTGTAGGAGTCGGGATGACAAGCGCATCCTTGCGCCTGTTGCTGGCTTCGCGCAGTGGTCGAAGGAAGGGATTCAGGACTTGATTAGTCCAGTCTTGGACTAGCTTGTCATCCATCCAGCCCTTTTGCTGGGCTCGAATGATGACACCTACATGCACCCGAACACCACAGGCAGAGAGTCAGTCAACAGACGATGGTGTGGAGCTACCAAGGAAGCTGCCAGAGTTCAGAATCCTTACCCGGGGGAACCTAAATCTTCGGCAGGGTCTTCCACTTGAATATGAGAGTTTCATTCCGGAAGCTGTGACTGCCAACATGACGGTCAAGTGCTCTCTCTCGTACCCGGTGGTCCTTACGTGGACTGTCCGCGATCCTTTGTGCTTCAAGGTCCCTTTCTATGGCATCTTGATGAAAAGTGGAGTCTGATTCGCGTTGACAATGAGGTCGAGATTGTAGTCATTGAGCAGTCGCATTTGCTTGACGAATTCCCATAACTTGTGGATTTTCTCCCGCATGTTTGCATTAGACAAAACAGAGATAGAGAATTAGTCAGGATTTCACGTAAAACAAACATGCACTACTCGGCAGGACTAGCAAGATGGGAAAGGAAGCTTACCATCGGCGAGCTTCTGCCCATCTTCGTCTTCACCCGTCGTGTCAGCCCAGATCGCGCGCGGAATCTGAAGGTTCAGCAGCTCGACGTGCGCCAGTCAACATCAGGATGGCGAGCCCTCATGTACGAGTGGCTCCACTTATGCAGGAGCTTCACGAAGACGGCCAGGCCCTTCCCTCGATGCCGTATAAACTGACGGTAGAGAGCCGCTTCCATCGTCGGGAACTTCGCCAGACGACCAGCGCCAACGAGCCGCTTTCGATAGCTTGCAGCGACACGGAGTCTCTCTTGTGCCTTCTTCCACTCCCGAATCATGAAAGGCTGCATACCTGCGAGCTTGGCCAGCGCACGGATGGAGAGGTAAGGCTGAGAGTCAAACATTCCTAACCAGTACGATTTCTCCGAAGCGGTGTACGAGCGGCGTTTCCGCTTTATCATCCTGCTTCGAGGAGAGGGTGGGTTCACGTCATGGTTCATAGTCGGGCCATTTGGACAGCGGACAGGCGCGAGGAAGCTCGACACATTGACATGGGGCAGAGGACGCCGACCCTCCGTCGCCTCGCTCGCTGAGTCTGTGGCGGTGTTGTCGCCCTCGCCAACCGTGCAACTAGGGCTCCGAGAGGGCGACGATACAGTCGGGCAGGATGGACGGTGGAAGAATGCCTTCTGACCGTAAGGGCCTCTCTGAGATAGCAAATGCGACATGCCTATGCCAGACGCCATGGCGGGAGCGTCCTACAGAAACTGAGTGGGATGCATGAGACAGCCCTTGCAGGGGCTGTCTTGTAGGCATCCTTTTGTTGAATGGCAAAATGAGGCGGGTAGACCCACTTCAAGAACGGGATGGAGGGGAAGGAAGGGACGTGCGCGACTCCCTCGTCCTTGTTGACCACAAACAACCCCTTCACGACCGTCCAGCGCACAATTCCGTGCAATGGACGGTTGGGGATGGGTCCTGAATGGAGACTCCCCTTGGATGTCGTCAACCAATGCTGTGATGGCACAGCACTGTATGGAAGGAGATAGGATGAGGCCTGCGGCACGCGTTCATTGGCTAATTTGCCAGCATTGTCCTTGACTCTGTTGGTTTAGCTGACGACATGGATTGCACATGGACCACATCGCCAGGTACGCGATGAGGTCACGGAATGTTGATATCAGACTCAGTACAAAGTAGTGTAACATGCATAAACATTTTGCAATTGGAAAAACCATATGCACGCTCCATAAAACCATGGTTTTTTTTTTTTTTTTTTTTTTTTTTTGCCTTTAATTCCACCCACCCCAAAGTTTTCATGAATTTTTATTAGCTCCCTAGGGTACTGCATCCGGGGAAATCTTTAGGAGCAACTGTAGCAGTGAATTTGAGAGTCTCATCGGGTGCAGAAGAGGAGATTCCAGATTTTGCGGTGTAGTTTTTACGTTTTTTTTTTCACAGGCCCTGGATTTAGCGAAAGCGTGAATGATACTAATCAAGAATTCTCTGCATACAAGCAAAGAGCCAATCCTATTTATACTTATGAGAACACTAGGGAAGGGTAACTAGGGCCTTTGAAGAGAGTTCAAGAGATGAATAGAACCTTCCTTAAGAACATCAAGAAACAAGGTAGGGATTCTAGAGATACGTTAACGGTGACGGGACACTCCATGCACAAAGAAATTCCGAATCACTATGTAATACATATGATATATGTGAAATATATCAATATGTAGGAAGAGTGTAGGGATTTCCAGGGAAAGTATAATGAAGCGCAAAGAGTGTGTGTCGAATAGTTGAGTAGCGAGGAAACAATACAATTAGGCAACATCAAAACAACAGGAAGCCCAGATATAGCTAGGCCTAGAGCACACTGTCAAGGCTCGGCAGAGCTGAAACATGTGGTTTGTAAATTATCGCAAAACGCCCAGATCTAGGCATGAATTTGCAAGGCTGGCAGAATGCATGCGACTCGTCAGAAGACCACATTTGGGTGCCGCGATTTGAATTTCGTGGCAGAGCTGCGCGGCAACCCTGTTATAGCAGTGTACGCCTTAATAAATAAAATCCGGGAAAAGTAAATGCCATTTCCTTACACCCTACCCCCTCCAAGGTAAGGTCTTAGCTAAGACTGCCAACGTCTCACATATTGCGTGAGTGGAGGTAGACTCGTAACACTGGGTAATTCTCGATCTATGCCAGAGACACCCAACTTTTTTCCAAGGACGTCCGGTCCTTCCATGAACAAGGAACTCGATCAAGTGAGCCCCTCGAGGGTCCTTGATCCGATGGTTGAGAATCTTCTTATGTTCGATAGTCGGTTCGGCGAGCGGTCGGATGTTCGCTTCTGATCGGAAATGTGGTAATCTGCTGGTTCTGGCGATGTATGGTCGCAGTAGCCGCACGTGAAATGATGGGCTGACGTTCCTTGTGGTAGGTAACAATAAACAAAATGTAACGGAGAATATCATGTGGCTAATTGTAAATGGTCCACAATAACAGGGGCGGAGTTCTAGGAATATGGGTAGTCGAAGATTTTGAGTGTCGAGCAGTACTAAGTTCCCTGCCTGGTAAGTCACTGCCCGTCGGTGTAGATCTGCGTTACGCTTAGAAATAATGTTCGCCCGCTTAATGACTTCTGCTGCTTGCCCATGGGCATTCTGTAACCAACAGCAAAATGTTGGTTTCTGGGTACGAGATTGTCGATGTAAGGTTTGATGGGTAGTGTAGGGTTTTGTCCATGATAAAGGTAAAATGGTGACTGTCGGGTTGTGGCTGATGGGGCGTTGTTGTATGTGAACTCAATCAGTGGCAGTTGAGTTTCTCAGTCGGCCACGGCATCACGGGTGGCGCGAATCAGTTGCTCCATCATCTGATTGGCTCGTTCAGTCTGTCCATCAATCTCGAGGTGATAGACGGAGGAGAACTGTAGGCGCGTGCCAAACTGGTCCCAAAGGTTGCGCCAGAAATTGCTCGTGAATTTTGTGTCATGATCGGAAATGATGGCGAATGGGATTGTTAACTTATATTTTATATATATAATTGTAGGCTCAGTAGGTCTTGCTAAATCCTATTGTAGAGGGTACAACTCCCTCCTTGTATCCCTCTCTCTTCTAATCTCATCCTCTTCTCTCTCTCCTAGCACCTAAACCTCTCGCCATTCATGGCTTCTCCCCCTAGATTATTCTAGTACTCTAACATGGTTTCAGAGCCGGAGGTCAGCCCTGCTGGGCTGCCTCCTCACGCTTCCGCCGCGTACCCCCCCTTTCTCGTTCCTTCCGCGCCGCCGTGGCGGCCGTGTCGTGCTGCCATGGCGGCTATGTTGCACTGCCGTGGCAGCCTCGACGTGGCGGCTTCGTCGTGCCGCCGTCGTCGCGTCAGCGCACGGGCGGCAGTGGGCCATGCACTAGTTTAGGCACCAGGCAGCAAGCCCGCACTTCAGCTCGCCGCGCCTCCCCAGCTCGTCGTGTTAGACCCTGCTCAACGCGTCGGACACAGCCCACGTCGGTCCCAGCGGACCCAGCTCGCCGCGTCGGTACCAACTCGCAGCGTCGCTCCCAACTCGCCATGCTTGCTGGCTCCGCCCCGCCGCAGCTCAAGAAGGCCTAGCGCCCTCCTTCCCTGCAGTCACCTCTGCGCCCTCCTTCTCTGCGTCCTAGAGGATTGGCAATATGCGTTGGCTTTCCTTGCGGCTGCTGTACCTCATTTCTGCGTCATGCTAGTGTCCGTGAAGGGTGACCTAGATGCCCTGGACATCCCTACCACGCGCTCGTACGCTGAGGCGGTTACGGGGCCAAGAGCAACCCTGTCGATATAGGTGATGGAGGCAAATATGGCATCTCATAGAGCCGCTGACACTTACATCGACATGGTTCCTCCCCCTGTGGTGAACATAGTCGATGGCATATGAGTCTATAAGGTGAAGCGCCCACCTGGAGAGCCGTCGCAGTTTAAGGCACGGTATGTGACCAGATGCTTCAGCCAGCATGAGGGTGTGGAATTCTTCCATACCTTCTTCTTCACCCCGAAGATGAGTACTCTTCGGGTGCTCCTCCATACAGCCGTACATCGTGACTACGAGCTCCACTCTTTGGACTTCTCGACAACTTTCTTGCAGGGAAGCCTACACGAGCAAATCTACTTGTGGCGCCCACCAGTGTGAGAGTACGACCCCGTTCCATTCCTTTCTCCTTTCCATTTCATTCCTCTTTTTCTCCTGACCCATTTGGTCATTATCTCATCCCATTTGGATTCCTATTTCTCCTTTTTCCATAAACCTTTGGTTTATCCTGTTATGATCATTATATCACCGACCAGGCTCGGGATGTACTGGCACGCTATATCTAGCGTAATCCTGCCGTAATCCCTTTAAGCCAATAGCCTCGCGTGGTTATACGCAGGGTGATTCTATTTTCTAGAAGGGTCTATTCCCTTGGGATAGGATAAACTTGGTTACCTGATGTACTTTGGAAGTATAAAAGCGCCTTGTATCAATCAATAGTGCAACATTTTCTCGAGACATTCGATCCTGTGACATTTGTATCAGAGCTTTTTTCATTCGGCCGCGCTCAGCTAAGCAGCCGCAGCAGGACTCCTGCCTCGAAAAACCGCCGGGGGCGACCAATTCGACGCCGATTCTGGTAAGCACCAGCTCCGCGCTTTTTCGAATTACCCCCTCCGCGCGTGTTTTGAACAGGATGGCAAACTTCGACAACGTCGAGGTTACCCAGCAGCTCTTCGCGCGCATCGCAACCCTTCAGGAGGAGATTCGCGCGCATCGCAACCCTTCAGGAGGAGATGCGAGCGTATCGCGAAGCGTGGCAAAACGAGTTCGAGCGAGTAACTCGCCTCGCCGGAGCGCAGCACGACTCGACAACGGCGACGACGCAGTAGTCGCAACAGTTTCTCGAGGCTCCGAAACCGCGCCCACCTGAGCCGTTCGATCCGAGCGATCGAAACTCCGACGTCGGCAGATGGATCGCCGGCATGGAGATCTACTTCGCAGCCGTCGGATGGAGCTCGCCAGTCTGGGACGGTCAACGCGTACGACTTGCGGCGACACTGATGCGAGGGCCGGCACTCGAGTGGATCGGCGGTAACAGCAACTTCATCCACAGCGAAGCCACGTGGCAGCAGTTCCGCGCCGACCTGCTGAAACGCTTCGAGCCGATAAATTCGGGTTTCCTTGCCTGGGAAAAAATTCATCGCCATCGACAGTTCGGGAGAGTAGCGCAGTACACGCGGCAGATGGAGGAATTTTATAACCATATTCCCGATTTGACCAAAGGGGAAAAAGTACAGTCGTACCTCGCCGGGCTGAAGACCGAAGTCAAACGACAAGTGGCAGCGACAAACTACGCGAGCTACAGTGACGTCATATCGGTCGCGGAACGCTTCGACATGGTCATCGCCGGGACACGACGGACGCACGTCGGCAGTAAACGACAGGGCGACCACTCGGCTCACACCACGTTCGCCGACCCGATGGAAATCGACAGGTTCGACGGGCGGCCACGTCCGAAAAACACCAACTACACGTGTGATTTTTGCGGGGTGCCGGGTCATCGAATCTTCGACTGCAACAAAATCAAAGCCGCACGTGTTGAGTATCGGGCACGCAACAGTGGCGGAAATCCTTCGGCCAATCAGAAGCCAAAAAACGGGACTCGCCAGTGATTGCGGATCTAGCTGGCGAAAAAGAAAAGATATGAAATCAGCCGCGAACTTCCAGAAAAATCAACTTCGACGCAGCTGATTCGACGAGAACATGAGAAAATGATGGGGAAAAATCTCCACCCCACGACCAGTCTTTTCTAGAGGAAATCGTTGAGAAAAAAACTAACTCCGCGAAAAAGGACTCTGACAAGACAGGGAAACTCCTTGAAGACCCAAGAAATTATCAGGATTCGTTAAAGTTATCTTATAAAGATGCTTTAATGAAAACTTGTAATTCTCGAGGGGCTAGAGCCTTGGAGAAAATTCGGGAGGGACTCCAAAAGAAGCAGAAAATTGTGGAGATCATACTGGTACCGGAAAACTTGGGGACTAAATTAAGGAGTGTGGAAAGAAGCCGACCTTTCCACGGAGTCAACGTCCTCTCCCGACACCAGCCCACAGCGACTACCCGTTCCCCAGGGAAGACGTCGGTGGAGCTGAAGTAGCTCAAGAGGAAGCTGGGGGTCTACAAGAAGCTGCAAAAACCCCGAACTCCTTCGTCTTCGGATGCATCCAACTCGGCAACTTCGTCAACGACAAGAACAGTCGTCACGGAAACTCCGGGCCAGGGAGAAGAACCTTTCTCCAAGTAGCCGCGGCCAGCTGCCAGCTCAGGAGTAGGAAGCAACGAATATTGGGATGTACCCTATGACCCAATCAATGAAACTATCTTCGGGTACTCCGAGCAACGCCTGCCCCTCGTGCTCGAGGTCATCTGCAAAGGACGACGCCTCCAAGCACTCGTGGACAGCGGAGCATCGCACTCCGTATGCGACAAGGCAACCCTCGACCGACATCGAGAAGAGTCCAAGCCATCACCATTTTCTGCAACAATGGTAGACGACAACAAGTTACCAGTGTACGGCGAAGCAGTGCTGCACCTACAAATCGGTCCACTGCGCTGGAAACCTGCTCTCCCCATCACCAACATAAAAGGGCTTGATCTGATCTTCGGGCGAGACTTCCTCAAGAAATTCAACCCCGAGATCAACTGGGTAAACCACACCGCAAGCATCTACAACAAAGGAAGGAGAGTCCAGCTACCCAACTGGGATGATACAGGAGATATCCCAGTGGAGACACTCGCCAGATTCGAGAAGGACGTGAAATGAACCAACACCGGATTCCTGGCGATAGCAACAGAGGTGGAGAATGAGGGAGAGAAAGCCTCGGAACCTCCAAAAAAAATCAAGGACTTACTGAGGGAGTTCCAAGACATTCTTCCCAACGACCTCCCGGACGAGCTACCGCCATACCGAACGCACCAACACAAGATCGTGGAGGAACCAGGTTCGAAGCCGACCTTCCGAACACCATATCGGCTAAGCCCCACAGAACTAGCTGACATGAAGAAGTAGATCGAGTATCTCCTCACCAAAGGACTCATCCGACCATCCACTTTGCCATACGGTGCCCCAGTACTCTTCACACCGAAACCGGATGGAAGCCTGCGCATGTGCACCGACTACCGAGCTCTCAACAAGCAGACCATAAAAAACAAATACCCGATTCCACGAATCGATGACCTGCTTGACCAGCATTGGGGAGCCACGGTATTTTAAAAACTAGATCTGCGGTCCGGATACTGGCAGATACGAATGGCGGATGAATATGTTCACAAAACTGCCTTCCGAACTGGATACGGATCGTACGAGTATCTGGTAATGCCGTTCGGACTCACCAACGCACCTGCAACGTTCCAAGCAGAAATTAATCATATCCTACGCCCACTCTTGGACGAATGCGTGGTGGTGACGACATATTGTAAACGCTCAAGGAGTTCACGTCGACCCCAAGAAATTCAAAGCCGTGCGTACGTGGAAGACACTCGAGAACGTGAAGGAGTTACAGCAATTCCTTGGTCTCCCTAACTACTACAACAGGTTCGTGCCACAATACGCGAAGATCGCTGCGCCACTCACGAATCTGCTAAAAAAGAACACGCCCTATAAATGGGAGACGAAACACCAGGAATCCGTGGAGCAGCTAAAACAAGCACTCACGTCCGTACCCGTACTCATCTTGCCAGACCCTGAACGCGACTACGTCATCGAAGCTGACGCCAGTGACCAGGCAGTGGGAGCAGTCTTGATGCAAGACCAGGGGAATGGCCTGCAACCAATTGCCTACCTCAGCAAAAAATTACACGGGGCAGAACTCAACTACCCGATACACGACAAGGAGGCCCTTGCTATCATCATCGCCTTCAAAACGTGGAGATGCTATCTCGAAGGACGCAAGACGACAGTCTACGCCGACCATTGCAGCCTAAAATATTTGAAGACGCAACCAAGCCTCTCTAGGCGGCAGGTCCGGTGGATTGACTTCCTCGAGACACACTTCCACTATGACATCGTGTACAAGCCCGGCCACAAAAACAAAGCAGATGTGTTTAGCCGGCTTGCACACGTTGCCGCGATCCAGATTGAAGGGACGAATCCACTCCTCAAGGGACTCTTCACACACGGGTACACCATCGACCCCGAAATTCCCTTGGCAGAAAAGCGACATCTGCTACAGTGGGACAACGACATCGCGTACCGGAAAGGATCAACGAAGATCTGGGTACCTAATTACCCTCCATTGCGCCAGTTACTACTCGAAGAATACCACGACGTCCTGTACGCGAGACACTTCGGTAACAACAAGACGCTCACCGGTATCGCCAAACACTACTACTGGCCCCACATGGCAGATGACGTACAGAAATTCGTCACCTCGTGCACTACATGTCAGCGGATGAAGAGCAGCAAGAAGAAAAAGGCGGGTCTGCTACAGCCTCTTCTTGTCCCAGAACAGCCATGGCAAGTGGTAAGCCTAGACTTCATCACCGGGCTACCAACTACCACAAGCGGTCATGACGCGATCCTCGTTGTCATTGACAAGTTCTCCAAAATGGGACACTTCATCCCGACACACACCACAGCATGCACCGAGGAGACAGCACAACCCTTTGTTTGCTACATCATCTCACAACATGGCATTCCGACCACACTCATCTCCGACCGAGACCCTAAGTTCACCAGTAAATTCTGGAAAGAACTGATGTTTCTACTCGGAAACCAAACTCGTCATGTCATCCGCATACCATTTGCAGACAGACGGACAGGCCGAGCGCCTCAACTAAATTGTGGAGCAACTCCTCTGCGCAGCTTGCAAGGACGACATCTCCAAATGGGACTTGCATCTGCCCGTCCTGGAGTTTGCCTACAACAATGCTACTCATGCCGCTACTGGACAGACGTTGTTCTTCCTCTGTTACGGACGCCATCCACTCACACCTCAACAGCCAAACATACCAGCCACAGTCCAACCCGCTCATGATTTCATCACGACCATGCACAAACTTTGGGATCGGACCCACAAGTGCCTTCTCGACTTCCAGCAGCAACAGAAGCGCCAGGCCGATCGCCACCGCACAGACCACACCATCACCGCGGGAGACCGAGTACTACTTGACACACGCAATCTTGACATCAGCCATCTTCCATCCAAACCGCGACCTCGCTTCTGCGGGCCTTTCCTCGTTGAAGCACAAGTCACTCCTGTTACCTTCCGCTTACGCCTGCCAGCTACCTGAAAGATTCACAACGCCTTCCATGTCCAACTCTTGAAGCCCTACTGAGATCCCAACACGGTCTTCTCTGGACGCCAACCGCCGCCGCCGCCGCCCGTCCTCGTCCATGATGAACCCGAGTACGAGGTCGAGTCCGTGCTTGCTCACCACCGTCGACGGAATGGCACCATGAAGCTTCTCATCCATTGGAAGGGTTATGATCCTTCAGAGGATAGCTGGGTCTCTGAATCCAAGATGGATCATGCTCGTCGTCCTCTTCGCGACTACCTTGTCAAGCAGGGTGTTACGTCTACCACCCAGCTTTGAGGGGGGGAAGTGTGAGAGTACGACCTCATTCCATTCCATTTCATTTCTCCTTTCCATTTCATTCCTCTTTTTCTCCTGATCCATTTGGTCTTTATCTCATCCCATTTGGATTCCTATTTCTCATTTTCCATAAACCTTTGGTTTATCCTGTTATGATCATTATATCACCAACCAGGCTCTGGATGTACTGGCGCGCTATATCTAGCGTAATCCTGCCGTGATCCCTTAAAGTCAATAGCCTCGCCTGGCTATACGCAGGGTGATTCCATTTTCTAGAAGGGTCTATTCCCTTGGGATAGGATAAACCTGGTTACCTGGTGTACTTTGGAAGTATAAAAGCGCCTTGTATCAATCGATAGTGCAACCTTTTCTCGAGACATTCGATCCTGTGACAACCAGGCTTCACCGGGTAATTTCCACCTGGGACCCGGAGGAGCCTACGGCTGGCGCACCGCGCGTGGCACGACACGCTCCGCACTACACTAGCAGTTTTCCAGTTCTTCCCATCCTCTCCTGACCCCTCATTCTTCATTCGTGCTGGCCAGACTCCTGTCTACATCCTTGTGTATGTAGACGACTTGATGTTTGCTACACCAGACAGGGTCGCACTAGTCTTAGTGAAGGCTGCGCTACTCAGAAGACAAGCCAAGACAGACCTGGAAGAGCTGCGGTGCTATCTGGGTTTGGAGACCTCTCGTGCACGTACAGCGCTCATAGTCACCCTCTCCTAGTCCCATATGCTGCAGAAGATCCTTCAGAGGTTTGGTTTCCAGTTCTCGTCAGCATGGCCCATTCCCCTCCAACTGGACCACAAGCTCTCAGGTCATGTCTCCGGTAAGCCAGGCGAGCCCAGTGGTCCCTACGCAGAGCTGGTGGGATGTTTCCTGTATCTGATGACGTGCACTCGCCTAGATCCTGCAGACCCTCTCAGCATTCTCGCTCACGTCGTTGCTTCTGGCAGACACCGACCAGAGCACGGGTCGGCTGCTTAGAGGGAATTGCGGTATCTGGCGAGTACCTTAGGCATGGGGCTTGTGCTGGGAGGACAGGCGGCATTGGTCCTCATTGGACATACAGATGCGTCGTGGGCTGACGACTTGGAACGCTCAGGTCATTACAAGGCTAATGATTCAGCCTTAGTGCTTGTGCTGTCTTTTGGCGGTCCACTTGGTTGTCGCTAGTGCTATGGCTGTTCAGGAGCTTCGCTAGCTGACGTTCCTGCTCACTGATTAGGTGAGCAGCCCAGGTTTTCCCTGGTCCCGTTTGCTGATAACAATGTCATGATCCTCCTGTGTCAGGACCTGTGTCAGGAGGCTCGACTTGAGGGCAAGTCCAAGCACATCCAACAGCGGTACCTTTCTGTTGCGTGAGTTGCAGCAACGCGGCCAGGCCCGCATAGTACAGCTGGTTTCAGAGGCCAGTACTGCTGATATCACCAAGGCCCTTCGGCCTCGTGGTTATGTACTCGGCTCGGCCTAGTCCCAGTTGCCCGACACTCCCTTGTATCCTGATTTGTGTGTGCTGAATTATACCGGTTGTCTTGTTACTCTTGCTGACTGGCCTTCTGGCCCTTTTCTCAGTGGCCAGACTGATAGTGCTGCCTGGATTGCTGTGTCTTGCTAGACTCAGCCCCTACCCAGTTTAGGGGATGTGTTAGTATATATAATGTATTATATTATATTTACATTACATGGTAGCTAGGTGCTGTAGTGGGGACAACCCAAATACTTGAACGCCATCCTGTTTCTGTTTCATTTTGTAGCTAGGTTCTGTACTATACCGAAGATCATTCTGAAGAAGCAGAAACGGACAGCAGCGTGCGTACGGAAGGTGAGCACAGCACAGCACACTGCAACTGTATGCTGGCTGGAGTGGAGTGTAAAATAGCAGGCGAGGTGAGGTGAGCCAACTACACACACCGATTTGAACCGTTGCACTGTAACCATGCATCCCCTGCTGCTGGGAGACTATAGCCCCCAGCCCCACCAACCCAACAACATGGCTTGCACACAGGGCCAGCGCACGCAGTTCCCGTAAGCACGGAGTTCCGCGCTACCTTACCTTGCTAGGCCGCCTAGCATGCACGGCGTTAGGGACAAGGAGGGACATGCGATGCTCGTTCGAGCGGGGAAGGGCGAATGTCCAGGCAACAGAAGGTGGGAGAAGGAGGGCGCGTTATTAGCAGCAGCGGTGCCGGCGAGATGCTGGACACTCGAGTCAACGCGCCCATCCCTCCGTCGTCGCACTTCGCCGCTGCTTCCTCCGCCCCGTTCGACCGCAATCGCGCCATGATGACGTCAGACGCCTTGACGTCACAGCGCAAGCCGGCGACGTCAGGCCGCAAGGCCATTTCGCCGGGGCACAAACCGATTTCAGCAGGGCGGGGGGAAGCGGAACCCGCCGGGGCGTGCGACAGCGGTGGCGCGATGGCCTTAGGGGAAGACTACTATTTAAGGCCTTATTACCCTTCCCCCGGCGCTCGTCCCTTCCGCATTGCCAATGGCGACGCCCCTACCCCTCCGCGCAGTCGCTCCTCCTCCCCCTCCCCCGCTCATTCCGATCCTTCCCCCAACATTTCCCCCTCGTCGTCGCCTCTCGTGTCCTCCGCGCAACCGCTCGCTCCCCGCTCTTCCACCAATGCCTCCCCCGCCCCTGTGCGCCCGCCGTCCGCGCACAGGGGCGGGGCCGCTCCTCTGCGGCCCATATCGCCGCTCCCCCCCCCTGCTGCGCGGCGCAGACCTGGCGCGGATGGGCGCGCGGGTGGGGGTGCGGAGCTGCGGGAGGGCAGTCCGGGACGGGAGGGGATGCAGTTGGGCGCACCTGTCGCGCGCGGCGGTGCGGGCGGGGGGATGGAGAAGGTGGGTGCGGAGAGGGCTGGGATGGATCGGCTACGGACTGGGAGAGAGGGGTTGAGGGGGGGGGGAGAAGAACAGAGGGCGCGGGTGGGGAGAGAGGGGCTGAGCGGAGGGGGGGAGGAGCAGAGGGCGCGGGGCGTGGCGGGGGGCAGCAGCAGACCACGGCCCAGCAGTGCAGGCCCGCGCAGCCCATGTGCCCCCCCTGCACGGACCACAGACGCAGCAGACGCAACAGCAGGCGCAACAGCAGCAGCAGCAGCGGCGGCGGCGGCAGCAGCAGGCCACAGGGAAGGTGCAGCAGCGGCTGTGGATCGGAGTAGCAAGCTTGCTGCAACGGCGGAAGGGGGGGCCGAGGGCAGCACGGGTGCACCTGTGGGGATGTGGCAGGGGCGCGTGGAGGGGGGCGGGGTGGGGAAAGCTGGCGAGCACATGAGGGTGGGGGCGAGGCCGGGCAGCGGCAGGGCGGGGATGCGGCGAGGCCAGGGGGTGAGGCAGATGGGTGGGGGGATGGGCGGGCAGATAGGGGCGGGGATGGAAGGCGGCGGAGGGGTGCTGAGGCCGGTGACTGCAGGCCCTCGGATGGCTGCGGTAGGTGCGAGCAGTGGCGAGGCAAGGGCAGGGGAGGGGAGGGAGGCAGCAGGGGAAGCAGGGCTGGCAGGTGTGGAGCGCTGGAAGCCCCATCAGGCGCAGCAGCAGCACGCTGTAGGGCAGCAGCAAGTCATGGGGCAGCAGCAAGCAATGGGGCAGCAGCAAGCAATGGGGCAGCAGCAGGCAATGGGGCAGCAGCAGGCAATAGGGCAGCAAGAGGCAATAGGGCTGCAACAGGCAATATGGCAGCAACAGGCAATAGGGCAGCAACAGGCAATAGGGCAGCAACAGGCAATAGGGCAGCAACAGGCAATAGGGCAGCAACAGGCAATAGGGCAGCAACAGGCAATAGGGCAGCAACAGGCAATAGGGCAGCAACAGGCAATAGGGCAGCAGCAGGCAATAGGGCAGCAACAGGCAGTAGGGCAGCAACAGGCAATAGGGCAGCAGCAGGCAATAGGGCAGCAACAGGCAATAGGGCAGCAACAGGCAATAGGGCAGCAGCAGGCAATAGGGCAGCAACAGGCAATAGGGCAGCAACAGGCAATAGGGCAGCAACAGGCAATAGGGCAGCAGGGGAATGCAGGACGGCAGAGTTTGGTGGGGCAACAGCAACGACGGGCAGAGGGGCAGGAGCAGAGGCAGGAGGCGAGGCAGCACAGGAGGCATCACCAGCGGCAGGCGAGTCTGCCTGCAGAGGCACTGCAGCACCACAGGGGGGGCAAGGGCTCTGCCTCCCCCCCTCACGCTGCAGGGCTGCCCCTGCCACACCGCCCACACACCCCCCTCGTTCTCGCCCCCTCCCCCTCCCCTTCCTCTTCCCCCTCCCCTCCTCCCGGCGCTGCTGCACCACCCGACAGCCATCCCTCCTCGTCCCGCCCCAGCACCTCCTCCCCCTCCCCCCCCGCCCGTCCCCACCCCCCCTCGCCCCACGAACGCCGCCCTCCCCGTGGCCTCTCACAGTCTCCCCCGCGTGTTGCCCCGGCGGGCGCACAGGTGGCAGGGGAGAGGGTGACGGGAGAGAGAGTGACAGGGGAGAGGGTGGCAGGGGAGAGGGTGATAGGGGGGGAAAGCGACGGAGAGAGGGTGGGAGGTAGGGGGGGTGGGTTGCGGGCGATTAGGCGGAGCAAGAGCGCAGCAGTGGTGAGGATGAGGGTGGGGCGAGTCCCATTGAGCACAGCAGCAGGGGTGATGGAAGGAGCGGGCAGAGACGCACTCAATGCACCGGGTAGGTCTGGCTGGGTAGCAGGTGAGGCGAGGGAGTGGGGGGAGGGGAGGGAGGGTGTAGGTGGAGCAGCAGCAGCGGTAGCCGCTCGGGCTGATGGTGAAGCATCCAAGCGGTTAGAGAGCGAGAGGGCAGGTGAGGGAAGTCGACGAGGCGATAACGCAGAGGGGAGGAAGACTAGTGCTAGCTTGCAGCCTATCCAAGCCAACGTTTCGGTGGCACCACAGAGTGAAGGCAGTAGCAGACGGCTGCACTCAAGCGCCAGCTTTGGGCAGGCGAGCCTCTGTGAGCTGCGCTCGCCTGTCGCTCTCCCCACGCGAGCCGCCACTCAAGGGAGCACCCAAGGGAGTGCGCACGGCAGCAGCGGCAGCAGAGCGAGGATGGAAGGGCAGGGGGCAGACAGTGCGTGTGTGGAAGGGGCGGACGGCAGCACAGTGGGGGTAGCTGGGGGGTCCCAAGCAAGGGGTGGGTCCGGCAGGCGGTTGACTCGAGCTCTGAGTGCCATGGAGGGGCGCGGGCCGGTGCAGTTGGGGCGATGGGGAATGGTTGGGGAGGGGAACGGGGGAAGCACGGTGGGAGAAGGGGGAAACAAGGGGATGAGGGAAGGGGAGGGTGGGAGCGAGGTGTTGGTGAGAGGGGGTAGGGAGAGCGGGTGTGTGAGGGTGCCTGGTGGCGTGGGAGTGGAGGGTGAGGGGAGGGGAGGGACGGATGCAGGAGAGAGCGAGAGCGGGGTGCAAGAGAGTGGGAGCACGCGAGGAGGGGGGGCAGAGGCAGAGGTGGAAGGAGACGGATGGCAACGGATGGCTGATGTGGCAGTTGCATCTGATTCAAGCACCACTGGAGAGACAGGGAGGGGGAGGGGTGGGCAGAGGGGGGAGGAGAAGTGGACAGCGGCACAGAGGGCAGCAGCGAGGGACATGGCGTGGGAGAGGGAGAAGGAGAGAGAGAGCGGCAGAGGCAGAGGGGCGCGTGGGAGAGAGAGGATTCGGTCGAACCCGGTGACTCCCAGGGGAGGCGCGCGCACGCCCAGAGGAGCGGGGGAAGGTGGGGCCACGCCTAGAAGCGTGGCGGACAGTGCTGGTACGCCGAGAGAAGGGGTGGGTGGAGGGGGTGTGTTAGGGGAAGAGAGGATGGGGCATGGAAGGGGAAGACGGGCTAGGCGGGGTGGGGAGGAGGGGGGGGTGGGGCGAGGAGAGGCAGGAGATGAGGGTGAGAGGAGTGGCGGGGGTAGTGATGGGGTGGGGGAGGGAGGGGCTGTGCGGCAGCAGCGGGGCCAGGAGGAGAGTCGCATTGACAGAGAGAGGGATAGGCGGGAGAGGGAGGGGAGAAAACCAGCAGACATAGGAGTGGAGAGGTTAAAAGGGGAAGGGTCAGAGAGCTTGGCTTCTCCTGGCTTCAAGGGGTCGACGCGACGACGGATGCAGCAGCAGCAGCAGCAGCAGCAGGGGCAGCAGCAGAGGGAGAGAGAGGGGCAGGGGCAGCAGCAGGGGCAGCAGCATGGGCAGCTAGTGCAGGGTGGGGCGGAGAGCACAGTTGGGCGAGGGAGCAGCGCAACTGAAGGCGGGCGAGTGGGCAGCGCACATGGGGGTGAGGTGGAGGCGAGTGTGGTGGTTGAGGGGGCCAGGGGGCGCAGAGGAGAGGTTGCGGTGGCCAGGCCATGGCATGCCCCGGTAGGGGAGAGGAGGGATGGCAGGGGCTGGGACGAATCAACAGCCATAGGAGCCCCTGTCATGGGGTATGGGAGACTGGGAAACGCTAGTGTGGGAGAAATGGCAGCTAGGGCCGCAGCCCTGACTGGTGTTGGTGCAGTTGCGGGTGCAGGTGCTGGTGCGGGTGCAGGAGGGGGTGCTTGTCAGCCCATGCCATTGACCCCACCTGCCCTCTCCCTCACAGAGCAACGCCTGCTGGCAGCACGGCAGGGCACAGCAGCGAATGCAGCAGTGGGGGCAGCAGCAGTGGGAGCAGCAGCAGCGGTGGGGGGCGGCAGGAGGGGTGCACGCGCCATGGTGAAGAGCATGTCCATGTCCGCCGCTGACCTCAACCACCTGCCCTCTCCCCACGCCATGCCTCCCCCTGCCGCTGCTGCTCATGCTGCTGGGAGGATGGGCATGGGCATGGGCATGGGGGTGGGCATGGGGGTGGGCATGGGGGTGGGCATGGGCATGGGCATGGGGGTGGGCATGGGCATGGGGGTGGGCATGGGCATGGGCATGGGGGTGGGCATGGGCATGGGGGTGGGCATGGGCATGGGCATGGGGGAGGGGAGAGGCACAGGCTCTGAGGCCATGAGCATCGCTCGCACGTCATCGTCTGGCCGCGTCTCCTTGAGAAACGCCGCTGCCCTTGGGGCAGACAATCCGTCCGCCCAGCCACCTGCCATGCACCCCGTGCCTCCCTCCAACCCTGCCTCAGCAATCATGCTCCAGCAATCCGTGCACACCATGCAACCCATGCACCCCAGTGACCCCGCGTCAGCTGCCATGTTCCCCGGCATGGGTCTGCCCGCAGCCCGCTGCCCCGATGGCTCTAACGAGCGACTGCTGCGCCTCACAGCGCGGTGGAGCGAGGTGCAGAGCGGTGGTGCCAGGGGACCGGGGGCAGGTGTGGGATCAGGGGCAGGGGTGCACACAGACACGCCTAGGCTGGGCAGCGGCATGGGGGGCTCTATGAATCTGAGACGAGCAGCCATAGCAGGAGGTATGGGGGCCGGAGGCGGTAGGGTGGCAGGGGGCATACCGGCCTGTTCCAGTGCGGAAGCAGATGTGCCTCCCTGGACGGCTCCCTCAGGGGGCAGTGAGGGAGCAGTGGCAGGTGTGCGAAGTGGCAGCGGGGGTGCAGCGGCAGGGGCAAGAGGGAGCGCGGCAGGCAACCGGGCGGGAGTGGGTGCGAGTGGGAGGTCTGGCCTGAGTGGGGAATCGGGTCTCAGTCGCGGTGGGTCAGGTGTTATTGGTGGGGGGAGGGCGGTAGGGGCAGCAGCAGGCGGGCTGAGGCGCCATGGGAGCATGTCCCTGCACCAGCAGCTGGTGGCTCCCCCAGTTGGCACCTGGCAGGAGCAGCAGGTGCCATCCAAGCAGCCCAAGGTAAGGACAGCTGCCTCCGCTGCCGCTGCTGCGGCTGCTGTTGCGTCAGCCACTGCTTCTTCTGCCACCGCTGCCAACCCTGCTTCTGCTTCTGCAGCCGCATTGAATGGGAGCGGGCTGCAGGTGATCCCAGCAGGAGCCCCCTATCCGTTCGCCAGGGCGCACACCACAGCAGCTCGCAGCACGCTGCGGGCGCCTCCCTCTGCTGCGCTCTTTGACTTGCGCAGCTTCGGCAGCCGCGCTGCTCCCAGTGCTCCCACTGCTGCTGGTGCTCCCACTGCTCCCACTGCTCCCACTGCTCCCACTGCTCCCACGGCCAGCAGCACAGGCGGTGAGAGCAGCACAGTGAGCAGCGGTGGCGCGCTGGCTGGCAGCAGCAGACGGCTGAGCGGCAGCAGCTCCTCCAGTGGCATCAGCACGGGCCGCAGCGCAACCCTCACCAGCAGAACTCTTCACAGCAGCAGTCTTAATAGCACCGCTCTTGCCAGCAGCGCCCTCACTAGTAGCACCACCGCTGCCACTGCTAGCAGGGGCCTTCATCGAGCCGCCACACTTAACGCACGCACCCTCAACGCACCTGGCCTAACTCCGCCGCATTTGCATGCACCTGTTTTGAATGCACCTGTACTAAATGCGTCTACCTTGAATGCGCCAGCGGTTATTGTTCCAGGCAGTGGCAGCAGCAGCAGCAGCGGCCGCCTTGCTAGGAGCACCAGCAGCAGCGCTGCCAGGCTGAAGGGAGGGGCGATGAGAGCAGGTGGGGAAAGAGGGGGACTGAGGGGTGAAGGTGGAAGAGAACTTGGTGGAGGAAGAGAAGGAGGTGGAAACGAGGGTAGTGCTGGACAGGAGGGTAGTAGAAGAAAAGAGGGTAGCGGAGGAAAGGAGGGTAGTGGAGGAAAGGAGGGTAGTGGAGGAGGAAAAGAAGGTACTAAAGGAGGAAGAGAGGGGGGCGGAGGGGAGGGAGGCGTGGCAGCAGCAGGAGTGTCTGTGGCAGCAGCAGGTAGTGCAGCAGCAAGCGGGGGAGTATCACGGGGAAGAGTAGTGGGGGGTTCAGCAAGGGTAATAGTGGAAACAGCAATAGGAGGAACAGCAGGAGGAGGGATAACGGCAGGGTTGATGGTAGCAGGGGAAGCGGCAGCAGGGAGCAGCAGCAGAGGCGGCAAAACCGGGAGAATGCTGCGCAAAATGGCGAGCGATAACTTCCGAAGCTCAGGCAGGGCTGCTGGGGGCAAGGGCATGGGGGTGGGCATGGATGCGCTGGCAGCAGCAGGCAGCAGTGGGGGGTGGCTGTCCTCTACAGCGAGCTCGCTGGACCTGGCTGTGGCGGCCAAGGGCACAAGGAAGTGGCGGGCAGAGGGAAGAAGAAGGCGTGGGGAAGGCGCTGAAGGGGGGGAGACGCGGGAGGGGGAAGAAGCCAAGGCGGGCAAGGAGGATGCCGTGACCCCCACGAGGGCCAGCCGGGAGGACACTCTCACGCCCAGCCGCTTGTCTCGCGCACGGCGAGCCGTGCTGAGTGAAGCCGGCAGGGAGAGGCGCCGCGCCGCCGGCACGGCTGGTGACGGGGAGGGGGGGGAGGAGGGCGACGAGGAGGATGAGGAGGGAGAGGAGGAGGAAGAGGGAGAGGAGGAGGAGGAGGAGGAGGGGGAAGAGGAGGAGGGATTGAAGGAGGGAGTCACAGATGTGGAGAGTGAGGAGGATGCGAGCATTCCCGTGGCGGCACAGGCAGTGGGCGTGCAGCACAAAGCAGGGCAGGCAGGGGCGGAGGGGGGGAAGGGGGGGGCGGGGGGCAAGGGGAAGGCGGGGCTGCTGAGCAAGGCGGCCAAGGGCATGAGGGGGCTGGGCGAGCGCATGAGCCGCGCGCGCCTGAGACTGCTGCAGGGCGGGCAGGCGGACGTTCTAGGGAGGGGATTCTCCGATGTGAGGGAGGAGTATGACTTGGAGGGAGGCGAGCAGGTGGGCAGTGGGCAGTTTGGGGTGATTCGCGTGGTGACGCACCGGGAGACCGGGGAGAGGCTGGCGTGCAAGTCAATCAGCAAGATGTGCCTCAAGGTGTGTGAACCGCTGACACGCCGCAATCGTGCACGTGCTCGCTGCCTTAGTTTCAATCATGCGCCTCGTGTCTCCTCTCATGTGACCGCTGCCTCTCTTCTACTCTTATCCGCTCCTGCCGCTTCCCTGGAATACCTCATGCCCCTTAGGTTGACTTAACAACCCCCCCTCCTCCCTTCCTCTTCCCCCCCACACCCCCTCTCCATCCCCAATCCCCTCCCCCGCATGCATCCGCACCTCCCCGCACTCCGCGTTGTGTGCGCCAGTCGAAGGCGGACGCGGCGGACATCCGCAGGGAGGTGGCGATTCTGGAGCAGCTGAGGGACCATCCCCACGTCTCGCGCCTCGCTGCTGCCTTCGAAGACCCCAAGGTAACTCCCACGCGCACGCCTCTCGCCGCCCGCTTGGCTATCCGCTGCCCATCAAGCTGCTTGTGCCGCCATCACTTGGTGGGCGCTCGCACCCTCAGCCACCAGCATCCCCCATACGCTCTCCCACTCCGGCCTCCTCTGCTCCTCCCAATCCTCACCCTCCATGCCACCGTTCCCCCAACATGCTTCATGCATCACCCAGCCACTCTCAAGTGCTTCGCCCTCTGCCCCTGCCATTGTTGAACGGCGAGCAGAAGGTGCGTGTGGTGATGGGGCTGTATCAGGGAGGTGGGCTGCTCCACCACCTCAAGCACAAGCCACCCCGTCACCCATCTTATTCCTCCCATCCCCCGACCCCCCGCCTTCCCTGCATTTCGCCTTCCCAACAAGCTGTGTGGATGGAGTATATAGGGATGGAGCTGTGTGAGGGCGGGGAGCAGTTCGACCGGGGAGCAGTTCACACAAGAACCCCCCCCGCCACCCCTCAATTGGCGGGTCCTCAGCATTGTATTCCCCCCCCCCCTTACCTTTTCCCCTGCCATGCCGGCCAGGAGGTGCACCTGGTGATGGAGCTGTGTGGGGGCGGGGAGCAGTTCGACCGGGGAGCAGTTCACACAAGAACCCCCCCCGCCACCCCTCAATTGGCGGGTCCTCAGCATTGTATTCCCCCCCCCCCCTTACCTTTTCCCCTGCCATGCCGGCCAGGAGGTGCACCTGGTGATGGAGCTGTGTGAGGGCGGGGAGCTGTTTGACCGGCTGAAGCAGAAGCGCGTGTACCCCGAGGACGAGGCGGCCGTGGTGCTGCGCACGCTGGTGGACGTGCTGAGGCACTGCCACGCCATGGGGGTGGTGCACCGTGATGTCAAGCCCGAGAACATCCTGCTCGTGTCCAAGGAGAGCGACACCGATGTCAAAGTCATCGACTTTGGGATCGCTGCCTTCTACAAGCCATGTGAGGGGGCAGACTAGCTACCGCATCCATGCTCCGCACCCTTCCCCCCCCATCTGCATTTCCCCTCCCTCCTCTCTTCCGCTCTCGTTCAGTCCTCGTTTTGACTCGTTCTTCTCCACCCCCCCCCTCTCCCCAATCCATTGACTCTCCTCCTTCCTTGCACTTCTCTCCGACCCCGCACACTGCCAGCAGCGCGCTTTCTGACTGAGTTTGTAGGGTCACACTACTATATGGCACCAGAAGTAATCAGCGACAGCTACCGTCTGGCAGCATCTTCACATGCCTTGAATTCCGTCCCTCCCCCCATTCCCATTTCCCCCCCGTAATCCTTCTCTGCTCTACGCACAGCCCGCCCACTCACAGAGTTCGTGGGTTCGCACTACTACATGGCACCTGAGGTGATCGAGGGCAGCTACGGCCCGCCTGCGGACGTGTGGAGCGCGGGCGTGGTGCTGTACGTGCTGCTGTCGGGCGTGCCGCCCTTCTGGGCGCGCACGGAGGACGGCATCATGCAGGCCATCCTCGACTGCCGCCTGCGCTTCAAGCCCGAGGTGTGGGGCAAGCGCTCCGACCACGTTCAAGACCTCATCCGCCGCATGCTCACCCGTGACCCCGCTGACCGCATCACCCCAGCTGCTGTACTTGGTAAGTTCTGACTAGTGGATGAGCTCAAGAGTGGGGATGACTAAGGGAGGTGTTCTCACCTCTTGCTCAATGGGACCTCGCTGACCGGATATCAAGCCGCCAGCCTTGGTAGGTTCTGAGTCATGACTCAAAGGTACCTTATGCACGAGATCCTGTTATTCGTGCCGCCATTTCTGGCATGCCTCGTCTCATCCCCTCTAGCCCATAATTTTTGTGCCATAGATCTGATGTGACGGCCATTCTTCTTTGTCTTTTGGGGGCCTTAGTTTAGATGGAACTTTTGATGTTCTTGTTTCCTCCTCTGCTGTGCTAATCTATCTTTTTTCATGTGGTGTGTTGTGTATGCTGCTTGCAGCTCATCCCTGGATGGCATGTGCCACATCCTGTCCTGAGAAGTAGCAGAGATGGCAGCAACCGCAATGAGTGCAAATGGCGGCTGTAACACCAACAGCAATGCAATGGAACCTCAGTGCTCACACAAGTGTGCCATGTAAGGAACAAGCATCACCAGGTCTATCAGCACCATCAGTGTCATCAGCACCACCCGGGCCATGCGCTGAGGCACCAGAAGGATGAATGCCCCAACCATGATGTACGGTATTAGTGTTTTGGGCTGCGGTCTATTGCTTTTATGCATTAAAACCGCCACACCATAGTGTTGTTTGCTTGTGTTGTAGCATGTTATAGCTTGTAGTGTATATTGAGTAGATCATTAGGCTTTAGCAGCTTATGCCTTTTCAAGTGTGTAGTTTATTTATCATCTTCAAGGCGACCCCCATGGCTCCTTTGTATCTGTGAAATGTCCCAGTTAGATCGGCGTGTGTATTTGACATGGTCGCATTTCGATGCAAAGTTTATCTAGTTTACGCACAGAAGTGCAAAACGAAATGGAAGTGAAATCCTGTTTTCTTGGCTTTGTTGCGCACTTATCACATTTCGCAATGGCACTGTACTTATCGTATTTATTTCCTACAATCAGTGGCTCCATCGTCTCTGCTTGTCGTAAGCTGGCCTTGCCCCCATTGCGAGGCGCCATTATATAAAAACCACACTGACCTCCTTGTGAATTAGTCTGCTGGAGAATGTCGATTAGCCCTGCTAGCGATATCGCCAAGGCAGGAGCTACTGTTCAGGGCTGGATCTCTCGCCTGGTGAAAAAGCCTGACACATCTGCTTCACCAGGCGACGATCAGTCCGGCAACGACCAGGTGGCAAAGTGAGTGTGTACCTTCTTTGCCATCTGATGTCGCCTTAGCAAGCGCTGATCAGCGATAATATCTCTCCAGAACCATCAAGGACCTTCAGGCAGTCAGCATTACTCCCACTTCCGGGAAGGAGGACTCGAGGACGAGGGAAAGAGTGCCTCGCAAGGCGAGTAATTATTTGCCTCCTTCAAGAAAACATGATAGGGCCAAGTCTGACTTAATGTGCGACGTGCCGTGCAGATCACTATTCTGGGAGATGCTTATACTTGTGGACCCTGGAGATGCCTTGACGATTTCATCCAGCGGAAGGAGGTCGCGAAAGGACGGTGAGTTGATATCCTTTTCATCTCCTTGCACCCATGTGCACATTTTGCTAACTTGCCGCGTGCACTGACTGTGCAGGGGCTGCATAATTGTGTCTGCCATTGCTACCAATGTCTACCAGCGAGTTGCTATTAAGGCTTACGAACGGAGTCAGATCAACGAGGGTACTATTGTCCACATCCGAAGGGAGGCATCCCTTATTAAGGGCTTGAGGTAGGTTTCGTGGATTACTGCATAGTTGGAATCCTGAAGCACATTGCTCAATCTCAGAGCCTTCAGGCATGAGGCGATCTGCCAGCTTTACGGATCTTTTGAAGACTCGAAGTATGTGTACGTTGTGATGGAGCTGTGTTCGCAAGGCGATCTGATGGAGTTCTTGAATGGTCCTCGGGGGGTTCGCCGCCTGAATGAGGAACGAGCTGTACAAACGGTAACCCGCCTGCAGCGCTTGGGGTTTTTTCGGGGGATCAAGAACCATCGTTGACTTGAAGCCTTTTTGCAGGTTCTGCACCCTCTTTTGCAAGCCCTTCAGCTGCTGCATGGAAAAGGGATTGTGCATCGTGACATCAAGCCTGAGAATCTCTTTATGTCTAAGGGAAGCGCAAAGCTTGGCGACTTCGGACTCGCCATCAACCAACGTCTGGAGCCACCAATGTCGCAGCTTGGTACTCTGGACTACATGGCCCCGGAAGTTTTCAGAAAGCCAGGAGATACCAGTGGACGAAGACAAGCGCTTTATGATGAAAAGGTTGACATCTGGTAAGACGCACTAATGAAGGTCTTATTCCTGATACGAGTGAATGTTGGACATCGCTGACAATCCCTTGCTTCATGCAGGGCCTGTGGTGTTCTCGCGTATGAAGTCGTGACTGGAGAACCACCGTTCAATGCTGGCAAGAATGGAAGTCTGACCAAGGATCTTATCCAGAGAGCTAGTGTTCCTATCGCTGGGGTTTGGCCGCATCCTGTTTCACCAGAGCTTGCGGACTTCATAAAGCAGGTGGGCAAGTGGTGGTATATTGCCTTCGTTTTCATTTTTCGTCGTTGTCTTAAACACTTTCCTTAAGCAGGCTCTCCAGAAGGACCCCCATCGTCGGCCATCAGCTGAGGATCTCCTTTCTCACCCTTGGATAATGAAGCATCTCCCGACGTCCACTGAGGCTGGGAGTCCTCCTATATTGATTTCAGCTAGCACGTCAACCAAGCACTCAGTTCACCACCCGACACATGTATTGGCTGCACCTGCTAAGGCTACGCTTGCCAAGAGCTGCCCTGACTCTGTTTATTACAGTAAGCCGCCTCAGAAGCAAGTTGCCGCTGCTGGGCTTGCCACTGGTGTGCAAGCAGGCTGTGTTGCTAACTCCGTCATCAACACGAAGGCCCTTCCAAGTGTGGTCGAAGAGGGTGACACATGGGAAGAGTGTGATGACTCAATGACACGGGATGGTCTCTCCTCTATTCCAGAGAAGCCTTCTCTGCCGAAGCTGGAAAAGGATGGTTCGTTTGAGAGGATGCTTCATGCCAGCGGTATCAAGGCAAAGACGGGACATGATGGTACCAGAGACACAGCTGACACGATCCCATCATCTCCACAGTCGCCTGGCACTCCGAGCCCTACGCATACACCAAAGGGGGTCACAGAGAAATGGCAGAGCCTGGAGCATACTGGCATCAAGAAGTAAGTTCCGTTTGGTTTTGCTAGTTCTCAGCTTTTTATTGCGCAACTGACTTTCCCCATTCCAGGTCACTCTTCTCACGTGAGATGATGGAACACGCCAAGCCATACCAGGTTGGCACAGGACCACTCAGTGATGGTGATATGAAAGCTGAATGGTGCTCCGTCCTGCCATCTTCGTCACATTGAACAGAGTCTTACTGGTTGCTGGAATAAGAGCTGCCACCATATGTCTTAGCTGCATAGTGAATAAGGTTGGCCAGCTACAACATAGGTATGCTGGGTTATTAAGTGCCCTTGTGACATGTTGACATGTTTGCAAATAATATTGGGAATAAAGTTGAGCAACCATCGTTTTCATCGATAGAGGTGCTGTACTGTGTTCGACTATGCCGACTTACAAATTTGGAACAAACAGCAACTTACCACAAGCAAGCGCGGGTTACGGCGTCACAGGCAGCGGCTTCGGCGCTAGCAGCTCGTCTGGTAGTGTTAGTGGGAGAAATTACCACCACAGCGCAGAAATTTTGCGTCACGCAACGAATCTCGGGGCTTGCAGCTTTCCCTGTGTTAGCGTGGAAGCGATTCCCACTACACCTACTCCGTGCCGCGGATTGTCGTCGCTAGGAGGTGAACCCTGTTGCTTCCACTTCGGCCGGCATCGTCGTCAGCATGACGATGGGGATGTTTGGGGGTCGGGGAGTGGGATTCGGTGAGCCAATTCGTCTTTATGACTTGCGTGCCTCCTCGCTCCATCACTTACTGCCTGAATAAACGCGCCCAAGTTGTCGATCACCCCGTCTTTCCTCCAGTTTTTCGTTCCTCACGTTCCGTTTTGTTCGTGTTCTCCACTCTTCGTCCTCTTGTCACCCCATTTGTCCAAGCTCGTCCTGCACACCTATTTTTTCGACCAGGTGCCTACGCATCCTCGTGTGCCCGTCTCCGTCCGTCCTCATTCACTTTCTTCCCTTCGCTTATCCGTCACCCACTCTGTCGTTCGCTTCTTCCATATCCTCCCTTCTCGTCCTCCGTCCCTCCATTTTGCTCCCTCCCCCCCCCCGTGCCGCTTCCCTCCCCTTTTTCCTTTTCTTCCCTCTGCCTGTCACCTCACCGAAACCCTGCCCGTCCAAGCCTTCCTTCAATCCCTCTCTCCGGTGCTCGGTGTCCCCTTTCCTCCTCCCTCACCCACCTGCCTTCCTCCTGTTCTTTGCCACTGTACTTCTGCCTGCCTTTCTCCTCTCCTCCACCCCCGTCCCATCCCACACCCTCCCCCTCTTCCTTCCTTACCTCTTCCCTTCTCGTCCTCCGTCCCTCCTTTTTGCTCCCTCCCCCCCCGCTGCTGCTTCCCTCTCTCTCTCTTCCCTCCCCTTTTTCCTTCGCCTCCCACTACCTGCCACCTCACCGAAACCCTGCCCGTCCAAGCCTCCCTTCAATCCCTCTTTCCGGTGCTCGGTGTCTCCTTTCCTCCTCCCTCACCCACCTGCCTTCCTCCTGTTCTTTGCCACTGCTTCTGCCTGCCTTTCTCCTCTCCACCCCCGTCCCATCTCACCCGCTCCCCCTCTTCCTTCCTTACCTCTTCCCCATCGTTTTCTCTCCCTCCCTTTTGCATTTTCATCTTGTATTCCATCCGTCCTCCCACTTTCTCTCCTCTCCCCTGTTTCTCTCACCCTCCGTCAAATCTCACATCACCCATCCACTGGCAGGCTTTGGTGCTGGCTGTGGCTTTGGCGTTGGTTGGGGATTTGGAGGTATCCACAGAGCAGAGCTTTGCCCCTTCACTAACATCTTGTGTGCTGTTCTCCGTTTCACGTCTTTCACTTGTTGCGTGTGTGTTTACTGATTGTTTGTCTGCATTCACTTGACCTGCGCATTTCCAGCGCCGTTTTTCTGACTGATTGGACAATAATGCCACTCCTGCCCACTCTTGTGAGGGATGATTTCTGAGCCCCGCTTTTTATTTCTCTGCTAATTTGCCACTTATTCACTTTTCATTGCAGGTGCTCCGATCAACTCACTTGGCATGGGCATTGGTACGTCCCTTGAAACCATTTCCCACCTCTTAGAGCTGCCACGCTCTGTCTCGTTAGCTCTCTTGGATCGAATGCTGCCTTTCTGTTGCTTGCTTGCTTTCACACAAAAGAAGAAACCGATTTCGGACTGGTTGCATGGCTGTTCTTTGCCCACGACCCCCATTCATCCATCCCAAGCGATACTGTCGATCCCCTTTACTGCTGTGTACAGTGCTCGCAGCACCCACCTGCCTTCCCACTCCCTGCTGCATACCCCTCAAATCTTTGCGCCCTCCCTAACGCTCTCTTTTGTCTAAGGTGGTGGCTGTGGAGTGGGCCTTGGCATGGGGTGGGGCTTTGGCTTTGCCTATGGCGCGCGGTACATTGAGTCGCGGCCGCGGTTCCAAGGAGTGGACTTTGCGCGACTGAGAGACGTGGTGCACCCCAAGGTGCAGAGTGCAGGACAGGAGCAGGCCAGGGGGGATGGTGCAAGGGACGAGTGACTGGCTGCTGGATGGAGTGCCACTTGCTGTTCTCTTCTGCACAAGTGAACGGATCTGTGCAGGCTGGATGCTGTGCAATACGGATACCATGCATTCACCACTTTACCTTGCTTTGCTGGCCTCTCATGCTAGAGTGGGTTGGGTTTGTACTGGTGTCAACTGGCTGTTCACGCCATCTACTGTGTTGTATATAAGCTTTACAGTCATGGGAAAGTCCTGTAGTGTAACTGCTTTCACAACCCAAGTGCCTCATGGTACACTTCAGAGCTCCTAGAGTCAGTGCCCCGATGATGTGTTGGCCTGGCATTGCTCGCCATCACCACACAAACAGACTAGAAGCACCTCTAGTGGCATCAACAGCAAGCATGTGCAAAGGTACATCTGGAAGAGGCATGCCATTTCTTCCATGCTCACTGCCGATGTTGTCTGAGTACTTTCTGCCACTAAAAGAAACCCTTCTAAGAGTGTCACACGCTGGACCTGCGCTGTGCTGCTGCCATCATCAGCCTTGTGCCACCACAATGTGCTGCATCCCTGTGATATCTGCTGCACTGCTTTGCACCCCTCTGTGCACCACGGCATGGAGTGCAGGGATGCGATCCGTCTAAAAAATGGTGCAGCGGCATGTGGGCTTGCAGTTGTGCGAGAGGAGTCAAGACTCAAGCTGTGTAGGGTCCCAGTGGAAGTGAGGGCCGCATGGTGGGCATGCGGGCATGTCGGTACAGGACAGGACAGGAGGGCGTGTGGGCTACCCTGCACCGCAATGCTTGCATGATGCCGTGGCGGAGTGTGGCAAGGTGCGCCATGGCCACGGGGTGCGGAGGTGCTGTGTGGCTGCTATGACATGTGCCGGAATCCGGTTGATGGCAGTTGCAGCCCGGCTTACGATTTGTGTCACAAAAGAGAGTGGGTCAAGCCAGGGGCGTGGGTGGCTCCCACACGCGTAGCACTCCCGATCGAGCGCCCGTGCAGATGCGCCCCCGATCCACATCACACGCCGCATGCCGAATCTGAGGCGCACACACACATAGGGCAGCAGGAACAGGGGGGAGGGGGATTGCGTCACTGTGCAGCATGGGGTGTGAGATTCCGAGAGGCAGTAATCAGCTGTGGACTGTACCCTGCTTCAGCTAGACCGTGTGGTGGAATGGACGAGCAGACAAAGACAAGGCACCAGGTGTGCTGGGTGGTGACCTCAGGCAAGCGGGAAATCACCGTGGCCCACCTGCATGATGAAGGGGGCATCCACGAGTCAAGCCACACATGGCACACAACTCAACACTTGTCACAATAACCCAGCCCTCAAGTTTAAGACCCACACCCACCCATGGCAGTAACACCAACCGTCAAGAGCGCTACATGCAGCACGGCATCTCACCAGGTCCGGCGCCCTGTTCAGATGCCTCGACAACTGCCAGTCCGTCATCACGCCCACGCTCCCCATGTATGCGCGCGCGCCGTTGCTCATGCCGCCCGGCCCGCCCAGCGGGGTGAGCGAGGGCGAGCTGTTGGGCGGCAACCGGTCAGCGAAGGGGCGGTGCAGCAGGGAGAGCGAGTCGTCGGCGGCGGCGATGGTGACGTAGCGGTCGGACGCGCGCACCGCCACTATGGGCGCTGCGTGGTTGGTCAGGGTTTTCACACAGCGCGGTTGCACGCCTGGGGGGGGGGGGGGGGGAAGAAAAACAGAATACATGAAAGAAAACACCCTTTCCCCAACCATAGCGTCCAGCACCACCTTCTCCTCTCAACATCAACCAACAACCTGCACTGTGCTCCAAAGGCCAGCCCCACTCCGCCACCCACCATCCCCACTCCGCCACCCACCATCCCCACTCCAGCACCCACCATCCCCACTCCACCACCCACCATCCACACGGTCCCAGAAGCGCCTGGAGAAGTCGGCGGAGGTGACCGGGCCACCACGACATGCTACGTGGCCCGGCACTAGCACCCATGGCTCCATTCCACACTCACTCACTCACCATCCCCTCTGTCCCACAGTCGCACGCTGCAGTCAGCGGAGCCCGTAATGAAGCCGCGTGACGCCGTGACGTAGTCGACGGCAGTGACGGGCCCGCCATGGCACGCCACGGTGGCCTCGCACTCGCCGTCGTTGAGCGTCCACACCCTAGCCGTCCAGTCGTCACTCCCCGTCACCACCACGTCCCCCGCCACCCGCACCGCCCTGCAGCGGACAGAGAGGGGGGGGGGTGAGAAAGTAGGAGAGAAAGGAGGCAGTGCAACAGAGGGTAGGACAGATGGGGGTTGAGGGGGAAAGACGCAGGAGAGAGAGAGCGAGAGAGAGAGAGAGAGAGAGAGAGAGAGAGAGAGAGAGAGAGAGAGAGAGAGAGAGAGCATGAGTCCCTCTCCAGCTATATAAGCTCTCTCCCTCCCTCATTCTTCCTGTTTAGTTTCCAGTTCTTTCTTTTCTCCAACCCTTGGTGGCGGCTCGCGCCAGGAGAGAGAGAGAGCGAGAGAGAGAGAGAGAGAGAGAGAGAGAGAGAGAGAGAGAGCATGAGTCCCTCTCCAGCTATATAAGCTCTCTCCCTCCCTCATTCTTCCTGTTTAGTTTCCAGTTCTTTCTTTTCTCCAACCCTTGGTGGCGGCTCGCGTCGGCGGCCTTCGCCCGCCGACGCTCGCAGCGCGGCCTTCGGCCGCGCGTGAGGGGCGGCAAGGACACGAGGCTACAAAGTCAACTACGACAACATCAAATACACGCATCCGGGGTCTACAACCCGCCAACACTACACTCGGCAAACAAGCATGGAGAGCCTCACAGAGCTTACCAGAGCGCTCACGCTAGAGCGCACTTCACCAACCAGAACCTACACACGACGGCAGCCCATCATACGGCTTCGTCCGCTCCAGCCTCCTCAAGCAGGGCCCTCACATAGTCCCCCAGGAGCATCAGCGCTGACACGGCACCGCCAACGATGTCTACAGCTGCAGACGAGTCTACGCTCGCCGATACTGTCCGCATCACGGCGAGCAGGCGCGGGTCCAACACGGTTCCCGAGGCGGGCGCAGGCTGCACTCGCGTGGACACGACCGCCAGATCCGCCGCAGCCATCGCGCAGCGATGGAGTGGATCGTGAGGCATCTTGCACGGGCTCACTGAGCTCCGTAGAACGGAGTGTGAGTCCGTCAGCATCTCCACAGCATACCCCATCGCCCTCTGCGCGTGCCAGAGCCGACGAAGCGTGGCGACTGGGATCGCAGTCTCCGCCAGCCGCTCCCTCCCGCGCAGGCGCTCCAGCTGCGCCCTCTGCGGCATCCGCAGCCCACCCGAGCGACGCCGCCCCTGGTCCCCAGGAGGCGAGTCCTCGCCCGTGGACTCCGCTCCCCCCATCTCCGCTGCTTCTGCCCCCCCCTCAACTCCAGTCGGTGACGCCAGCGAACGGCGGGGGGGGACAAAGGGCGCTGTCGCCCGCCCGCCGAACGATGCTGGAGCCACCGACGGCAGTGGGCCACGGGACCACCCTACCACCGACACATCCGGGGGCGTCGGCTGCCAGGGCGGCAGTGTCTCCGCGGACCGCACGTCCAACCGACGCGGATCGAAGGGATCGGCCGAGGGGAGGACCGGCGGAGGAGGTGCGGAGGGAAGCGGCGCCAAGAGGTACGGGCGGTCGAGGAGCGGGAGAGCTGCCACACTGCGGGGAGGGAACGCCGGCGCTGGCGGGCGCCTGAGGAAGGGGTAAACGCATGGGCTGCGGGTGCGCCGGCTGGTACTGCTGGGACGCCAGCAGCCGTGGAGAATACGCCAGAGCCTGCTGGGGTGGGGCGACACTGCGGAACAAGCCCTCGAGAGTCGCCGCGGCCCGCCCTAGGCGCCTCTCCGCTGCGGACCCACGGTTACTCCCCCCGCCAGCCCTCCAGCCGACGCGCTGGCCCGAACGCCCGCGCGGCGCCTGCGGAGTCCGGCGCTGCTGCCCCGGCACCGCCTGTGGGCGACGCTGAGGCGTCCCTCGGCGGGACGAATGCTGCTGGCGCGGCGACTGATGCTCCTCGCCACGCGCCGCTGGTTCACGTTCAAATTCCAAGGCGCGCTCAGGGGACTTCTCCTCGTGTCTCTGGGGCGCGGCAGTCCTGCCCCGCGACTTCCCCCGCATCCGCTCGGGAGTCTGTTGGCGAGCCGTCGAGGGGACGAGGAGCCCGCGCTCCCAATCCCGGTTCGACGGTGCGGGAGAACTCGCCCGACCTTGGGGGGACTCGCTGTCCCCAGTACTCTCCAAATCGGCAGAACGCTCCCGCGCTGGTCGCTCCATCCCGAGGAGACGCGCCGCACTCGGCACCCCCCACGACTCGGCACGAAAGCCGAACGACGACCAGGGCCGCCCCGAGAGGAAACCAAGGAGGCGGACGCGGAAGACTCAACACACGGACGGCCGGAGGGCGCGGTCGCGGGATGGCAAGGCGTGGCAATCTGTCCTCCGACGGAGGACCGCTGAACGGATTCCAGCAGGCAGCGAACAGGGCTTTAAGTGCCTCGGAACTGCAACGAACAACTGATGAGGAGGAACGGGCGGACGGAACTTATATACCAGGGGACCAGGGAGACCCCACGACTGAGACCTCCAGTGCGGAGGAAAACGTCGAAACAAACAGGCGTGCTGGAGGACGAGAGACTGACCCAACTCCCAGATCTAGGGGACGAGGGTCCAGCCGCTTGCACAATACTCGGGCACCGCTGGACACCCATCCCCAGGCCGCCCCGCAGTTGTCCCCGGAAGAACTGGCGAATGACCCCTCCAGATTCGCCGTCATCGCCACTTGGGACATCGCAGTTCTCTGCGACAGTCGCCAACCCCCCCTCTCCCGCCGGTTACCCCCCCAAATCCGTCAACTTTTCGCGCTCACCCTTCTGACACCCCTCCTTTTTCTCGCCAAACATCCAACCTCCATCGAGGGTTGGATCCTGTTACTTTACCTCCCGCGCCTCACACTTTGCCTACCCTCACCACGACGCCCTGACTGGCCCGCGACGGAACGACGACTTCGACAATTTCTCGCGGGCCAGTGGGACACACTGTATCAAGCAGCTGCCTCTGCTGTCACCCAGCCACCCCCTCCCCGCCACGTACCTGACACTCTCGGGAAAATATCCCGCGCCGAGGGCTTGGTACGACGAGGCAGTTTGCGACGGGCACTGCTCGCGTTGACTTCGACCCCAGTCAGCAAGTCCACCCCCACGGTCCTGGACGCGCTGAAGTCAAAACACCCCCCTCCGCTTGTCGAAAGCCTCACCTGGCCACGGCTTGACGAAACCTGCAGGCCGCCGACAGTCGATTTCGCTACGTTCGCGAAGCTCCTCGCTCGCTCCGAAAATGGAGTTGGGGCAGGCCCTTCGGGGATGACCTTCGAGCACCTTCGCGACGCCTCGCTGTCCAACCCCACCGTCGCCACAAACCTCCACAAGCTCGTCCAGCGGCTACTTGCGGGTAACCTGCCGCACGAGGTCAGCCAGCTCGTTACCTCCTCACGCCTCCTGGCCCTTACCAAGCCAGATGGGGGTACCCGCCCCATCGCAATAGGAGAGTGTCTCCATCGGCTGGCGGCAAAAGCCGCGCTAATCTCCTCCACGCAATCCGCGCAAGATTACTTCCTACCCCACCAATACGGGGTAGCCATCCGGGGCGGCGGAGAAACCATTATCCACGCCACCAGGAGCTTTACCTCAGCGCGCCCGGGCTCACTCATCCTTCAAGTCGACCTTTCAAACGCCTTTAATAGCGTTGACCGCACGGCCATCATCCAAGCCATCAACACCTCGCCCCTGCGCCCGCTCCTCCCCTTCATTCAATTCTCCTACGGAGCACCGTCGCTGCTCTACCTCGACGCCGAGTTCGACAGCCCACCCCTACTCAGTGCGCGGGGAGTTCGCCAAGGGGACCCCATGGGCCCCCTCCTCTTCGCAGCCGCCATCCACCCAGCGCTCCGAACAACCGCCGCAGCCCACCCCGAGGTCCTCTGCCTCGCGTACGCCGACGACATCACCTTCGTCGGCGACCCGGACGCCTGCACCTCGGCGTTCCTCAACTTCATAGCGGCCATGGACCGCATCGGTCTCTCCCACAACCCCGCGAAATGCGCGGCGTGGTCGGCCGCGAACCCTGCCCCTGACCGCCTCCCCCCGGACATTCCTTTCAATACAGAAGGGGTCCGCGTGCTTGGCAGCTTCATAGGCACAACCGAGGGCACAGCCACCTTCCTCCGCACCCAGCTAGCCCTGCTGGCCGAGCCCCTTGCCACGCTGGCCACGATGGACCCTCAGTCAGCATCCCTCCTCCTCACACGCTGCGTATCTCGGCGTATCTCATACTTAACCCGCACCACCCCCCTTGACTTCCTACCCCTGGACGTCTGGTCCGATTGGGGTCGGGAACTTTTCCATACCCTCTTGCGCGCCTGCAACCTCCAGCCACCTCGAGGCGAGGTGGAGCGGGCACGCACTTGGGCTCAAGCGTCCCTCCCTCCCTCTCTTGGAGGACTGGGTCTAACCGACCCCGCAATTGAGGGACACCCAGCCTTCCTCACCAGCCTCACCCAAGCCCAGGGCCTCTTGGCTGCCCTCCCAGCTGCGTCAGACGGGCCCCTGGCTGATGCTGTCCGGCACCTCACGCCACCTTTCACCAGCCCCACCCACTTGCATACCTGGCTGGCGAAGTGTGAAACGGCGATGCCCCCACGAGCCCGGGAGCTCCTGCATTCCGAGAGGAGGGAACCCTCCGGCTCCCCACTACAACACCGCCTATCCCTCGAAGTCCAGGCCGTGCGGTACGCCGACCAGGTGGCGGCCACGCGAACAATGGACCCAAACCCACACTCCGGACACACCCAACGCCTCTTCTCCCTAGCTGGATATGGAGCAGGGGACTGGCTTCATGCCATCCCCATCTTCCCATCCCTCCGCCTCGAAGCCCCACACTTTGCCATCGCCCTGGCCTTCCGCCTCGGCCTTCCATTCCCAGCCCCCCGCACTTGCAACTGCGCCGAGGAATTCGAAATCCTCGACAGTAGGCTGCCCAACCACCTGCTCCAGTGTGGCACCGGGCACGGCCGGACCGACACCCACAATGCCCTGCGGGACGAGAGCATCCGGATGGCCCGAGATGCTGACTTAATAGTCACCAAGGAGACTACCATCTACAGCCCCGTAGATGGCCACAAGGCCGACCTCGCCCTCCGAGACCGCAGTTCCGGAGCCGTCTGGATCTGTGACGTCACCGTCACAGATCCCATCAGCAGCCGTGACCCGGACGCAAGGAAAGGACGCGGATACATGGCCCGGGAGCAAGCCGACAAGAAAATCTCCCATTACCGAAATCGGGCTCCCTACGTCGGGTTCTTCCCACTGGCAGTCGAGACATATGGCTGCCCCTGCGCCGAGGTCCCTACCTTCTTGAAGCTGCTCGCAGACACAGGGGCCAGGAGACTTTTCAATGCAGACCCCAGCTCCTACCAGGCAGCGAAACTGCTCCACCAGTTTCGCCAACGCTGGTCAGTGACGCTGCAGCGGGCACAGGCCTTGGCCTACCTGGGCAAAGTTAATGAAGCCTCCCCCGCCACCCATGCCCCAGTGGGCACCCCCGACGCCGATATGGCACCCGGGGACTGCTTTGCCATAGCAGAGCCCCTTGGGGAGACCGAGTAGATCCGAGTCCCCGAAACATGCACGTACCTTGACTTGCCGCCCCTTGCATGCCTAGCCTGTACCAAGGTTTCCAAGCAATAAACGGACCGTTTGAGAGAGAGAGAGAGATGAGGATGGTGGTGGACGAGGAATGGGCAGACCGAGCATGATGAGAAGCAGACGAAATGACACCTCACTGAAGCATCTGCCAAACACCTCGTCTTCCTCATTCTCACACAATATTCTGGCACCGTATGATCCCAGTTTGCAGCCAATGATCCAGAACTGGTGAAGGCTGATGAGGAAACACATCGTAATATCGCTCAGAATTGCGGGCACCCACCGGATCCAGTTGGTGTGCCCTTCCAGCTGAAACCGCTCCTTCCCCGCCCGCACGTCCCACACATAGCAGATGCTGCACGCAGCGCGGAAGGGGGGAGCAGGAAAGGAAGAGCGGACAGGGAGGGAATTGAGAGAGGCAAGAGAGGTGAGAGAGGCGCACAGAGGGCAGAGGCAGAGGGTGAGACGCGTGCCGAAAACACCTTGTGTCTTCTGCCCTCATTCCTTCCCGTGTCCCAACCTCGCAGCATGTCTCACCGTTGCAGCGTGATCTGCCCGTGTGCCTCGCAGCCACTGGAATGCATGCCCCCAAATTAAGCATGGTCATATTCTCCACCTCCCCTTTCCCCACAGCACTCACAAACTCCATCTCCCCACACCCCCCCCCCCTCCCTCGATACTACACGACATCACTCACTCACCGCATGTCGCCCCCTCGCCCCATGTACACTCCCCCCCCCTTCTTTACGCACCCCTCGCTGCCAGCGGCCACCAGGATGCCTGCATGGTCCAAGTAGTCCAGCGCCAGAATCATCTGCCCCGGGGGGCACGTGAAGAGCGTGCTGGCGATGTGGTCCGTGCGCGTGTCCCACAGGTTCACCTGCCCGTCCCGCCCCGCCGTCACCACGCTACCCTTGTTCAGCCCGGGCAGCATGCGCAGCGCGACTATCTGCTCCGGTGGGGGGAGGAACGCGATGGAAGGGGGGGAGAGAGGGAGGAGTACATGGAGCAAGAGCAGTGCTGATGGATGGAGAGTGTGGAATGGGAAGGAGTGGAGTGTATGTGTGAGAAGCAAGGGAGTGAAGGAGAGGCAGCGGATGAGCGGGCGGAGAAGGCGGCAATGGTGGCTGAGAGACCTGCAAGAAGCACCAAGGCCGTAGAAAGGCTCCTGGGCTCAACCACCACCGCAAGGGAAGGGTGATGGCAGACCAGGAGAGCATTGGAAAGTGAGACAGCGCGAGTGCAGGGCAGGGGTGCGGCGGGCTTACGCTGTGCTGGTGGCCGCGGAGGTCCGCCAGCATGCGCGCCGTGGCCTTGTCAAAGACCAGCAGCCGCCGGTCATCGCCGCCTGACAGCACCCTCGTGGCGTCCGACCCCAGACAGCGCACCGCCCTGAGGGGGGGAGGGGGAAAGGGGAGAGGGGGCCAAGGGGAAGAGATGGGAGAAAGGGGATTGATAGAAGAGAGAGAGTAAGTGGCAGGGGTGAGAATGTTATGAGGCAGCCTCCTGCAGAGGCAGCATGGCAGCATGGCAGCATGGCAGCGCGGTCCGCGGCACTCGACAGCGGCTGGCGCATGGGCAGACATGCAATCAGGTGGCGAGTGCAGAGTGTCGGATGGGAAAGCGAAGCGAGATGGAAACACTAGGTCTGGTGTGGGATTGACAAGAGTGCCAAACAATGGGAGATGGCAGTGGAGAGGGTGCACCATGAGAGTGGGCTGGCAGCCACTGGCATGGAGCATTCACAAGAGAATCGCCCGTCTCACCCTGTGTGACCGTGCATGGTGGCGCGCAGCTCGTCCCCTCGGGTGCTGGGGTCCCACAGCTTCACGCTCGTATCACAGCTGCCACTGACAAAGTACCCCGCCCCATCGTCGCCGTCCGGCAGCAGGTCGCCCAGCTCGCTGCGTGTGCCCGCGTGGAGCGCTGTGATTGGCTGCTTGTGGCCGCGCAGCACACGCACCCCCGTGGCGCCCCGGCCCTGCGCGTGCGAGTGGCGCAGCGACTTGGACGGCTGCAGCCCGGGCCGCTCCTTGCCCGCCTCAGCGTCAAACACTGCCCGGGGGGGAGGGTGGAAAGCGGGGGGAGAGAGGGGAACGCGAGAGAAAGCGTTGAGGGTGGTGGAGGGGAGGAGCAGCTGCGACACGCTTCATCGGTTTCAGAGCCAAGGTACTTGAGACGTGCCCACAACACAGCAATTCAACGTGGTGAGTTACAGCCCTCCCCATGGCACAAAGCATTTAAGTCAGAGCCCATCCCTCTCCCCCCACCCCCCTCACCTCCGATTTTCTGTGAGCCCCCACCGCCCTGTAGCAGCTTCTCCTGCTGCTGCTTCTGGAACGTGCCCAGGTTGAGGTTCCCCAGCGTGCTCATCCACCGCCCCGCCGCCGACCCCAGCGCCGACGCCACCTGGCTCTCCCCGCCCGCCCCGCCACCCCCTGTGGCCCCCCCGGCCCCCTCGTCCGCGCCCCCCCCTGTGGAGTGCGGGGCGTGCGACTGGAACTGGCGGTTGAAGCTGGCGGCGAAGAGCGGCGATGTGGGCGACAGCGGGTAGTACTGCCACGCGTGCTGCAGGTACGCCAGCTGCCCCCGCAGCACAATCTGGGGCAGGGGGAGGGGCGGATAGGGGGGGGGACAAAGGGAAGAGATTGAGTGACACGAAGAGGGAGAGGTGAGTGAGAGATGGAATGCGAATGAGGAAGAGGGATGGGAAATATTGCAGCGGTGAGGACGTGAAAGAAGGCATTCGTGCAACAGTGTGCTGCTGACCCATTCCGTGTGGAGCGGGGTGGCAGGTGGCCCACCTGGCGCTTGAGGCTGAGGCGGCTGGACAGCACCTCCAGCATGGCCCACGCGTCCCCATCCACCAGCCCCATCTCCGCCTGCCCGCCGCCATGCACAAGGGGGGGGGGGTGGGGATGGGGGAGAAGGAAGGAGGCAGAGAGAAGAGAAGGGGTTGGGACGAGGGTTGTGGAAGAGACATGAGTTGAAACGTTGGTGCCCTGGGCATCACGACACGACGCATGGCAAGCTGCAGCGCGGAGAGAGACGACACGAGAGGAGAGCCGAAAAGAGGCGAAGAGGGCGAGGGAGGGGAGAAGAGAGGAGAGGAAAAGTGAGGAGCAGTGGGGAGGGGAGGGGAGAGGAGAGGAGAGGAGGGGAGAGCGCTGACCATGACTTGAGCGAGGCCTCCCAGCAGCTGCTGCACTAGATCCGCCACCTTGCCCTCACTGTGCCATGTGATGATGCCACGTGCATGCAGACATGCACACACATGCACACCCATGCGCACATGCACACCCATGCACACATATGCACACATGCACAAACATGCACACACATGCACACATCCATGCATGCGTGCACACACACAAGCGGACAGCAGCAGGCCCAGCAATGGACTTGATGCGAAAGAGCGACAAGGGCAGCTACTATGCAGACCAAAGCGAGGGAAGGGGTGGAAAGACGAAGGACTTGGGGAATTGGGTTGAGAGGAGAGAACGTGGAGAGAGGGTGAGGGAGACAGACGAACAGGGGGAAGTCGGGGATAGGCAGGCGAGGAAGGGGACGGTGAGGTGGTGGCGATAGCAGGGAGGGCAGGGCGGGGCGATGGGAGGAGGAGCGTACAAGTCAGGGTTGACTTCCAGCTGCGTGTCATGGTACGTCTTCCAGAACCTGCCAGCACGTGGGGGGCATGGTGGGGAGGTGGAGGGAATGGTAATAAAATGTGCCATGTGCCGTGTGCCATGTGCCATGTGCCGTGTGCCATGTGCCATGTGCCATGTGCCGTGTGCCATGTGCCGTGTGCCGTGTGCCGTGTGCCATGTGCCGTGTGCCGTGTGCCGTGTGCCATGTGCCATGTGCCGTGTGCCGTGTGCCATGTGCCGTGTGCCCTGTGCCCTGTGCCCTGTGCCCTGTGCCCTGTGCCCTGTGCCCTGTGCCCTGTGCCCTGTGCCCTGTGCCGTGTGCCGTGTGCCGTGTGCCATGTGCCGTGTGCCGTGTGCCGTGTGCCATGTGCCGTGTGCCGTGTGCCCTGCGCCGTGTGCCGTGTGCCGTGTGCCGTGTGCCATGTGCCGTGTGCCGTGTGCCATGTAACGTGTGCCATGTGCCGTGTGCCGTGTGCCATGTGCCGTGTGCTGTGTGCCATGTGCCGTGTGCCGTGTGCCATGTGCCATGTGCCGTGTGCCGTGTGCCATGTGCCGTGTGCCGTGTGCCATGTGCCGTGTGCCGTGTGCCATGTGCCATGTGCCGTGTGCCATGTGCCGTGTGCCATGTGCCATGTGCCGTGTGCCATGTGCCATGTGCCGTGTGCCATGTGCCATGTGCCGTGTGCCATGTGCCATGTGCCGTGTGCCATGTGCCATGTGCCGTGTGCCATGTGCCATTCGTCATGTGCCATGTGTCATGTGCAGTGTGCTGTGCACCATGATAGGTGTCTCAGAATGTGTCAATAAACGAGGATAGCAAGATGGATGAATAAAAAGCTGACGCTTGGACGGCATCAGAGGCGTTGGAGGGGGCAGAGGGGCAGGAAGGGCTGAGGACGAGCTGGAGGGTGGAGAGCGCGAGCGAAAACATGCTCCAAGTAACCGCCACAGCTGGTGCGCACCAGGTGAAGCAGCAGGCAGGTGAGGGCGCACCTGAAGTCCTTCCAGATGGGCAGCGCGCCGATGTGGCGCAGCACCGTGTCCTTGTGCCCCGCGCCGTCCCGCTGGTGCACGCGGCTCCCCAGCTCCAAGGCCGCCAGCACGGACTGCATGTCGCTGCGCATGGCAGCGCGCGATATGGAGAGCACGATCTGCGCACAGCGGGGGGGAAAGAGGGCAGGACGGATCAGTAGTGCTGCAAGCACCGAGAGCACGTGGGCAGAGAAGAAACGGATGAGGGTGGATGCAAGGTGAGTGCAGGAGGGGCATGCAGCGGAGAGCGAACAACGCACACGCTCCTCATTGCTCTCCCTCTGCCTCTGCCTCATCCACGCACCACACACCCCATCCGCTCTCACCCCCACCCCATTCCCACCCCATTCCCTCCCACCATTCCCCTCACTGCCCCATCCCCCTGACCAGCTCTCTGACGGCCACAAATAGATCCGCCTTGAGCTCGCCGTCCCACGCCTGCATGCCCAGGGGGCCAGAGGCGGAGCAGAGGGGGGACGGAGAGAAGGAGCAGAGGGGGGACGGAGAAGGAGCAGAGAGCAGGGGCAGAGAGGAGGGTCGTACAGGGGAAGCAAGGGAAGAGAGGAAGAGAGGAGCGGGACGTGTGAGAGAAGGAGACAGGGAAAACGTAGGGGGGAGTTGGCAAGGAGAGCACGGAGATGGAAGGGGGGAAGGGGGGAAGGGGGGAGGGAGAGAGAGCAGTTAAAGGAAGGTGTGAGGAGGTGAGACGCCACATGATACAGAAGAAAGAATATTGGACCTTGGAAAAATAACGAAGACGTTTCTGTAGGAATCTATCAGTCCATGCAGAGAGCGCGCCGCCCACCTTGGAGTGCCCCCCACCTTTAAGTACCGCCCACCTTGGATTGCAGTTTGTCCTGTAGAACCTCCATGAATCCCGAGCTCCCCACGCCATCCTCGTCCTCCATCATTGCTGCCATACCAGGCCGGGTGCGGTGCAGTGCATTACGGTGAGGATAGAGAGGGGTAACGATGGTGAGGAAGACAGTCAGTCATGTGCAAGGCAGAGAGACCAACAGCCCATTGCCCCCGGGAACCGAAGTGAGGGGATATTGAAAGAGGCAAGGAAAGGTCGGGAGGGGTCGTGCGGAAGGAGCAAGAGAGGTGGGTTGATGCTGAGGGGAGCGGTGATGGAGGGGGCATGGAGGCAAGGCAGTGCGTGCGGTGCGGGCCTTTAGGGGCAGCACAGGAAGGAGCGGCGGCGACTTGATCGCGCAGCTGCTGCCTCATCTCACCGTAGATGGTGCCTCATCTCACCGTAGATGGTGCCTCATCTCACCGTAGATGGTGCCTCATCTCACCGTAGATGGTGCCGTACTCGCGCGACGACAGCGGCTCCTCATCCGCCGGCAGCGCCAGCAGCTGGTCCCACAGCTTCTGCTCGCCGCGGGGGGCATGGGCGCACGCGGGAGGACAGAGGGGTGGGAAGACGGGGATGAGGGGTCATCGTGGGATGGGGAAAGGCGGAAAAACAAAGCTCCAAGAAGAGAAGATGGCAAGTGTGACGCGTGAGGGGGACAGTGTGGAGGGAGGAGGCAGGCGGCAGTGCATGGCTGTGGGTTGCTAGCAGCATGACTGTGGTGTGGTGGCAGGGGGGCGAGGGAGTGAGGCGTCTCAGAGCAGGTGGGGGAGAGGGGTGAGGAAGGAGGGGCAGGGAGGGGAAGGGAGGGAGAGCACTCACGGAGAACTTGCCCTTGATGGCGCCCACCATGGCATCGCGCTCCTGCTTGGGGGGGGGTGGGGTGGGGGGGGGGGAGAACATGGGCGTTGAGGGGGGTCGATTGCAGGATGGAATTGGAAAGGGATGGGGGAGACAAAGGGATGGGGGAGACAAAGGGATGGGGGAGACAAAGGGATGGGGGAGTGACAAGAGTGGGTGCGGGAGGAAAGGGCGGAATGAGAAGGAAGAGGTAGAGAGGAGGAGAGAGTTGGTTGCTCCCTCACCTCCTGCTCTCTCACCTCCTGCTCTCGCAGTCGATTGCTCCCTCGGCTCCTCTCCTCCATCACCACTGTCTCCTCCACGTCCGCACTGCCATCCACCGGCGCACTTCCAGGCACACAGGACAAGATGAGATGGGGGCACGGGGGAAACACGGGGGGACGAGATGACGTGGGGAAGAAGGGCGCCATGCCATGGCACAAGCAAACCGAGGTGGGGCCAGCGCGAGCGAGGAAATGGAATGACAGGACGAGGGAGGACGATAGCAAGTGAAGAGGCGATCTGACATCTAAGAAAGGAGACGGAAGAAGTAGAGGAATGGGAATGAAGATTGCTCCAGGACTCCATGTGTGCTGCTGGGACCACCTTCCACTTCTCCCCCTCCCCAAACCTCAATAATACTGCACCTCCCCCTATCGCTGCACCTCACTGCACAGCCAGTGCGGCCCACCTGGCAGCCCCGCAGCTGACCTGACGACGCGTCGCGCCTCATTGTGCTGCTTGGCGTCGGCCACGGTCTGCCGCACCTGCTGCAGGAACTCGTACCGCCGCTGCTTCTCCTCCGCGCTGCGCTCCAAACACGGGAACGACCGGTGCGTGTACCGCCCCGCCGCTCGCTCTGCCAGGGGAAAATGGAGGGGGCAGATTAGATGGGGCTCCGCGCCTTGCCAGACAGGCCTGTCCCACGCACGGGAAGAGTTGTGCGTGTACCCCCTCTGGGAGGATGATAGGAGGGAAGTAGTGAGGAGATTCAAGAGGAGGAATCAGGGAAGAGCCAAAGGGGCAGCAGCAGTGCTTGTGTGCCTGCTGGGCATAAAACAGCCCCAGCCCTGCACCTTTAGGCGTGGGCGGCGGCACGGTGACGATTTCAGAGGCGCCGTCGTCGTGGGCGAGCTCCACCTGCGCCATGGCGGGCCCCGTGGCGATGTCGAGCGCCTCCAGCTCCAGCAGCACGCGGTCAAAGAAGGAGTAGTTGTCGGGGGTGCGGCTCGTGCTGCCGTCCAGAAACTGCTGCCAGCACTGCGTGTGCAGCAGCTGCGAGATCTGCGGGGGGGGAAGGGGGGTTAGTAGAGAAGGGATAGTGGAGAGGAAGAAGTGAGTGGAAGAGGAGGGGGGGAGCATTGACGTCCAGGACGTGCTGGCGAGTGCAAGCGCAGTGACGTTCTGAGCGACACAGAGCGAAGAGGAGAGGAGAGAGGAGAGAGCTACAGCGAGAAGGGAAGGAGTTGTGGAGAGAAGTAGGTGGGGAGGGGAAAGGGAGCAAGGAAGCATGTGCAGGGATGCCACTCCAACGCATGCACTCACCTCCACCGCCCTGCTCACCCCAGCGCCCTGCTCACCCCAGCGCCCTGCTCACCCCAGCGCCCTGCTACCCCAGCGCCCTGCTCACCCAGCGCCCTGCTCACCCACCCACTGCTCAACCCAGCTCACGCTCACCCCAGCGGGCTGCACTGACGAGCGCAGCGGGGTGGCATGGTCTCACCAGCGGCTCGTCGGTGTTGCCAGTGACCTTGGCGCGCTTGCGGAAGAAGCTGGCCTTGTTGAACGTCGACTTCACGTGCCCTGACGGCTCCACCACCTTGTCCTGCGGGGGGGGGACGCGCATGGGGGGGTGAGGGACAGACGGCACAGAGGGGGGAGAAAGCGCGGTGTTGAACAACGTCCACTTGACGTGGCCTGATGGCCCCGCCACCTCGTCCTGCAGAAGCATGGGAAACAAGGGGAGGAGGAGCTGCGGGGGATGGCGCCACCATGGCATGAGCAGCAATCAGTAATACCAGGAGAAACAGCACAGTGCCATACCACATAGGACCACGTCATACTGCACAGCACCACACATCGTACCACATAGTGTCTGTAGCTGCAGAGGATGGAGGCGAAGAAGCGAAGGAAGATCAACCTGCAGCGAGGCGAGCAGCGGAGGGGGAGAGGACGGGAGGGGAGAGCAGAGGAGGGGAGAGGAGGTGAGGGGAGAGGAACGAAGGTAAGGCTGCAGTGATGGGCAAGGGAAGGAGGCGGCTGAATACAGGAGCCAGCAAGCGGACCCCAACATCCACCCCACCCATCCGCTCACCGCATCTCGCGGTCGTGCAGTCTGCCCCACGGCCGCCGGAACTTGTGCAGCTCGCAGCTGAAGTCGCGCGTCCGAGCCTGGTCCAGCCCCATCAGGTCCGGCGCCACCAGCTGCAGCAGCGCCTCCCGAACCTGCAGGCTCAGGTGAGGAAGGGAGGAGATTGACAAGATCACCCGGTTAGGTTGAGGAGAGGACACAAAAGACCTGGGACGAAAAGAAAGGGTTAGGATGCAGAAGGAGAGAGGGGGTGCGCATGCACTGTGAGCATCAGGTTCTACGCACCCACCATAGACTTGAGGGAGTTGCCTCCCCACGGAACAGCCTACCGGCGCTGCCTATCTGCGGCACAGCTTGCATGCGCCGTACCTGGGAGTTCTCTGGCTCAGGCAGCGGCGGAATGGTGTCGCTGTCGTCGTCGTAGGCGCTGGTGGTCATGGCAATGCGGTTGGCGTCCAGGTCCACCACCATCACCTGCCAGAGAGGGGAGGCCGTGGGGAGGGGGGAAGAGGGGTTACAGTGGACCCTGAAAGTGCTTGAAACCACCACCACCACCACCATCACCGTCACCATCACCTGGAGGAAGGGGCGGGGAGTTGGAAGAGTTGTTTGACTGGACTTTCGAAGGACGAAAAACCCAAGCGAGAAAGCTGAAAGCTGATACACTGGCAATGCGAAACCTCCTGATAGCCATGAGCAAATGGCGAGGCAAGAAAAACTCGCCTCACCCGGGGTTGCCTCCAACAAGAAATGGGGCGAGACGGACATTCCTCGCTCGAGAAATTTCTCTCCAGAAGTTCCCTTCGTCACTCATCTTTGCCACGATTTTTTTTCTTACTTGAGGCCAACCTTTTTTACTCGCCACGGCCCACGAGGCAAGTACTACTCGTTTCGAGTTGCTGGCGGCCCCCCTAAACCCCATGGCCCACAAATTTTAGGGCGCAAAAAAGAAAAACTACAAATTCCAGAGGCATGGTAGGGATGGTAGGCATGGTAGGATCGGTGATGGAAGAGAAATGGATCAGCCATTTCGAGAAATGGACATTTGTACCAGAGTGGCTCGGGTCATGCTCGTACAAATGCCGTGCCGTGAGTGATTGTTTGCTCACAAGTAACAGGTACTCGCCCCAAACAGGCTAGTAAACTCCGAGTACTCGTTACTTACTCGCCTGACCTTGCAGGCGAGTTTTACTCTTCTCGTGTTCTCTCCTGAACCGCCCAACCCTCAAACCGGAAACCCAGAAGTCTGAACCCTGAACCCCACCCCCCCTCCCCCTCTCAGCACCCCCCAGCAGGCCATGGTTGGTCCCATCTCACGAAACCCTGATCCTCCCCTACACCCCAAACCCCAAACTTGAACAACCACGAACCCAGATCCCTCAACTGCCAACCATGAAGCCTCCTTCTTCCCCCCTCACCCCGCCTGGCAGGTCCTGGTCCGTCCAGCGCGTGGGCACAATGCCAAAGAGGAAGCTTCCCGGCATGTGCACGAGCTCCAGCTTGTTTAGGGGCAGCACGGGCGTGTAGGGGTACTGCGGGGGGGGGGATCGGATGGGGCCGGGTGGGGGGGGAGAGGGGGGGTTAGGAGGTGTGGATGCATGGAGCAGAGTGCAGTGTGTTTTAGGCGGCTCGGAACGCATCCTAGTGAGTGGCAGCAAGGAGCATAGGTGAAGCACAAGCAACGGAATGGGTGGGGGGAGCTGAGAGGGAAGATGGAGGGGGTGGAGGGGTGAGGGAGCACAGGTAGGAAGGAAAGGAGGGACAGCTGGGAGGAGTGGGCGGGGGCAAGGAACAGAAGAAAGACAAATTATATGAGCAAGGGGTGCAGGAGAGGAGAGAGCGGGCTAAGAGGAAGCGAGGTGGTTGACTAGCAGATGCCAGGAGTGGTGAGCACGCTTCCAAATGCTGCACGATTCGATGCGATGGGATGGAACGACTTGAGACACGGCAGTGAATGCTGCTACACATGCACCATGCATTCACCATGCACCATGCATTCACCATGCACCATGCATTCACCATGCACCATGCATTCACCATGCACCATGCATTCACCATGCACGCATGCCACTCACACGCATGCATGCATGCATGCATGGGTGCAGGCACTCACGGCCCACTTGAAGGGATAAATTAGATGCGACACCGACTCCGCCACCAGGGTGAGCAGCTCGTACCTGGCGGGGTGGGAGAGACCACGGCATGGACAAGGGGGCGAATCAAAGGGACGGTCACGGGACTCAAAGGGCCCAAGAGGGGATCGGGCAGCTGTCATTAAAATGGTTCGTAGTTGCGTGCGGCCCTTAGAACTCGTTGATGAGTGAGGGAGTAAGCACAACGCTTCAAAGAGACGTGCAGCTATCAGCTTGGCCCCGAAACTGCTGCAGCTGGCTCACTGCACGGCACGGTGCACGGCACGGTGCACGGTGCACGGCACGGTGCACGGTGCACGGCACGGTGCATGGTGCGCGTTGCACTCACTGGCTGGCTCTGAGGAGGATCCTCTTCTCGAGCAGCACGGCGGTGACGAGCAGAATGATGTTGTCCATGTCCAGACTGCGCACCAGCGGGTGGAACGACAGCTGCCTCCACAAGAGAGGGGCGAGAGCGGGACGGCGAGGGAGGAGGCGTTGAGAGTGATGGGAGAAACAAGGGAGCATGGCATGCGAGAGGAAGGCGCCAGCCCGTGCATCCAAGTGCAGCAGCGAGTGCATGCTGTCAGGTCAGGCCGCCATTACCTCACATTGCTTCCCATCATCCCTAGAGGCCCCCCACCTGCACTAATGGCAGGCTGAATGCCGGGGGCGCCTCGCACCAGAGCACGCACTTCTAGCCAACTTGCATTGCCAGTCACCGCCTCTCATCCACCCCAATGAGCCCCCCCTCATCCCCCCGTGCCCTCCCACCCACCTGCACGAAGGGCAGGCTGAAGGCGGGCGGCGCCTCAGACCACAGCAGGCACTTCTCGACAGAGAACACCACGGTGCATCGCCCGGGGTCGGGCAGCGGCACCTGCGTCACGAGGTGCTGCACCGTGTCCCACAGCGGCTGCCTGCAGGAGGGGGGGGGGGGGAAGAAACGCGGGTAGAAAAAGGGGGGGTGGGTGCGGGGTGGGGGGGGGGTTGCACAAGGGGGCAATCGAATGGCACAAAGAAACAAGTGAGATGGAGCAGGGGCACCTGCGAGTGTGAGACGGAACAAGAGAGGACAGGGGAGGGGATGAGTGTGAGACAGAAAGGGTAGGAGTGAGAGAGAAAGGGTGGGACTGAGAGAAATAAAGGGGAGTACGAGAGAAAGGGTGTGAGTGAGTGGGTGAGAGTAAAAAAGGGTGTGAGTGTGAGAGGTAACAGAACCAGGTTTTTTACGATAAACGAAAAAGTGTGGAAATGCAAGAGGGGTGTTGTACTGAGAGTGAGAGGAGGTAAGAGCAACCGGTGGGTGGAAGTAAAAACTGGGAAACACAGGGCGACGTGCTGAAAGCAGGCGGGGAGTGCTGGAGAGTCAGAAAGCAGCTGGCAGTGAAGGAGACCCTCAAAACGCCAGCCTCGCTTCCACTCATTCACCCCATTGACCCCCATTGACCCCCATTGACCCCCATTAACCCCCCTGGACTCACGTGCAGCCGGCGGTGCAGAAGCACATGCGGTGGATCTCCTCGAGCGCCTGCGTGAAGGTGTCGAAGAAGGGCCAGTGGCTCACGATGCACATGCACTTGTCCACGTAGTGGCTGGTCGGCATGCCGTACGCCGTCGCCACGTCCTCGTCCACCGGGTCCCGGAACGACACCACCGTCACGTACACCTTCGTGCCCACCGTGTCTGGGGCGGGGGTGGGAGGGGCGAGGAGCATGGTGTGTGCGCGGAAGGAAGCAGAGTGAGCAGCAACTGGCAGCGCAGGGGGCCACCCATCCTCGGGCACAGGGCCTGTCAACGGAATGACGCAACCTCCATGCCCCCACTGTGTCTGTGGACTGGAGGGGAGGAGCGGAGGGGGGAAGGAAGGGAACGGGGGGAGGACGTGGGTGGGGAATGGAGGAGTGTCTGTGTGCTGCATTGCAGGGGTATGGCCGCGGCACAGGGTATGAAGCAAGGGAAAAGAAACGAATCATCTCTGACCTGTACTTGATATTCGACTCAAATTCGTAATCAAAACGAGTCGAATAATCGCAAAGACCTGTAGAAAATCAGCTGACAAGTATTCATCTCTTCGTAAAAACTCGAATCCATATTAGCCACTACTAGGTTAGGAATTCGTATGAAACTTTCCCGATTCCCTTGTTGGGCCGCCCGTTTGCACAGACAACAAGGTTGGAGGTGGAAGCAGTGGCTTCACGAGGCTCACAAGGGAGCCCAGCCCGCAGTTGTGCCCCAGCTGTCTTCACTGCCTCCGGGTTTCCTAACTCAAACCAGAGTTCCCGCTAGACTATTCCATGGGACCCACCTGTGATGACCATGGGGTGCGGCGCACCTGTGATGACCATGGGGTGCGGCGCACCTGTGATGACCATGGGGTGCGGCCCACCTGTGATGACCATGGGGTGCGGCGCACCTGTGATGACCATGGGGTGCGGCGCACCTGTGATGACCATGGGGTGCGGCCCACCTGTGATGACCATGGGGTGCGGCGCACCTGTGATGACCATGGGGTGCGGCGCACCTGTGATGACCATGGGGTGCGGCCCACCTGTGATGACCATGGGGTAGGAGCGCGGCTGCGTGCTCTTGTCCCCGGAGAAGGGCCCTCGCTCGTAGAAGCGCAGCCCGCGCGGCATCACCACCTGCGCGCGCAGGGGGGACAACGGGGGATGCAGGGGAGGGAGTGAGTGGGGGAAGAATGCGGAGAAGAGCACGAGGCGCCGCAAGAGGGCGTGTGAGCGACGCCATGGCGAACCGTGGGAGCGAGGGAAGGGACGGGCGAGAGGGAAGAGGGGGGAGGTGGAAAGGGGAGGGAGCGGAGGGGGGGCAGCGCACCATGGGGAGCCCCTCGGGCACGCCGAACTTCTTGTGTTCCTTGGTGGGGTAGAAGTCGAGCGGCGTCATTTGCGGCTGGTACAGCACGGGCTCGCCGTCCCTGCCCGTCACGCCGTGGAACCCGCGCTGCCCGTCCATCGTGCGCAGCTCCGCGCCGAGCCCGCAAACCACGAAGTAGTCGATGAACCGCGTCGACCATCCCGGCAGCGCGCGCGGCGCTTGCTGCTGCTGCTGCTGGTCCGCGCGGTGCTGCTGCAGCGCCTCCGCCGCCTGCTGCGCGCGGTCCTGCGCCTGCAGCACGCCCGCCGACGCCGCTCGCCGCAGGTCGATCTGCCGCCCGATCGCCTCCTCGCTCGACCCCATGCCGCCGCGCACGGGGCCGCGTCACGCGCCTACCTCCCTAGGCGATTAAAGACGTCGCTAGCACATTGAGAGTTTAAGGCGGCGTTGGCACGTGGAATGAACGCCTGAAATTGACACACGAGACAATGACGTCCCGTATCGAGGTTCCAATATCGAGGGTCCTATAACGAGAGTTCTATATCAAGACTTTATATCGAAAGTCTTATACACAGAATTCTGTACAGAGGGTCCTATATCGACGACCCTATATCAAGGTTCCTGTAGCGAGGCCAACGTGAACTAGCTGGGCATGCGCGACTGAATCGAAGGCTTACAGAAATCGACTTGGCTGCTATTATCCTGGAAACGACCGGATGCGGCAAGCGGAGTGGCACGCAGACGACTGCTGGGTCGACAACACTCGCATGGGAGGAGCCTCCGAGAGATGCCGGCCGAAGGGAGCGGATGACTCCGTCCGTATGTAGTCTGGTCGTCAGGCGGGATAGCACGGCACAGGTGTGAGTAGAGCCGTGAATGACTTGCACATGGTGGGAGAGGGAGGGAGTGAGGGAGGGAGCAGCGGGCGGGTTACCACCACACACCACTCGGTCTCGTTCGCCGTGAGAGTGGGTGGGAGGGGGTCGTGCGCCGAGGGTGCATAGCGGAGGGCGATGGCTGGGAGAAGCCTGGTTTGGCTCCGCAAATCCTTCGACTGGGGGAGAACTGTTAGGGCGTGGAACCTTCAGTTCCGCTTCCGCGAAGTCCGTAACTCGGACCGCTCTTGGCGACGAGAATGCCTGGCGCGAAACACGACATCAGCGTTGGCGATGGTGTAACCAGACCGAAAACCGGAACTAGGCCAGGATCGAACTGAGGGCGTGGTACTTCGATAAAATATCGGGTTGCGCAACTCGGCTGAGTTGCGCAGCTCGGGACAGTGATCTTTCTCAACCGCTCTGTAAAATATCTTTACCAGTCCGTTTTGGCAAGAATTGCGCAACTCGGGTTGCGCAACTCAGGGATGTTTTGCCGAATTGCCACGCCCTAGAGCCTCAACGCCCCAAGAACTAGTGGTAGTTTTGGGGAAAACTGTGTGCGACTAATTCGGAAGGGTTGTGATTGGAGGCGTGACGATGGGCGATGTCGAGATTGTAACACAGGGGTATGCCACGTGAAAACAAATCGAATAATTACTATCTACCTAGGTGAAATCATGAAAACCTAGACACATCCTCCTTTTAGAGAGTCAAATCCAGTTGTTATATCTGTATTATATCAAGTCCATTCCAATGAGGTCCATCGAGGAGCCTAAAGATCGATGAAAAACTGTACTACACCACAGCATCATTCTCAGGAATTCGAGGCTTCCTCAAAAGCAGCAAGTTATAATGCATGCCACATGCAACCCATGTCAAACATGTGTATTAGTTATGTTTGCATAGACTGTATAGGGTCACCTCTTAAAGGGTACAATACTTAGGTATATCTATCTGTACTCTCCCACTAGTCATCATTCACTTCTCTCATTTTGATATGGTATCACTCGTAGGTTAGGATCCCCCACCTACCGCTTCCGCTTGTCACCTAGCTAGGCCCCGCCGCGCCTCCCCCCTGGGCCCCGTCGTGCCCCTCGCCTAGCCCCGTCGCGACCCCCTAGCCCCGTCGCGACCCCCCTGGGCCTCGTCGTGCCCCTAGCCCTGCCGCGCCCCTCCTGGGCCCCGTCGCGACCCCCTAGCCCCGTCGCGACCCCCCTGGGCCTCGTCGTGCCCCTAGTCCTGCCGCGTCCCTCCTGGGCCCCGTCGCGACCCCCTAGCCCCGTCGCGACCCCCTGGGCCCCGTCGCGACCCCCTAGCCCCGTCGCGACCCCCCTCTGGGCCCCGTCGTGCCCCTAGCCCTGCCGCGCCCCTCCTGGGCCCCGTCGCGACCCCCTAGCCCCGTCGCGACCCTCTCGGGCCCCGCTACGCCCCTCGCCGTATAGCGCCCCTCCTGGGCCCCGTCACGCATGCAGGCCCCGTCGCCCCCCCTGCTCGGCCCCGTCGCACCCGCCCGGCCCAGTCGCACCTGCTCGGCCCCGTTGCGCCCTGCCCGGCCCCGTCGCGCCGGGCCGGCCCCGTCGCGCCCGGCCGGCCCCGTCGCACCCGCCCGGCCCCGTCGCACTCGCCCGGCCCCGTTGCGCCCAGCCCGGCCCCGTCGCGCCCGCTCGGCCCCGTCGCACCCGCCCGGCCCCGTCGCACTCGCCCGGCCCCGTCGCACTCGCCCGGCCCCGTTGCGCCCTGCCCGGCCCCGTCGCGCCCGCTCGGCCCAGTCGCGCTCTCCGGGCCCTGTCGCGCCCTGCCCCGGCCCCGGCATCCTCACTGGTACGGTTCCCCCCCTCCCTGCACCGCCCTCCACCGCACTGCACTGCACTGCCTCGCACTGCACCGCCCTGCACCGCCCTGCACCGCCCTGCACCGCACTGCACTGCCCTGCATCGCACTACACCGCCCTGCACCGCCCTGCACTGAACTGCACTGCCCTGCATCGCACTGCCTCGCCTTGCACCGCACGGCACCGCACTGCACTGCCCTGCTCTGCACTGCACCGCACTGCACCGCACTTTACAGTCCTGCACTGCCCCTGATGGCGGCGGAGCTTCGCTTCGACGCTGAAGGCCAGCCTCTGGAGTTCGAGGCGTGGCTTGCCGACCTCCGGCGCCAACTCACTGGCCAGCGGCAGGATGGCCACCCGCTTTCCGCACACCTTGACGGTACGCTCCCCTGCCCAGACCTCCCTGCTGTTCTGCCCGCTGACTCCGCACCCACTGAGCGCGAGTCTACTGCTGCCACTGCCCGTGCGCGCTCTGTCTGGCTTTCTCGCGATGCTGTCGCTCAACTTGCCATTAACAACGCCCTTCCCCCGTCCGAGCGCCCTCGCTTTAGGTCCCTCACTACTGCCCAGGCTTATTTAGATGCTGTCATCCAGCGCTATTCCACCCCTCCGGCTGCCTCGGTGGGTCGCCTGATCCTCCCGATGCTCTTTCCTGACCTTGCGTCTTTCCCCACTGTCTCTGACCTCGCTGCCCACCTGCGCTCGATAGATGACACCTGGCGCGCTGCCTGCACTGACGCACAGCTTAGAGCCCACCAGCCGCCCATTACCTCTACCCTTTACCTGCTTGCCACCCGCCTCCCTGACCGCCTTGCTGTCGCCCGCGACCGCTTCCTTAGCATTCACCCCGCAGACCTTACCCTCACTGACTTTGTAGACACCCTGACTGTGATTGAGACCCGCCACCGCTCCATCGCCCAGGCGAGTGGTACCGTGCCGGTCCCTATCTTTTAGGGTTGTGCCCCCGCTCAGTGTACCTTCTCCATCGGCTCTGCCACTGTGGCTGAGACTGCTGCTGCAGCGCAGTTTCGTTCGGGGAAGGGCCGCCGCCCCAAGGTTGGGCGCGGCGGAGGAGGCGGGAGTGCGGGAGGGGGTGGTGGTGGAGTCGGGTCGTCTGGTGCTGGAGCGGACGAGGGTGAGCCGCCACCTCTGCAGTCGCAGCAGCAGCAGTAGCCGCAGCAGCCGCCGCAGTCGCAGCAGCCGCAGCCTTCGCCGCAGACGAGGCAGCCGAGTGTACTCTCGCCCAGGTGGCCCAGCGCTGGCGGTGGTCGGGCGCGTGGTGGTGTGCCGAGTGGTGGTTCTGGAGGCGTGCGTTGTCAGTACCAGATCCAGACCGATCCTCGCCGCGGCTTCGTTTGCGGTAAGCTCGGTCACTCCACTCCCCGCTGTTTTCGTCGCCTGGACGACATGTTTCGTCAGCGCTTCGTTCCATCGCCATACGCCTCTGCTTCGCTTTCCTTCACCTTGGACTCTGGCGCTTCCCGGTGTTTCTTCCACGACTCCACCACCCTGACGCCGCTTCCTGTTCTTGCTGCCGTTTCTCTTGCTGACCCCTCCGGCGGTCCGGTAGTCGCCCGCAGTTCCACCACCCTTCCCTGTCCGGCAGTTCCTTCGGGCACTCTCACAGGTCTGCATATCCCCTCATTCTCCAGGAACCTAGTTGGTGTCGGCTGCCTCCAAGACCTTGGCGTCACCACTACGTTCCTTGGTCACGAGCGGTATGCTGTCTGTACCGAGGCCGCCACTGGTACCCCCTGTCCACGTTCCCCCGGGACCCGGTGTCCGGCCTGTTCACTCTAGACACCGTGACCCCCCCGGCTGGAGCGCTCCCTCAGGTGGCTGCGTCTACGCAGGTTGCTGCTGCCTGCTCCTGTCGGTCCCTCACTCACCCGACTCTCCTTTGGCACCACCGCCTAGGTCACCCTGCGCTCCCGCGTCTGCGTCACATGTCCCAGCACGGTCTTGTCCTTGGTCTCCCAGGTTCTCTCCCCGCGTTTCCCTCCTTCCCAGCCCCACCTTGCACGCCTTGTGTCGAGGGTCGGCTTCGCCGTGCCCCTCACTCCTCGTCATTACCCCCTACCGCCGCAGCGCTGCAGACCCTGCACATGGACGTCTGGGGCCCCGCCCCCGTCCCTGGGCCGCGTCGCGAGCGCTACTTCCTTGTACTTGTCGACGACTTTACTCGTTACACCACAGTCTTTCCCCTGGAGCGCAAGGCCGACGTGCCTGGCGCCCTCATCCCCTGGCTTGTCTCTGCGCGTGTCCACCGCGGTCTCCCTGTCTTGCGTCTTCACTCCGACCGTGTGGCGAGTTTGCCTCAGGTGTCCTTGGTCGATTTTGTCGTGCGGAGGGCATCACCCAAACGTTCACCCTACCGGACTCCCCACAGCAGAATGGGGTCGCTAAGCGACGCATCGGTTTGGTCATGGAGGTGGCTCGCACCTCCATGATCCATACCGGTGCACCCCATTTTCTGTGGCCGTTCGCTGTGCGCTACGCTTCTCACCAGCTTAACTTGTGGCCGCACCCTCAGCAGCCGCAGGTTTCGCCGACCCGTCTTTGGACTGGGTCTCCTGGTGACGCGTCTGCGTTCCACGTCTGGGGCTGCCTTGCTCACGTCCGTGCCTCCGGCACGGACATTGTCACTGCCCGCACCCTTCCCTGCGTCTTCCTTGGTTTTCCCCTTGACGCGTCCGACTGGCACTTTTACCACCCGCCGTCTCACCGCTACTTTCACTCTCGCGACGTCACCTTTGACGAGTCTGTCTCTTACTACCGTCGCTTCCCCCACCGTGGTCCCCCGGTTACCCCCCCCCTGTTCCTGGTCACTCCTTCCCCGGTAGTCCCTGCCCTCCCCCCTCCTCCTCCCCGTCCTGCCCCCTCTGGTCTGTCCCACGTCACCTCCCTTCCGTCGGTGGACCCGGTTGATGAGTCTTCTGACTCTGGTGGCCCTGCTGCGCCGTCCTCGCCGGCCGCCCCTCCACCGGCGTCCCCTCCCCAGTCCCCTCCTCCACCGCCTCTGCCGCCGCTGCAGCCGTCGGTGTCGCTGCCGCCGCCGCCGCCGCTATCGCAGCACCCGTTTGCTGACTCTCGGGGTGCTAGTACCGGTAGCCCTGGGGGTGGTTCCTCTGGGGGTGCTAGTGTGGAGTGTGCCGGTGGTAGCCGAGGAGCAGCTTGCAGTCCCGGTGTTGCCGTTGTGCCGCCGGTGAAGCAGTCCCCGCCGGTGTCCACCCTCCGCCTGCTCGGCCTTCCGTCCCCTGACCCTGCGGCTGTTCCTCTCCGTCCGTCTCCTCCTCTTCCCGTCTACAGCCCTGTGTTCCCTCCGTCGGACTCGTCTCCGGCCCGTCTTCCCCCTCGTTCCCCTCCTGTGTCCCCTCCCCTGTCTCCTGACCCGACTCCTCCGTCGCACGTCTGGTCTCACCGTCCCTCCCGTGCTCGTCCTGCCTCCCCTGTCTTGCACTCCCACCCTATGTTGCTTCGTTCCCACGCGTCTCGTCCTCCCCTTCTGCCGTCGCCTCCTCCGTCCTCCCTTGTTGTTGCACCTCCCCCCGCTGTCTGACTACCTTCGTGCCGCTCGTCTTTTGTTCCCCGGGTCCTTGCCTCCCTCGTTATCGACCCGTCTGTTCCGGTCTCGTGCCTTGACCCTCTTGTAGCTGCGGTCGCTGACTTCGCCTCTACCCGCCACCTTGACTACGCCTCCGCTCTGGTCTCTGACCCTACCTGTCCTCCGTTTGTCGGGGGTGCTCCTGCCCTTGGCAGTGACGTCTTGGAGGACCGCCAGTTCAAGCTTGCTTTCCTGTCCGAGGCTGCTCCCCATCTCTGTTCCATGCTACTAGTCCCTGAGGGTGACCGAGACGCTTTCAACATCCCGACCGCTCGCACTTACGCTGAGGCGACCTCGGGACCTTGGGCCTCGCAGTGGATAGCTGCCATGGAGCAGAAGATGGCATCTTGGAGATCCATCGGCACCTTCGTCGACGCAGTTCCCCCGCCTGGGGTGAACGTAGTCGATGGCCGCTGGCTCTTCAAGGTGAAGCGCCCTCCTGGAGAGCCTCCTGTGTTCAAGGCGCGCTACGTGGCTAGAGGCTTCAGTCAGCGTGAGGGGGTGGACTTCTTCCAAACCTTCGCTCCGACCCCGAAGATGACTACTCTTCGGGTTCTGCTACACCTAGCTGCTCAGCGCGACTACGAGCTTCACTCCCTCGACTTCTCCACTGCCTTCCTTCAGGGCAGCCTACACGAGCAGGTCTACTTGTGTCGCCCCCAGGGCTTTACTGGCACCTTCCCTCCTGGGACCCAGTGGCTCCTACGGCGCCCCGTCTACGGCCTGCGCCAGGCTCCCCGCGAGTGGCACGACACTCTCCGTGCTACGCTTGCTGACCTGCAGTTCTTTCCGTCTTCCGCAGACCCCTCACTCTTCGTTCGTGCTGGCCAGACTGCGTTCTACATCCTTGTTTACGTCGACAACCTGGTCTTTGCCACAGCAGACAGGGACGCACTGGCCTCCGTGAAGGCAGAGCTGCTGAAGAGACACACGTGCACTGACCTTGGAGAACTGCGCCGTTACCTTGGCTTGCAGATCTCCAGGGACAGAGCAGCGCGCACCATCACCTTGACTCAGTCACACTTGGTGCGCCAGGTCCTTCAGAGGTTCAGCCTTCAGTTCTCCTCTGCACAGCCCACCCCTCTGCCTGTAGACCGCAGACTCTCCGCTCCAGTGTCTGAGGAGTCGGTAGAGCCCAGCGGCCCCTACGCAGAGCTGGTGGGTTGCCTCATGTACCTGATGACTTGCACTCGCCCAGATCTCGCGTACCCTCTCATCATCCTGGCTCGCTTTGTGGCCACAGGCAGACACCGACCGCAGCACTGGTCTGCCGCTAAGAGGGTTTTGCGTTATCTTGCTAGTACATCGGGCATGGGGTTAGTGCTAGGAGGACGCAGGCCAGTGGTCCTTACTGGACACACCGACGCTTCATGGGCAGACGACGCCGAAACACTCAGGTCTACCCAAGGCTACTGCTTCAGCCTTGGCTCAGGTGCCGTCTCGTGGAGAGCTACCCGCTCCTCGTCTGTTGCCCAGTCCAGCTGTGAGGCCGAGATCTACGCTGGTGCCATGGCGGCACAGGAGCTCCGCTGGCTGACCTTCTTGCTCACTGACTTAGGTGAGCGGCCTAGCTCTGCCCCGGTCCTGTTCGCTGACAACAGGGCCATGATCCTCCTGTGTCAGGAGCCTCGACTCGAGGGCAGAGCGAAGCATATTCAGCTGCGATACTTCCTCCTGCGCGAGCAACAGCAGCGACACCAGGCTCGCGTAGTACACTTGGCCTCAGGTGCCAACACAGCTGATATCTTTACGAAGGCGCTTGCGCCTAAAGATCATCAGCGGCACTGCGTACAGCTTGGTCTAGTCCTTGTAGCCTCTCACTTGCTAGGACCTTGACTTTGTAGTGCCCTTTATATGTATACTCAGACTGGACTTGTGTCCTCTCCCAGTGGCTGGACTAGTAGTGCCGCCCTGATCTTGCTCTTGCCTTGTCTGTACTCCTTCTGACTGGTCTTTTAGACCCTTGTCTCAGAGGTTGGACTAGTAGTGCCGCCCTGAGCTGCTTGTTCAGGACATTCCCCTATGCAGTCTAGGGGGTGTGTCAAACATGTGTATTAGTTATGTTTGCATAGACTGTATAGGGTCACCTCTTAGAGGGTACAATACTTAGGTATATCTATCTGTACTCTCCCACTAGTCATCATTCACTTCTCTCATTTTGATAACCCACACAATGGGGCGTCTAATAATCATGATGACGTGTTCACACGTACCGTACCACCGTGAATTGCCCCTCACGAAGCTTCTGCACAACTCCCATGCATCCCATCTCCTAAGGTCCTAAATTGCACATGGATCAAATCAACACATGCCAATTCGCCATGACATCCCCCACACAGATGACAGCTGCCCCATTATCACGCCATCCACTTGCAGCACCGATCACAGTGATGCAGCCCCTTCTTGAACCTCAACCCCGACCCCACCCAACCCCAACCCCAACCCCATGCCCTAACACCAGGCCCTCTTCACCACCATCAGAAAACCCCAGAATGCTAGCACTGGCATTGGCCCCTGCATGTCCTGGGCCTGATTTCAAGCCCAACCGTAACCTTCCCAGCATTCTACCTCTTGCTTGCCAATGAGATGCTCTAGGAACATCAACAGCGATGGAGGATCATCATGGAGTTGTCACTCTTGACCCTCACCTTCGCCTGCTGGCGCTGCATCATCAGGTGCTGCGTCCTCACCCACTGCCGGCTCTTCCCCCAGCACTCCTGCTGCAGCATCAGCCACATCCGCTGCACCACCTTCTGGGGCCTCCGCAGCCTCTGCAGCAGCAGCAGCAGCAGCAGCAGCGTCTTCTGCCGGCCCCTCAGGCTCAGGGTCAGCAGCCTCATCAGCATCGGCAGGAGCAGGGGTGGCATCAGCGGCAGCACCGTCAGTAACAGCCCCAGCAGCAGAAGCTGCAGCAGCTGCCGCCGCCTCAACGGCAGCAGCGACAAAGTCATCAGCATATGGTTCGTTCTCCCTCTGCCCCTCTTCTCCAATCACAGCACCGCCAGTCTCATGTTCCGTCTCAATGCCCGTCTCACCATTCCCTCCCCTGTTATCGTCGCCCCCATCACCTCCCACCCCCCCATTCCCTCCGACCTCTGCTTCCCCCACCCCATCGTCACCAGCCCCACCCCCCCCTTCAACCGCCAGCTCCTCCTGCCCCTCGTGCTGCTGCGCCTGCCTCTTATGCGCCTGCTCGTCCTCCTCCCCCAGCTCCACCTCCTCCACCTTCCTTTTCACCCCCACCATTCCCTCCCCCCCCTCTGTCCCATCCGCCCCTTCTCCCTCTGCTTCCCCCTCTCCGTTTCCGCCAGGACGGCTTCCCCCCGCTTCTTCCCCTCCTTGCTCCGCCACTGCCTCACCCGCGGACCTCCCCTGAAGCTCCTCTTGGGCGGCGCCAGCGCTTTCTCCCGCCCCCCCGGCTCCGCCTGCACCGCTCAGCGCGACCTTATCCCACACCATGGGTTGCTCCTGCGCCGCCGCCACCTCCGCGCTGCGCATCGCCTCGCGCAGCCACGCGTGGCGGTTCCGCGCCGCGTTCGGCTGCGTCCACGCCAGCTGCCGCCGCCCCTGCCGCCCTTGCCCGGCGGGCGCACCCGCAGCATACCCAACGGCGTCAGGACGCGTATCAAGCGCGCCGATGCCTGGCGCCGCGCTCGCAGCGCCTATCAGCGCGCCGTGAATCCCCACCGCACCTGCAGCGGCGCCGAAGGATGCGCTGGGATCGAGAGAGATTCCCGGATGAACCACGAGATCCGATCCGACGGCTGCCGCCGGCACCATGCCGCCCGCGCCAGCTCCGCTCGGGTCATACTCCGCAACCGCGTGATGCATCCCCGCGCCACTGCCGCGGCCAGACATTCCTGCGTACCAGTTCTTCCGCCCCCACTTGTGCCGTCCCCGCGAACCGAGCCCTGACGTGGGGCCCACAGGTGTCACCTCCCCGCCATGCACGGGGCCCAGAGCGCCCGCCGCGCGCTCGGCGGCGAAGACGGTGGTGTAGGCGACGGGGAGCGTGTCGTCCGCCACGCCGTCGCGCCCCATCGACGGACTCACGGACGACGGCGCGAAGCGCAACGGCCGCTGAGGCGGGTGCAGCGGGCCCACGACGCCCGCCTTGCGCCGGGTTTCTAGCTCCGCCTCCCACGCGCCGCGCAGAGCCGTCTCGCGCTCCATCCAGCCGGGCATGGCGCGGCGCGGAGCGAAGAGGCGGTCGATCTCGGAGTAGGCGGCCTCGAGGAAGAAGGAGACGACGTCCATCTTGGTGACCGTGATGCCGCCGCTCGCCAGCGACATGCACTCTTTCAGACCCTCGATCAGCGCGAACAGCGCCGGCGACAGCCGCACCACGGCCTGCTTGCCGTCCGCGCGCTTGTGATAGTCGCCCTTGCGCCGCATGTTAGCGGTTAGCATGGCGGCGTTGCTGCCCAACGCCGTGTTGGCGTCCATTCTGATGCCGGCGAATTGGGATGGATCCATTGAATGTGCGCTTCGTGAAAATGGTTGGGGAGGCGAGTGCCTGCTTGGTTGGGCTGAGATGTTTGGGGTGGGGACCAGTGGAGTAACTAAAGTTACGTGGTGAGAGGAGATTCGTAGCAGCAAGATTGGGGTGGCAGCGAGATACTGCGAGGGGGGAATGGACGAGGAGAGAAAACAGCAAAAGAGGTTACCAAGAAACCTGGCTAGGGAAAAGGAACATCGTCCCGAGTCATCTGTAGGAGAGCTATATCTGGAGTTACCGAGGCTCCTGCTTGGAGAGTTACCGGCTAACCCTAGGGTTTGGTTGCGGAGCTTCGCCTCGCGTTACCCAACTAACCGGGTTCGGGAATCGGGAAAGCTCCCCCCCGCTCACTCCCCCAACTCCCGCAACGCAAGGGTCCAACATCCCCGCAGTTGCGAGAGGAAGAAGCGAGTGGCGGAAGGCTGGGGGATTTCTTCGGGGCAGGTTGGTTCAGCTTGTGTGGTTGTCGGGTGGTGGCGGAAGTGCTGACACTTCAGGAGGGGCTCGCCAGTGACTGGTCAGAGGGGAGGAGGGTCGCCTGGGCGAGGGCATACGAACATCATTGCGACTGAATGTCATACAGCAGCCAATAGGAAACGGTGTAAGGGTGGAGTAGGCGACGATTACGACTTCCTGGAGTCAAGAGTCAGGCGCTTCGCGACAATCGCGCTTCTCGTCTTTGTTCACATTTTCTCCACGAATCTAGCTGGATCCGTGGATTATCGTTTTGCACCAATCAGAGAGATCAAGCATTTGTGGAGAACTCCTGCACTTGGTTGGGAGTCGCATTCTTGTTATGTTACTATAAGACGTGAATTAACTAAAGAGGGTGAGGAAGCAAGGAGAAGGAATTAAGACTCGTAACGCGCGCACAGGCATGATGGGGTTGCTGTGCAATTCTGCCAAGCAAGTTTGAATGGGGGGCTTACAAGAGATCCCATCCACTAGTATGCAGGTATGAGAAATTTGGCGCCGTATATTATCAGGCACCATCATATCACAATATTCTAATTGTCCAACCGTTGCCGCTTCCAGTCCCTCTCCTGTCCTCTCTCGACCCGTCCTTCGAAGCCTGGAGGCAAAGCATCCCCTTCATCCTGCCTCCCCACGCCATGTGAATCTGTCTGGTGCCTGCCTCCGTACCCACCATGACCACTGTAGCAGGAGCGCCCACCCCGGTGACCATGCCCATGGCCATACCCGTGTCCGCGTCTGCCTCTCCCCATGCCATCATGCCTGGGTCGCCTTCGCGCCCCCTCATCCGCCAGCTCATACGCCTCATCACCTGCCAGGCCGTCCCTGTGCCCATGCACCCCACCACCCGATGTGTAGCTGTCAGTGCCATTAGCAGCAGCACCACTGCTGGTTCGAAAGTCCCCACTGCGCTGCTCTCCCCTCCTGTCACTGGAATGGAAGTGATTGCGAGGTGGAGGGAAGCGGAGAGGGGAGCGGTGAGGGGAGTGGCGGCGGGGAGGGCGGCGTCTGGGAGGGGAGGTCCGGTGGGAGCCAGTGGCGGCGAGGGAGGGGAGCAGGGTGGGGGCGAAGGCGTCGGAGGAGAGGAAGCATCCGCGCTGCTTCGCATCGTCTATCAGTGCCGCCCACGCAGGGGAGCGCTGCAGCGACTCCGCATTGCCAAGGATCTGGAGGGGGGAAAGGGGAAGAGTGCACAGGCAGGAAAAGGTAAGGGCGGTCAAAGAGATGGGTGACGGTATGTGACTCCTGGCACTTCTTTGTAACACAAGGAGGTACCGCAAGAAAGGGGGGGTTTGGCTCAAGGTGTTAGTTTCACTGGCAAGCGGTGGTCGCACCCAGAGCGCACGCTTGGCGCGGGTGATGGCGACATTCATCCTCCTCACGTCCGCCACGAAGCCCAGCCCGCGCGTGGAGGCGCGCACGCACGACAGGATGATGGCGTCGCGCTCCTGCCCCTGGAACGCGTCCACCGTGTTCACGTACAGCGCCGCACCGCCCGCCGCTGCAGCCGCCACCGATGGAGGCGGGGGAGGGGCGGCAGCAGGAGTTTGGTTTGTGGGCAGTGCAGCGCTGAGGAGGGAGGTTGGAGATGGTTGCTGGTTGGGATCCCACTGCTGCTGCTGCTGCACCTGTCCTGGTTCTTGTGCCTGAGCCTGCTCCACAGCAGCAGGGGGGGGTCCAGCGAGGGGCGGGGAGGGCTGGGGGGCGGAGCGGGCGAGTTGGTCGAAGCAGCGGCGCAGCAGCTTGAGCTGCTGGCGGTACGGCGTCACCACGCCCACTGGCACCGGCCCCGTGGCGCCCGCTGCTGCACTCACCTCCTGTAGGCGCTGCAGGGGCCCAACGGGGTGAGGATTGGTTTGGTGCACAGGGAGGGTGGGAGGAAACGGGTGAAGGGATAGATGAAGGATGGCAATGGAGATGCCGAGGCACAGCGAGCGAGAGGGAGTAGGTGCACCGCATCTCACAAGTGAGGTGCAGGTGGATGAGACGAGTGCAGCGAGAGGAGGGCGGTGGCGGGTGGATGTGAATGCAACGCGCACTCAAATGCGACATCACATGTGGACATACCCAACCATTGTGCTGTGTCTTATGCACCCACCCACACACTCCCCTCGCACCACATGTCCTTCGCAATCGGGAACATTGCCAGAGCAACACGCCAACTTACCAAACCAAGCAGGCCCACTGAAGCCCCACCCCCCCACCCCACCCCCCCCCCCCCCCCACCTTGAAGAGCGCGACAGCAAGCTGCGCCTCGGTGGTGTTTTGGTACGACAGTGAGCGCTCGCCATGGGACTCACGGCCGGCACTGACGTCGAAGAAGAGCAGCGGGCGCAGCAGCACGTCCGCGTGGTACGGCTCGTCGGGGCGGCCCATCACCGAGGGCGCGTCGGACAGGCGGTCGCCATAGAAGTAGCGCGAGGGGAAGGCGCGGATGGCGGGGTGCATGCGGTACTGCTCGGTCAGCAGCATGGTGGGGCAGCCTGCGCGCTGAAAGCGCTCGAGGAGTGAGCGACTGGTGGGGCGGGGGATGGGGTGGGGGGGCGGAGAGAGTCCATGTGGGGGCGACAGAAGAAAGTTGGGCAGGCAGTAGGGACATGACAAGATCACATGATGCATGGCTGTCAGATGACATGATGCATGGCTGTCAGATGGCATGATGCATGGCTGTCAGATGACATGATGCATGGCTGTCAGATGACATGATGCATGGCTGTCAGATGACATGATGCATGGCTGTCAGATGACATGATGCATGGCTGTCAGATGACATGATGCATGGCTGTCAGATGACATGATGCATGGCTGTCAGATGACATGATGCATGGCTATCAGATGACGGTGGTGAGGTGACACATGGAAAGAACTGGGGAAAGAAAGTTGTTGGGTTGGGACGGAAAAACGGAGCGTGGGGAGGGGAGGAATGGTGCATAGCAGCGAGAGACAAAGAACAAGTCAAGATGACAGGCACATTCCTGCCTGCTGCCATGCATGCAGTGCACGGCCCCAAGCAGTGAATAATTCGAGTAATCCGTCGCCACGTAGATCTCAGTTGCACCAACCCCCCCCCCCTAGTCCACGCGGCCTGCCGCCCACGTGAGCTGCAGCCTAGGGAAAGCTGGCCGCGCCCACCTGTAGTCCATGGACGAGGCGAGGCGGCTGATGACGGTGGCGGGCAGCTGCTGCGGGTCGCCCACCAGCACACAGCGCTGGCAGCGCAGCGTGAGGGGTGGCAGCGCCGCCATCTCGCTGGCCTGTGCCGCCTCGTCAAACACACACATGTCGAACCCGTGGGACAGACGGGCGAATATCCTGGGGAGAGGGGGAAAGGTGGGGAGAAGGGTGGGGGAAGAGAGAATATTTGGGGAGAGGTGTCGACACATAAAAGATTGGACACAGGGTGTCGAGTCGAGCTAAAAACTGGGACTTAGCACCTCCACCGGCCACCCGCCTCACCGCCGGCCGCTGCTGCTGGCCGTGGTGAAGACCACCTCCGCCTCCTCTGCAAAGCTGGCCTCCAGCTGCGCCCGCGCTGCCTCAAACGGCACCTCGCCCCGCCGCGCCCCCAGTGCTATCAGCAGCCGCCCCACCTCCACGCCCACCTGCTCCCTCTCCTCCACCGCCGCCTGGGGGAATGCGAGTTAAGGGGGGGTGAGGGAGAGCAGTGGTGGTGGTGCAGCGTATGTGGGGTATGGAGAGGATGGCGAGGACACATGTGAGGGAGGTACGCAGGTGGTGCAATGCAACTGCTCGTGGTTGATGGCAACCACTGCTGCAGACGCAGAGACATGAGCTAACGTAGGTCAGCACGCTACTGGGGTGAGTCACACATGCACGCGGTTTCACATGCATTTAGCCGAAATCGCCAAGGGCAAGTTCAGAAAAGAAACAAAGGGAAGCACGTTGCCCTTCACTGACCGCCAGCCGCTGCACAAGGGCGTCCCTCTCCCGCTCCCGCTGCACCAGCACCTCTGGATCCAACCCCACCACACTCCCCCCCTCCCCTCCCCCCCTCCCCCCGCCTCCACCAGCTCGCGTATCTGCCGCTGCAGCACGCTGATGTGGCACGCCAGCTGGCCCTCCTTGTGGCGCAGCGCTGCCACATGGTGTGCCGCCTCCTCCGGCGGCATCTGCAGCAGCTGCTGCGACCGCCGCTCCACCGACACCGCCTGGGAGGACGAGGAAAGAAGAAAGAAGGGGCAGGTCGGAAGGGAGGGTCGGAAGGGAGGGTCGGAAGGGAGGGTCGGAAGGGAGGGTCGGAAGGGAGGGTCGGAAGGGAGGGTCGGAAGGGAGGGTCGGAAGGGAGGGTCGGAAGGGAGGGTCGGAAGGGAGGGTCGGAAGGGAGGGTCGGAAGGGAGGGTCGGAAGGGAGGGTCGGAAGGGAGGGTGGAAGGGAGGGTCGGAAGGGAGGGTCGGAAGGGAGGGTCGGAAGGGAGGGTCGGAAGGGAGGGTCGGGGGGGGGGAAGGGAGGGTCGGAAGGGAGGGTCGGAAGGGAGGGTCGGAAGGGAGGGTCGGAAGGGAGGGTCGGAAGGGAGGGTCGGAAGGGAGGGTCGGAAGGGAGGGTCGGAAGGGAGGGTCGGAAGGGAGGGTCGGAAGGGAGGGTCGGAAGGGAGGGTCGGAAGGGAGGGTCGGAAGGGAGGGTCGGAAGGGAGGGTCGGAAGGGAGGGTCGGAAGGGAGGGTCGGAAGGGAGGGTCGGAAGGGAGGGTCGGAAGGGAGGGGGGGGGGGGGGGTCGGAAGGGAGGGTCGGAAGGGAGGGTCGGAAGGGAGGGTCGGAAGGGAGGGTCGGAAGGGAGGGTCGGAAGGGAGGGTCGGAAGGGAGGGTCGGAAGGGAGGGTCGGAAGGGAGGGTCGGAAGGGAGGGTGGAAGGAGGTCGGAAGGGAGGGTCGGAAGGGAGGGTCGGAAGGGAGGGTAGGAAGGAGGGTCGGAAGGGAGGGTCGGAAGGGAGGGTCGGAAGGGAGGGTCGGAAGGGAGGGTAGGAAGGGAGGGTAGGAAGGGAGGGTCGGAAGGGAGGGTCGGAAGGGAGGGTAGGAAGGGAGGGTAGGAAGGGAGGGTCGGAAGGGAGGGTAGGAAGGGAGGGTAGGAAGGGAGGGTCGGAAGGGAGGGTCGGAAGGGAGGGTAGGAAGGGAGGGTCGGAAGGGAGGGTCGGAAGGGAGGGTTCGGAAGGGAGGGTCGGAAGGGAGGGTCGGAAGGGAGGGTCGGAAGGGAGGGTCGGAAGGGAGGGTAGGAAGGGAAGGGGAAGGGAGGGTCGGAAGGGAGGGTCGGAAGGGAGGGTGGAAGGGAGGGTCGGAAGGAGGGTAGGAAGGGAGGGTGGAAGGGAGGGTCGGAAGGGAGGGTAGGAAGGGAGGGTCGGAAGGGGGGTCGGAAGGGAGGGTCGGAAGGGAGGGTCGGAAGGGAGGGTAGGAAAGGGAGGGTAGGAAGGGAGGGGAAGGGAGGGTAGGAAGGGAGGGTAGGAAGGGGAGGGGGAGGGTGGAAGGGAGGGTAGGAAGGGAGGGTCGGAAGGGAGGGTCGGAAGGGAGGGTCGGAAGGGAGGGTCGGAAGGGAGGGTCGGAAGGGAGGGTAGGAAGGGAGGGTCGGAAGGGAGGGTCGGAAGGGAGGGTCGGAAGGGAGGGTCGGAAGGGAGGGTCGGAAGGGAGGGTCGGAAGGGGAAGGGGGTCGGAAGGGAGGGTCGGAAGGGAGGGTCGGAAGGAGGGTCGGAAGGGAGGGTCGGAAGGGAGGGTCGGAAGGGAGGGTCGGAAGGGAGGGTCGGAAGGGAGGGTCGGAAGGGAGGGTCGGAAGGGAGGGTCGGAAGGGAGGGTCGGAAGGAGGGTAGGAAGGGAGGGTCGGAAGGGAGGGTCGGAAGGGAGGGTAGGAAGGGAGGGTCGGAAGGGAGGGTCGGAAGGGAGGGTCGGAAGGGAGGGTCGGAAGGGAGGGTAGGAAGGGAGGGTAGGAAGGGAGGGTCGGAAGGGAGGGTCGGAAGGGAGGGTCGGAAGGGAGGGTAGGAAGGGAGGGTAGGAAGGGAGGGTCGGAAGGGAGGGTAGGAAGGGAGGGTAGGAAGGGAGGGTAGGAAGGGAGGGTCGGAAGGGAGGGTAGGAAGGGAGGGTCGGAAGGGAGGGTCGGAAGGGAGGGTAGGAAGGGAGGGTCGGAAGGGAGGGTCGGAAGGGAGGGTCGGAAGGGAGGGTCGGAAGGGAGGGTCGGAAGGGAGGGTCGGAAGGGAGGGTAGGAAGGGAGGGTAGGAAGGGAGGGTCGGAAGGGAGGGTCGGAAGGGAGGGTAGGAAGGGAGGGTCGGAAGGGAGGGTCGGAAGGGAGGGTAGGAAGGGAGGGTCGGAAGGGAGGGTAGGAAGGGAGGGTCGGAAGGGAGGGTCGGAAGGGAGGGTCGGAAGGGAGGGTCGGAAGGGAGGGTAGGAAGGGAGGGTCGGAAGGGAGGGTAGGAAGGGAGGGTCGGAAGGGAGGGTAGGAAGGGAGGGTAGGAAGGGAGGGTAGGAAGGGAGGGTAGGAAGGGAGGGTAGGAAGGGAGGGTCGGAAGGGAGGGTCGGAAGGGAGGGTAGGAAGGGAGGGTAGGAAGGGAGGGTCGGAAGGGAGGGTAGGAAGGGAGGGTAGGAAGGGAGGGTAGGAAGGGAGGGTCGGAAGGGAGGGTAGGAAGGGAGGGTCGGAAGGGAGGGTCGGAAGGGAGGGTCGGAAGGGAGGGTCGGAAGGGAGGGTAGGAAGGGAGGGTAGGAAGGGAGGGTCGGAAGGGAGGGTCGGAAGGGAGGGTAGGAAGGGAGGGTAGGTAGAAAGGGAGGGTAGGGAGGGAGGGAGGGTAGGAAGCGTTGAAGCGAGGGAGTGAGTGGGAGAGGAAACGTTGCAGCCTACGGTGCCACGAAGTGCAGGCTGGCTGGGTTCACCAAGTCCTCTGCTGCCACACCTGAACCTGCCACCATTCCTTCCCCGTCTCCTCCCCCTCTCTCCCTCCCCTCCCCTCTCCTCCCCCTCTCTCCCCTCTCCTCCCCCTCTCTCCCCTCTCCTCCCCCTCACCTTTGCAGCCTCTGGTGCAACGCAGCGCAGCCGTGCCCAATTCACCAAGTCACTGCAGGCTGAACTCGAGATGCTCAAAGTGCCCAACGGCGCCGTGCACGATCTCAGCGCCCAGCGGCGAGCTTTGGTTTCCTTTCACTCCACTCGACTCTCGTAGAGTTCCGTGCTCAACCTTCTAAGCTCCTCCGTTCCGTCTCCTCACACCAATGCAAGCTCTCCTCTGAGAATCTCTCCCTTTTCTGCCTCCCTCTCTGCTTCAGTCCCACCCTCCCTTACCCCCCTCCTTTCCATGTCAGCCCATCGTCAGCCCGGCATGGTGACCACGTTTCTTCTTATGGCGGGAGCCAACACTCCCCAGGTGGGTACGTCAGCTCATCCACGCTCTCACGAACCCGCCCCCATCCACATGCTGCTCCCCACCTCATCTCTTACTGCCCCACCACCAGCGACGCATCAAGACACGCAGCCTCTCACTCACTCACGCCTCAGCATCCTCATCTAACCACCCCACCATGCTGCTCCCCTGCTTGCTCCCCTGTCGTGCCTTTCCTCTCCCCCACCCATCTGAACCCCTCCATCCCCTCCTCTATCCCCCCCCTTCCCACCTGGGCAGCGGGAGTGGCGGCCTCAGCCCCTACGCGCGCCACGTCGGGGCGGTAGGTGCGCATCTCGCCGTCCAGGAAGCCCTTGCTCAGCACGCGCGCCAGCAGCTCGTCCACCGCCGCGTTGCTGGGCGCCACCACCAGCATGCGCGGCTTGCGAGCCATGCGCGCCTGGGGGCGCGGCACCAGCCGATCCATGCTCTCCAGCACGTCCTCTATGCTGCCCCCGCCCGGACCTGTCACCTCGGCCGAGCCTGCTCCTGCCGCGGCGGGGGTGTGATCATGGAGTGCCAGGCTGGCAGAGGCGGCGGGGGCGAGGCGGGCGAGGAGCGCCTTGTAGTAGCGCTGGAAGTGCACGAGGTGGATGGCGTTGAGCATGCCCCACACCGTGTGCGTCTTGCCCGTCCCCGGCGGCCCCTGCACCAGCGTGAACGGCCACCCGCCCTTGCCGCCGCCACTCCCCCCGCCACCACCTGCCGCACCAGCGCCCCCACCCGCACCAGCGGGGGTGGCAGCGGCGGTGTGCGCGGCGGCCCAGTGGATGGCTCGGAGCTGCGGCTCGTTGAAGGACGCCTGCAGGTGCGCGCAGAACGCCGGCGGGAAGACCGCGGAGAGGTCGGGCGGATGCGCGTTGACATAGTCGGGGAAGAGGTGCGGGCCGGGGCGCAGCACCGCCTCCAGCATCTGGGGGGGCGGGGAGAGGGGCACCGCGGACAATGCAGCCGACAAGATCTCCTGGTGAGCGCAGGCGGGAAGAAGCAACAGTGCTGAAAACGAGGCAAAGAACGGTCATGCAAGGGGCTGGCGACACACGCCTGTGGCTGCATGCGCCTCTCATGATCTCAACCCGCCTGTGGCTGCTGCTCTCTGAAAGATATGCGTGGCGGCCCGCACCTGCGGCTGCAGGTGCGCCACGGAGTGCAGCGAGGAGAACTCCCTCTGGGATGTTGTCAGGGATGTCACCGGCGTGAAGGTGCACGGAAGCTTCCTGGTCTTGAGCTCCTTCACGAGAGACACAGGCACACTGATGGGGGAATGGCGCACGAGGGAGGCGTGGCGCTGAGAAGTGTGCGGCTGGATGACATGAAACGGCCGGAATATAGGAGAAATGCCACCCACTTGCACATGAGTGTGCACGACGGCATGGTTGAAAATGACTTGTGACGTGATGTGCTGTGATTTGATCTGATCTGATCTGGTGCGTTGTTGAAGAAATGCCGGTGCGTATTAATGTATGCATGAAATAGGATGGAGGAATGCGAAACACACAGCGCCCACACCACATGCGACGCACGCATGCAACATGCGAAGGAGGTAGGGCGACATACGATGGGGGAGGGGGAAGGTATTTTTGAGGCGCCTCAAAAATAGACTCCTCTCATACGATGGGGGAGGGGAAGGTACCTGGGCGGCAGCGCGGCGTCATGGAAGGTGAAGATGATGGTGGGGCGGGCGGCGCCCCTGTCTGCGTGCATGGGCTCGTAGCACCGCCGCCCGATGCCCGCTATGCGCAGCACTGAAGGCGCTGACGGGGGCTGCAGCGAGGGTGCCGCTGGTGGGTGTGGAGGAGAGGAGGGCAGCGGGGCAGTGGAAGAACACGGCGTGCATGAGGCGGGGCAAGAGGCAGGACGGCACGCTGCCAGGCACACGCACACACACAAGCAAGTACCACTCTAGTGCGCCCCACCACCCTCACCATCACCATCACCACCGCCACCCTCACCCTCGCCCTCCTCCCTCGCTGTGAGGTGCGTGGTTGAGAGCACGGCAATGTCGCCGTCCTTCCACTCGCCCTCCCTCCCCCCCTGCTGCCGCCCCCCTTGCTGCTGCTGCTGCTCTGCCATGGGCTGCAGAAGCATCTCGTGCCACCCTGGGGGAGAGCAGGAGCGGACAGTGGCGCCAGGTGGCAAGGCGGCGTGGCGAAAGGAGAGGAGATGAGTCAAGGGGTGGACGCCAGTGGCGGATAGGGCAATGGAAGAAGCTTACGAGCGCAGGGAGGGTAAGGAAGGAGGAGTGGTGTGGGCAAGCAACGGAGAGGAGAGGCGAGTGAGGAGAGGGGCCACACGGCCACGGGCGCACCTCGGTTTGTCTCTTCCAGGGACGCCACTCCCACCGTCGCACTGCCCCCCCCTGCTCTCCCCCCTGCGCCCCCCTCGCCGCCCTCCATCTCCTCCCAGCTGCTCGCCACCTGCGCCCGAGCCTCCTCAAACAACAGCGGCTCAAACGCCCGAACGTACTCCTCCACCGACCCGAACCTCTCCGGCAGCTTCGGCGGAGGCGTGGCCGGCCGTGCTCCATCCACTCCAGCCGCCCCTGCTGCTGCTGACGTGGCGTCAGCTGTCCCCCCCGCACCCCAGAGCCTGTAGCAGGTGGCTTCGCGCTGCAGCCGCTCCACCGACGCGTCGCCCGCCGACCCTCGTAAAACCGCGCTGCCCCCTCCGCCTCCCATGCCCGATCCCCCCCTCGAGCCCGCTATCCCCGCTCTCCGCGCGTCCTCTCTCCCCCGGCCCCTCCCGCCTGCCCCTCTTCCGGTCCCCCTTCCCCCCTCGCTTGCCCGCCCGCTCCTCGCGCGCAGCTCCGCGTCCAGCGCCGCTTGGCGCGGCCATTCCCCGCTCTCCAGGGCCCCCGCTTCCCCTGCGCGCCCTCCCGCGTCCGCGGCGTCTTCCGCGGCGGGCTGTGAGTTCGAATTCGCATTGCGCTCGCCGCCACCCGCACGACCGCGCGAACGGCCCGCGGAAGGCCCCGCGCGGCCGATCCCCCCGCTGCCCGCCTCCCCCGTGCGGCCGGCCTGGCGGAGCGACTCGCCCACCTCCAGCAGCACCGTCTTCCGCCCGGGCTCCGCGCGATAGCGCTTGGCGCCCGACATGCGCGGGGGAGGGGAGGAGAAGGGGCGCGGAGATGAAGAGGCGGGGGGGGAATGGATGGGTGGCTGGTCGGGCGGAGTTCTCAAGGCGAGGCAGACAGACGCTCAAGGTGATGGTTACGTCATGCATACGTCATGACAGAAAGCGATGTGATGGGATGTGTGGTTGGGCGATGTGAGTGCACCATTGACTAGCCTGAATGAACCATCCGCGCCGACTCATGCAACCTCGTGATTTATCAAGGCCTTTGACACAAGCCAAAATTCGCACGCTCGGGGCAATTTGATGGGCTGTGTCAGGCATTCCCAGGGATCCATGACACGGGGCAGGTTAACCTCATGTCTAAAACGAGCAGCAGAATACGCCCTCAGTGGAATCTTCCTACACAGGCGAGGGGAGGTGATTTTCGAGAATTCTCGGGCGAGACACCTGCAACACGCAGTCGAGTGGAGGTCGTGGCAGAGCTGTTTTGTAGGCGGACCCATTCCCGCTGCCAGCTTCGCCGTCACAGCACGCACGAGCATCCTCGCCATCGCCATCTCTGGCTACTTGCTGTCGCTAGCGTGAGAATGTAAACACGTGTCCACCTCGCCTTACTCGTGCCGTGGAATGCCGCGATCCGCCGCAAAACAGGACGATCCGATTCGCGCAGGCGTTCCGGCTTCTCCTCATTCCATCCGACCTCGAGTCCGTGCGCTCGCTGCGCGCCGAGGACTCCCCCAGTCGTTGCGAGAGATTTTTAGAATTCTCGAAAAACTCCCCCAGTCCCCACTCGCGCCTCGCAGCACTCCGCCCTAGTCTGCCTTCGCTCACCGCGCGGCGGCGCGGCATGACAGATTCGCATCTCTAAGCCACGCCGACCACGCGCACACCCTCGTGCCGCGCGTTTGAGCTGGTGCGACCGTGGTAGGCGGGTGGGCAGGCGAGCGGGCGGGCCGCCATGGTGCTGCTGACGATCATCCGCAAGCTCAAGCGCAAGGAGCGCGAGATGCGCGTGCTCATGGTGTGCGTGCCGCGCCGCTATGCCGCTATGCCGCTGCTATGCCGCTATGCCGCTGCTATGCCGCTATGCCGCCGCTATGCCGCTATGCTATGCCGCTGTGCCGCTATGCCGCTATGCCCCTGTGCCGCTATGCCGCTGTGCCGCTATGACGCTGTGCCGCTGTGCCGCTGTGCCGCTATGCCGCTGTGCCGCTATGCCACTGTGCCGCTATGACACCATCCCGAGCGGAAATATGCGCCCTTCATGGCCCGGCAGCTGCGACACCTCTCACATCCGCGACCCCTTTGCTGGGCCGACTTGGCCGTCCGCCGCCCTCCCCCTCGCTTCTTCCCAACCTCCCCTCGCTACGCCCCTCGCTCCCCTCGCTCCCCTCGCGCCCCTCGCGCCCCTCGCTGTGTGCTGCTGCCAGGGGGCTGGACAACGCGGGCAAGACGACCATCGTGATGCGATTCAACGGCCAGGATACGTCGCAGGTGGGGCCGACGCTCGGATTCAGCATCACCACCCTGCGCTATAAAGGGTGAGAGGTGAGGACCAGCGGGTGAGGACCAGCGGGTGAGGACCAGCGGGTGAGGACCAGCGGGTGAGGACCAGCGGGTGAGGACCAGCGGGTGAGGACCAGCGGGTGAGGACCAGCGGGTGAGGACCAGCGGGTGAGGACCAGCGGGTGAGGACCCGGGGGTGAGGACAGGAGACGTTTCGGCAAAAAGGAAGCACAGAGCTGGGGGAGGCACAGAGCTGGGGGAGGCACAGAGCTGGGGGAGGCACAGAGCTGGGGGAGGCACAGAGCTGGGGGAGGCACAGAGCTGGGGGAGGCACAGAGCTGGGGGAGGCACAGAGCTGGGGGAGGCACAGAGCTGGGGGAGGCACAGAGCTGGGGGAGGCACAGAGCTGGGGGAGGCACAGAGCTGGGGGAGGCACAGAGCTGGGGGAGGCACAGAGCTGGGGGAAGCACAGAGCTGGGGGAGGCACAGAGCTGGGGGAGGCACAGAGCTGGGGGAGGCACAGAGCTGGGGGAAGGCACAGAGCTGGGGGGGAAGGCACAGAGCTGGGGGAGGCACAGAGCTGGGGGAGGCACAGAGCTGGGGGAGGCACAGAGCTGGGGGAGGCACAGAGCTGGGGGAGGCACAGAGCTGGGGGGAAGGCACAGAGCTGGGGGAGGCACAGAGCTGGGGGAGGCACAGAGCTGGGGGAGGCACAGAGCTGGGGGAGGCACAGAGCTGGGGGAGGCACAGAGCTGGGGGGAGGCACAGAGCTGGGGGAGGCACAGAGCTGGGGGAAGGCACAGAGCTGGGGGAGGCACAGAGCTGGGGGAGGCACAGAGCTGGGGGGACAGGCGGGGAGGCACAGAGCTGGGGGAGGCACAGAGCTGGGGGAAGCACAGAGCTGGGGGAGGCACAGAGCTGGGGAGGCACAGAGCTGGGGGAGGCACAGAGCTGGGGGAGGCACAGAGCTGGGGGAGGCACAGAGCTGGGGGAGGCACAGAGCTGGGGGAGGCACAGAGCTGGGGGAGGCACAGAGCTGGGGGAGCACAGAGCTGGGGGAGGCACAGAGCTGGGGGAGGCACAGAGCTGGGGGAGGCACAGAGCTGGGGGAGGCACAGAGCTGGGGGAGGCACAGAGCTGGGGAGGCACAGAGCTGGGGGAGGCACAGAGCTGGGGGAGGCACAGAGCTGGGGGAGGCACAGAGCTGGGGGAGGCACAGAGCTGGGGGGAAGAGCCACAGAGCTGGGGGAGGCACAGAGCTGGGGGAGGCACAGAGCTGGGGGAGGCACAGAGCTGGGGGAGGCACAGAGCTGGGGGAGGCACAGAGCTGGGGGAGGCACAGAGCTGGGGGAGGCACAGAGCTGGGGGAGGCACAGAGCTGGGGGAGGCACAGAGCTGGGGGAGGCACAGAGCTGGGGGAGGCACAGAGCTGGGGGAGGCACAGAGCTGGGGGAGGCACAGAGCTGGGGGAGGCACAGAGCTGGGGGGAGGGGGGGGCACAGAGCTGGGGGAGCACAGAGCTGGGGGAGGCACAGAGCTGGGGGAGGCACAGAGCTGGGGGAGGCACAGAGCTGGGGGAGGCACAGAGCTGGGGGAGGCACAGAGCTGGGGGAGGCACAGAGCTGGGGGAGGCACAGAGCTGGGGGAGGCACAGAGCTGGGGGAAGCACAGAGCTGGGGGAGGCACAGAGCTGGGGGAGGCACAGAGCTGGGGGAGGCACAGAGCTGGGGGAGGCACAGAGCTGGGGGAGGCACAGAGCTGGGGGAGGCACAGAGCTGGGGGAAGCACAGAGCTGGGGGAGGCACAGAGCTGGGGGAGCACAGAGCTGGGGGAGGCACAGAGCTGGGGGAGGCACAGAGCTGGGGGAGGCACAGAGCTGGGGGAGGCACAGAGCTGGGGGAGGCACAGAGCTGGGGGAGGCACAGAGCTGGGGGAGCACAGAGCTGGGGGAGGCACAGAGCTGGGGGAGGCACAGAGCTGGGGGAGGCAACAGAGCTGGGGGAGGCACAGAGCTGGGGGAGGCACAGAGCTGGGGGAGGCACAGAGCTGGGGGAGGCACAGAGCTGGGGAGGCACAGAGCTGGGGGAAGCACAGAGCTGGGGGAGGCACAGAGCTGGGGGAGGCACAGAGCTGGGGGAGGCACAGAGCTGGGGGAGGCACAGAGCTGGGGGAGGCACAGAGCTGGGGGAGGCAGGGGGGGGCAGAGCTGGGGGAGGCACAGAGCTGGGGGAGGCACAGAGCTGGGGGAGGCACAGAGCTGGGGGAGGCACAGAGCTGGGGGAGGCACAGAGCTGGGGGAGGCACAGAGCTGGGGGAGGCACAGAGCTGGGGGAGGCACAGAGCTGGGGGAGGCACAGAGCTGGGGGAGGCACAGAGCTGGGGGAGGCACAGAGCTGGGGGAGGCACAGAGCTGGGGGAGGCACAGAGCTGGGGGAGGCACAGAGCTGGGGGAGGCACAGAGCTGGGGGAGGCACAGAGCTGGGGGAGGCACAGAGCTGGGGGGCACAGAGCTGGGGGAGGCACAGAGCTGGGGGAGGCACAGAGCTGGGGGAGGCACAGAGCTGGGGGAGCACAGAGCTGGGGGAGGCACAGAGCTGGGGGAGGCACAGAGTGGGGGAGGCAGAGCTGGGGGAGGCACAGAGCTGGGGGAGGCACAGAGCTGGGGGAGGCACAGAGCTGGGGGAAGCACAGAGCTGGGGGAGGCACAGAGCTGGGGGGAGGCACAGAGCTGGGGGAGGCACAGAGCTGGGGGAGACAGGCGAGCCAGAGCTGGGGGAGGCACAGAGCTGGGGGAGGCACAGAGCTGGGGGAGGCACAGAGCTGGGGGAGGCACAGAGCTGGGGGAGGCACAGAGCTGGGGGAGGCACAGAGCTGGGGGAGGCACAGAGCTGGGGGAGGCACAGAGCTGGGGGAGGCACAGAGCTGGGGGAAGGCACAGAGCTGGGGGAGGCACAGAGCTGGGGGAGGCACAGAGCTGGGGGAGGCACAGAGCTGGGGGAGGCACAGAGCTGGGGGAGGCACAGAGCTGGGGGAGGCACAGAGCTGGGGGAGGCACAGAGCTGGGGGAGGCAGGCACAGAGCTGAGAGCTGGGGGAGGCACAGAGCTGGGGGAGGCACAGAGCTGGGGGAGGCACAGAGCTGGGGGAGGCACAGAGCTGGGGGAGGCACAGAGCTGGGGGAGGCACAGAGCTGGGGGAAGCACAGAGCTGGGGGAAGCACAGAGCTGGGGGAGGCACAGAGCTGGGGGAGGCACAGAGCTGGGGGAGGCACAGAGCTGGGGGAGGCACAGAGCTGGGGGAGGCACAGAGCTGGGGGAGGCACAGAGCTGGGGGAGGCACAGAGCTGGGGGAGGCACAGAGCTGGGGGAGGCACAGAGCTGGGGGAGGCACAGAGCTGGGGGAGGCACAGAGCTGGGGGAGCACAGAGCTGGGGGAGGCACAGAGCTGGGGGAGGCACAGAGCTGGGGGAAGCACAGAGCTGGGGGAGGCACAGAGCTGGGGGAGGCACAGAGCTGGGGAGGCACAGAGCTGGGGGAGGCACAGAGCTGGGGGAGGCACAGAGCTGGGGGAGGCACAGAGCTGGGGGAGGCACAGAGCTGGGGGAGGCACAGAGCTGGGGGAGGCACAGAGCTGGGGGAGCACAGAGCTGGGGGAGGCACAGAGCTGGGGGAGGCACAGAGCTGGGGGAGGCACAGAGCTGGGGGAGGCACAGAGCTGGGGGAGGCACAGAGCTGGGGGAGCACAGAGCTGGGGGAGGCACAGAGCTGGGGGAGGCACAGAGCTGGGGGAGCACAGAGCTGGGGGAGGCACAGAGCTGGGGGAGGCACAGAGCTGGGGGAAGCACAGAGCTGGGGGAGGCACAGAGCTGGGGGAGGCACAGAGCTGGGGGAGGCACAGAGCTGGGGGAGGCACAGAGCTGGGGGAGGCACAGAGCTGGGGGAGGCACAGAGCTGGGGGAGGCACAGAGCTGGGGGAGGCACAGAGCTGGGGAGGCACAGAGCTGGGGGAGGCACAGAGCTGGGGGAGGCACAGAGCTGGGGGAGCACAGAGCTGGGGGAGGCACAGAGCTGGGGGAGGCACAGAGCTGGGGGAGGCACAGAGCTGGGGGAGGCACAGAGCTGGGGGAGCACAGAGCTGGGGGAAGGCACAGAGCTGGGGGAGGCACACAGAGCTGGGGGAGGCACAGAGCTGGGGGAGGCACAGAGCTGGGGGAGGCAACAGAGCTGGGGGAGGCACAGAGCTGGGGGAGGCACAGAGCTGGGGGGCACAGAGCTGGGGGAGGCACAGAGCTGGGGGGAGGCACAGAGCTGGGGGAGGCACAGAGCGGGGGAGGCACAGAGCTGGGGGAGGCACAGAGCTGGGGGAGGCACAGAGCTGGGGGAGGAGGCACAGAGCTGGGGGAGCACAGAGCTGGGGAGGCACAGAGCTGGGGAGGCACAGAGCTGGGGGAGGCACAGAGCTGGGGGAGGCACAGAGCTGGGGGACAGAAGGCACAGAGCTGGGGGAGGCACAGAGCTGGGGGAGGCACAGAGCTGGAAAAGAGCTGGGGGAGGCACAGAGCTGGGGGGCAAGAGGGGAGCACAGAGCTGGGGGAGGCACAGAGCTGGGGGGGAGGCACAGAGCTGGGGGAAGGCACAGAGCTGGGGGAGGCACAGAGCTGGGGGAGGCACAGAGCTGGGGGAGGCACAGAGCTGGGGGAGGCACAGAGCTGGGGGAGGCACAGAGCTGGGGGAGGCACAGAGCTGGGGGGGAGGGGGGGCACAGAGCTGGGGGAGGCACAGAGCTGGGGGAGGAAGAGGGGGGAGGACAGAGCTGGGGGAGGCACAGAGCGGGGGGAGGGGGAGGCACAGAGCTGGGGGAGGCAGAGCTGGGGGGGGGGGGGGGGGGGGGGGGGGGGGGGGGGGGGGGGGGCAGAGCTGGGGGGCACAGAGCTGGGGGGAGAGGGGGGGCACAGAGCGGGGGAGGCACAGAGCTGGGGGAGGCACAGAGCTGGGGGGGGAGGGGAGGCAGAGCTGGGGGAGGCACAGAGCTGGGGGAGGCAGCACAGAGCTGGGGGAGGCACAGAGCTGGGGGAGGCACAGAGCTGGGGGAAGGCAACAGAGCTGGGGGAAGGCACAGAGCTGGGGGGACAGGCACAGAGCTGGGGGAGGCACAGAGCTGGGGGAGAGCACAGAGCTGGGGGAAGGCACACAGAGCTGGGGGAGGCACAGAGCTGGGGGAGGCACAGAGCTGGGGGAGGCACAGAGCTGGGGGAGGCACAGAGCTGGGGGAGGCACAGAGGGGGGAGGCAGAGCTGGGGGGGAGGCACAGAGCTGGGGGAGGCACAGAGCTGGGGGGAAGGCACAGAGCTGGGGGAAGAGCGGAGGCACAGAGCTGGGAGCACAGAGTGGGGGAGGCACAGAGCTGGGGGAGGCACAGAGCTGGGGGAGGCACAGAGCTGGGGGAGGCACAGAGCTGGGGGAGGCACAGAGCTGGGGGAGGCACAGAGCTGGGGGAAGCACAGAGCTGGGGGAGGCACAGAGCTGGGGGAGGCACAGAGCTGGGGGAGGCACAGAGCTGGGGGAGGGACAGAGCTGGGGGAGGCACAGAGCTGGGGGAGGCACAGAGCTGGGGGAGGCACAGAGCTGGGGGAGGCACAGAGCTGGGGGAGGCACAGAGCTGGGGGAGGCATAGAGCTGGGGGAAGCATGTGAGGGAACGCGAGGAAAGAGGAGCAGGGGAACGGTGGAGAAGGAGTGCAGAAGGGCCGCCACACAAGATGGGTCAAACGCACCCCCTCTGCATTCCAACCTCTCTCCCCCGCTCCTCTCCTCCCCGCGCGCCTGTCTCTTTCTCCACGCCCCCCCGTCCAGGTTCAACCTGAACGTGTGGGACGTGGGCGGGCAGCGCACGCTGAGGGCGTACTGGCGCAACTACTTCGAGCGCACGGACGGGCTCGTGTGGGTGGTGGACAGCGCCGACCGCCTGCGCCTGGCGGACTGCCGGGATGAGCTGCACCGCGTGCTGCTGGAGGAGGTTGGGAAAGAGGGGGAGGGGCGAGGCTGGGGGGTCTGCAGCTTCGGGGGTTGCGGCTGGGGGGAGTGAGGTTGGGGGGGAGGTGACGCTGGAGGGGGTGAAGGTGATTATCTAGAATTCGAATAATTTCCTGGGGGAGGTGATGTTGGGGGAGGTGAGACTGGGGGAATGTGAACGTGGCGGTTGCAATGGCGTTGTGGGGCATGGTGTGCGATGGAGGAGTGCTGTTTGGGCAACATGCTGCGTGGTGGTGAGGGGGTGCAGCTGTGGCCTGCCCTGAGGTGTCACACTCGCAAGCAAGAGCCGCACAGTGCGGGTGGAATGGGCGAGAGCTGCCTGCACCGGGCAAAGAGGTGAGCGTGTGCATGCCCCTGTGGACCTGACAGGGCACCGCACCTTGCATAGGGGCAGCTTGGCAATGCCCATCCGCCCCTAGCAAGCCAGTGGTGAATGCAAGAGAGGGCGGGCGGAGAGGGCAGTGATTTGGCAAGGATGGGCAGGCGAGCTTGGCCTGGCAGCCTGATTGTAACCAGGCACCCTCCGCCTCATCTCCTCATCTCAATCATCATGCGCCTCCCTCTCCGCCGTCTCCCCCCTCCACCCCACCAGCGCCTGGCGGGCGCGTCGCTGCTCATCCTGGCGAACAAGCAGGACCTGCCGGGCGCGCTCAGCACCGAGGAGATGCGCGAGGTTGGGCAGGGAGGGTGAGGGAGGGGCAGGGATGAGGTGGGCAGGGATGAGAGAGGTGGGCAGGGGTGAGAGAGGTGGGGGAGAGGGGATGTGAGAGGTGGGGTGGATTGGACGAGAGGGATGAGGAGAGGGGATGAGAGAGGTGACAGTGCGCACACCTGGTGGGTGAAGCTCGCTGCTTGTTACCGTGCGGTTACACCTGCCACCATGCTGTTACACCTGCCACAATGCATACCTGAGAGGACTAGGTACTTCAGGGTCCAGCAGTGGGGATTTAAATCCCATGTTCCCGGCAGGTCTCCATACATTTCTCATATGCCGCATGCCTCCCTTGCCGCCGTTCCATCCACCGCTCACTCCCTTCCATCCCTCTCACCCCACAGGTGCTGGGTCTGAAGGCCTTAGCAGAGGGGAGGCGCCACTGCCACCTGGTGCCGTGCAGCGCAAGGACAGGGGAGGGCGTGCTGGCAGGATTCGACTGGCTTGTAACTGACATTGCGTCGCGCATATACATGTTCGACTAGCAACTAGGCTTGCACCGATGAATTGTGTTAAAAACTTGTTGATTTTGGTCGTTCGTTTGTTTCCACTAACCTGCCGTATTAGCGCGGCGGCTAATAGTGAGGGACAGCGCTGTGCACAAGCTCCAAGAAACGACAAACAAAGCAGGCGGGTGCCTGAGGCTCAACGTGTAGAACATCCTGTACTGACGATGCCCAATCTTCTCGCAGCTCAATCTGGCGCCCAATCAGGATCGTTTCTCAAAACCCCCTATATACCGGCAATGGGAGATCCGTTTGAGTCACTCATGATTGCGTCTGCGACCAGCATATAGTAAGGGACAAGTCATTGCCGACGAGGTTTCGTCGCCACGGAACTGTGCACCGCAGTTGCCTGATCGCCTCACAAGAGTCGCACACTGACAGCAAGCATCGCCACACAAGCCCCCCCCACAAATACCCACCCGTTTCGCCGTGTGCTCGTGCGAAAACCTCATTTGCCCTTCGGTGAGAGCATGCGAAATAATTGTGCTATTGAATCCCCCGCACCCTTAAATCTTGTGCGACTCTGACGAGCTTCGTTTGTACTGTACTCTTTTCCAGCAATCTGGACCATAAACAAAATTCTGAAGGACGCGGTACATTGCGTCCGGTTCCCAGGACCACAATACCGTGTTTTACCATGATGAAAATGTTCTATACCGCAACAAAACCTTCTGAAACCCATATAAAAACGAACCGGTCCATGGTCGATTTCGGCAAAACGGACGCAATGTACCCCGTCCTAAAAAGTTTGCTGCCGTGAGGGCGGAACGTGCCGCACATTTTTATTGACTCCACAACCACATGGTCGGTTGGTTGGGAGGGAGGCGAATTTGTGAGATGGCATTGCCATTGCCACGCGGGAGGGGCACCATCCAAGTTTCCCACCAAGTGTTATTTCTTCACGCTGTACTGTACCAACAACTAAACTGACCATGATGGTCTGCTTCACCAGACGACGAAATTGCCCACGAGACAACTCCCTCCCAGACAATTGACAACTAACCTCTCTCCCTCCCTGAGCATGAGATGAGAGAGAGCCTCATCACATCCGCACATCCCATCCACAACACATCGCATCCACACATCCCGCAGTCTGTATTCTTGCCGCCTCCTCTCACCATCGCTTGCATTCATCACATCCGCCATCGAATTAAGACTACTTGATTTCCGCCGCCAGCTTCCCGCCGATTATCCGTTACTTTCATTATCCTCTCCGCTTCGAACTCGCGCCGCTCCGCTGTTCCGTCGTTGTGCCGGCAGCTGGTGCGGCAGCGCCTGGATCTCAGAGGCGCGACCTGCCGCGGCAGAGCTTTCGCGCCTCCCCCCCCCCCCCCCCCCTCTCTCCCCTCCTCCTTGTCTAAGTCTTTTCTGGTGAGCGCGTCGCCATGCCGCATTCCCTGGCGCGTTCGGCGCTGGGTACGCGGCGGCGCGGCGTGGGAAAGGCGGTGCTGGGGACGGCGTGGGTGGCGGGGTGGTTGGGGCTGTGCGTGTGGGTGGTGTGGTTCGCGCACCGGCAGGCGGCCGGCCCGCGACAGGAGGCGATCCAATTGTGGTGTCGCGCGCGCGTGCGATACCTCCATCAGGACATGCGATCCGCCGTTGCGCGCGCCGAGGTACGTCCGCCCCCGCCTACGCGCACAGGTACTTCCCGCGGCCCTACCTGCATACGCGCACAGGTACTTCCCGCCCTCCCCGCGTACGCACCCAGGTACCTACCCGCATATGCGCACAATTACTTCCGCCCTACTCATTTGCGCACAGGTACTTTCCGCTAAACCCTGCATTCTCGCAGAGGTATTGCCGCCCTACCTCGTTCGCGCACAGGTACTGCCGCCCTATCCCCCATTAGAGGCCGCCTAGCGCACTGGCAGCGCGGGCACCCGCCATGGAGGCCGTGGCAGTGGGGCCGAGCTGATGAGGTTTCCGCGCGTCCCCCAGTCCAGTATCCCCTGGGTCGTCGCGCTCCCCCTCCCCACCCCATCATGGCACCTCTCGCATCCGCCCATTGGAGGCAGGCGGACGCGCATCGCACACGCGACCCCTCCTTAGCTGAGACGATTTTTGAGTCGACTCAAAAATCGACTCATTACACACTGAGCGGGGGATGGACTCGACTCGCAGCGAGCCTTGTGAGAGGAGAGCTGCAGCCAAGTCTCAAGTTAGAGACGAGAAAGGGCGCAAAGAGAGCCTTTAGTCAGAAGGCCTGACACAGTGGGCCTGGATAAACCAACCGGTGCATCCGTCCCTTCAAGCGACCCCCTCCCCTCTTCCCCTTGTCCCGTGCCTCACCGCCTGCCCGCCCCCAGGAGTCCACGGGGCTCATGAAGGTGTTTGCCAGCTTCGGCCCGCGCAGCAGCAGCAACCTGCAGTACTGGGGCCTGGCGGGGTGCGTCAACAACGCATCGCTGCAGGCATACGCGCAGCACGCGGACCAGATCGCCAACTACAGCAGCAGCTGCCCCGTCCTGGTGCTCAACGAAGGCGACAGGTGCGAGACAGGTGCGCGACAGGTGCGAGACAGACAGGTGCGCGACAGGGCAGGTGGGAGGAAGACAGGTGCGAGACAGAGCAGGTGGGAGGAAGACAGGTGCGAGCAAGTTGGCGGAGGGTCTTTCTCATTAATGCTCGTGGTGAGAAGTGCTTTCAGTTATGCACTCCATGCTATAGGCTGGCTGGGCACACTGGCATGTGTGCTCTAGCTTGTGTGCTCTAGGCTGGCTGTAAGCTCCTATGTTTTCTCCTCTAGCGCCGTGCTCTCCAGCGCATCTGAGGGTCACCCCACTGCACACGCGTCCTCTGCCAACTGGTATGCCTGCTGCCAACTGGTGTGCCTGCTGCCATCCCCACCCCCCTCTGCCTCTCCCTGCCACCGCGCTGCTCCCCCTGGCAGGGCGACGGTGGAGGCAATCATGGGGTACGAGGTGCGCTCCGTGCTGGGGCTGCGCGCGCCCAGGAGGGACCTGTACATAGTCACCCTCTGCGGCAGCACGGGGCAGGGCTTCTCCCTGCCGCCGCTCACCGACTTCGCCCCCCTCCTGCCGCCTGTCATTCTCACCAACCTGTACTCCGGGAAGGCCAGTGCCGGCCCTCCTATCTTCACCGACCCCGGATACGTAGCAAGTGGTCCGTGCCCCCACCCAACCACCCCTCACCTTCCCACGTTTTTCCTTGTCGTTACATGTGTCTTGTATGCGCCCCTGACTCTGGGTTGGGTGTTCGGATTGATTCTAGGCAAAAGTCAGCGCACTGACACCTACGACTGGGAACAAGAGTGAGACGTTTTCTAGGGTTTAGAGAAAGGATGAGAGAAATCAGAGAATTTCTCAACTAGGGCTTGCAGGGGATACTGTGATGCTCGTCCTCGTCTTGCAACGTGGCTTCCCTCGCGATCAAGGAGCCACATATAGAATCACTTGTCTGTGATTCTACATTAGTTACGGCTGTCGCGTTGCGTAGCTTGTGGCCACGCGGCGATGGAGATGGTACTAATCGTGGCGGGCGTGGAGTGGAGGAATGGTCTGCGGTGGCCGCCGGTTATACTTGCGACCCTGTCAATGTGGCGGATACTCGGTGCACCAGTGCACCTCACGGTGACCCCCCAAACCCTCCTGTAGAACCCTCATGGTATCCTCAAGTCATCTTTGACTCGCGAGTCACAAGACTTGACTATTGTTAGCCCTGTCTCAAAGTCGTCTTTGAAGTCAACTAAAAAATCCACCTCGCTTCTGTGCCACATGATACTTTTCCTTCAAGGCGAGCAATTATCGCGTGGAGGCTGCCGAAGAGAGTTGGAAACTATATAGTTTCTGCTCATAAGGGCTAGAATGCAAACGTTTTTATTATTTCGCTTTTTCTTCTGGACGATATTTTCTAGGCATACCAGTGGTGCTCGTTCTCCTTAGGACTCCTTGTGGTCTGAAGACGGCTGAAAGCCGAAAGTAGTTACCACCGCTTTTCGCAAGAATTGTACATTTCTAATAGCAATCACAGGTGTTGAAATCCTAAGTTGCTGCCACACATTGAAACCGTGGCTGCTACTTGGTGTTCCATCGGGCTTGAGTCATGTCTGACTCGCGAGTCAATGGAGTGGACTACTGTCAACCCCGTCTCAAGGCATCTAGTCAAGTCTTGAGTCGGGCCTGGCAGAGTTTGACCCGACTCGACTCAAGAGTCGACTGGACACCGACTCCACCATACTCGACTCCACTAGGATTTCACATGGTTGAATATGGCGCCTTGAGAGTGTCAGAGCGGTGACACACGAGGACCACTTCCCAACGTGTCGCACTGTACAGCACCGCAGACAGCGTATGCTGGATATACTACTGGGACACGCCCTTAGCATGCCACTCCAGCCGCCCGTAGCAGCAAACAAAAATGGCACGCACGTGAACTCCATCCCCCGTTTTCCCAACGGATGCCCCACTCCTGCCTGCCATCCCCGCCCCTCGCCTTGCTTGCAGTGTTTGGCATCCCCATCTTGCGCCACCCGCTGCCGCCCAACGCATCGCCGCAGCAGATGAGGGAGAGCATCAGCACGGGATGGGCGTCTGTGATTCACCTCGAGTGGCGCGCCCGCGACATACTCAACATGCTTGAAAGCGGTATGGTCAGCCTTCATGCTTCATGAATGGCAGCGCGGGATTTGTTTTCAAAGTTTTCAGAAATCACTTATCATGGAGGAGAGGACGCGAGACATACTCGCAGATACACCGTTTTATTATTCTTGGGTGTGGATCAGCTTGTACCTGGGTGATTGCCTCTCTTCTTTTCCCCTCCTCTCTTCCTCCTCACCCTTGCTATCCTCCTCCTCCTCCTCCTCCTCGTCCTCCTCCTCCTCCTCCTCCTCGTCCTCCTCCTCCTCCTCCTCCTCCTCCTCCTCCTCCTCCTCCTCCTCCTCCTCCTCCTCCTCCTCCTCCTCCTCCTCCTCCTCCTCCTCCCCCTCCCCCTCCCCCTCCCCCTCCCCCTCCCCCTCCCCCTCCTCCTCCTCCTCCTCCTCCTCCTCCTCCTCCTCCTCCTCCTCCTCCTCCTCCTCCTCCTCCTCCTCCTCCTCCTCCTCCTCCTCCTCCTCCTCCTCCTCCTCCTCCTCCTCCTCCTCCTCCTCCTCCTCCTCCGCCTCATGTGTCACAATCGTGCCCTCTCTATAGCCTGCCCCACATGCGCGGTGTCGAACCTGACATTGTGTATTTCGTGTTGCCAACCACCAAGTGTTGCCTTGCGCCCCCTTGCTTCTTGTCCCTTGCGCTCAACCTCGTTACTTCTGCACCTTGGCTCGTTACACTTCAATTCCTGCCACGGTCATCCCATGGCTCATCCGCCTCCTCGCCTCCTCCCCCTCCTCCCACACCTCCCCCGCCTCACCCCATGGCCCCATCCGCCTCACCTGTGCCTGGCTGTGCAGGTGGCGGCTTGTATTCCTTTGCGATGTACGACAGCACGCAGCCAGGCGAGCTGGTGCAGATCCTGGGCCCGCAGCACCTGCGCCTGGAGAGCGGCCCTCTTCTGCAGCTCGTGCTGCCCGAGCCCACTGTGCCGCCTGCCGACCATGTGGAGCCCTTCCCCGAGGGGCTCTTTGGCCGCACCTACGAGGCGCACTGCAGGTGGGTGGCAGCACGGAACCGCACCGCATTCCACCACTCTGTATGCCCCTAGATATCTGGACCAACCCGATTCCACTACTCTGGTGGCCACTACCCGCTGTCTGGAGTGAATGAATGGCATGCACCGTCTCCAGATCTTCAAAGTGGTCTAGCATACCACTTTAAAGGAGAACTAGCATATTCCATTGCCCCCGTTGATACTGTGAATGTCCACATTGGCAATTAAATCTCTAGGACCTTGGATTGATTGGGAAGGCCGGATGCCATCTGGGCAACAAGCATGATAAAAGCTCTCTAGTACATCCAAACAGGGCTTATACCGTTCCCGTTTTGCTCCAACCCAAACCCCTTTTTCCCCCCCTTCCCCCCCACCCGCCACTTTCTTTCCCGCCGCTTCTCGCTCTCTCTCCCTATCTTCCCTCTCCCCCCCCCCACTCCCCCTTTGCTGTCCCTTTCCTGGCATCATTGTATCTCTGACTCTCCTCTCACGCCCGCCCGCAGCTTCCAGGGCGCGTACCCCACGTGGGAGCTGGTGTATGCGCCCGTGCTGCTGGGGCTGCTGGTGCTGCTGGTGGCGCTGCTGCTGTCCACGCTGATAGCCGTGCTGGCATGGAAGAGGAGGCAGCTGGCCGAGGGCGTGCGCAAGATGGCGCTGTGCACGGAGGCGCTGGAGCGGGCCGAGCGCAACAAGAGTGAGACGGTGGCCAACCTCTCGCACGAGCTGCGCACGCCCATCATCGGCATGATAGGTGGGAGCACGCCCATCATCGGCATGATAGGTGGGAGCACGCCCATCATCGGCATGATAGGTGGGAGCATGCATGGATGAGAGCATGCATGGATAAGAGCATGCATGGATGAGAGCATGAATGTGAGCGAGTAGCAACTATAACCTTATCGTTGTTGTTTCAAGTTTGACAAAGCTGCTACTGGGTGGTAGGTAGACATGGGCAAAATGCGATTGCGATTTAAATCGCATCGCATGCAGGTGCGATGATTTAAAAAGCGATGCGATTTTAAATCGCATCGCGCGATTTAAAAATTCGAAAATAAATCATCGCACATCGCGATTTACCCGCTATGTATTTTAACATCGCAAGCGATGATTTATTAAATCGCGCGATGTGATATTAAATCGCATCGCATTTCTGGAGGTTTTTAAAACAAGTCTGCAAACATTGGGAAAAAAAAAAAGGCTACTGGAGAGTGGAACACGGGATGGCGTGCAGGCATGGACGATTGAAAATACCGTTCAAAATGGGTTTCACACAAATGCGAGCCCCGTGGTAAGGGCCCGACTTTCGTAGCTTAAATAAAGTAAGGGTGGGGAAGGGGGGAGGGCAGCTGCCAGCTGGATGGATGGTGTGGGGAGTATGAGGTTGCGGGAAAGGAGAGATGGGGGTGTAAAGGGGGAGGGGGAGGGGAGGGAGGGGAGGGGAGGAAGCAAGCATGAAGCATAGTCATCGGTCTAGCACGTTGTCAATATAAATAAGGTAATGTCCTATCAGTTCCCGGACCCCCCAGCAGCACGCTAGCCCTCAAAGCCCTGGACCTATCTCAAGGCCCAGATCGCACGCCTCAAAGGCCGTCTCGTCATCTTCGGCTGCTACCGCGCCATCAAGCCGCTGTCCAGGGTGAGAGGCAATCCATGACTTCAACATCATGCAAGCACGGATTCGCTCCGCACCCAAACGGTAGCGCTGCCAGTGGATGAAACCCCTGGAGTACTGATAGAAGGCGGATACTGCCTTCTATGTGCTGGCGAGATTTCGCGCTGCGATGTATTTCGACATCGCGCGCGATTTATTTTTAGTCGCAAATCGCAATTAAATCGCGATTTCCCGCCGCGATTAAATTGAGATTTAAATTAAATCGCGCGATAATTAAATCATCGCATCGCGCAATGAATTAAAATAAAAATAAAAATACATCGCCATCGCAAAACGTGATTAAACGTGATGCGATGCGATTTAAATTGCTCATGTCTAGTGGTAGGGCTGTACAATATAAATTCTTGAGGCGTGAATCCATTATCTGTGGGCGATGCGCAGGGATGATCGATGTGGTGCTAGAGTCGGCGTTGGAGGAGTGGCAGCGGGCGGACCTGAGGGATGCGAGTGCGTGTGCGGGCGAGACGGTGCACCTCATCAACCGCGTCCTCGACCTCGCCAAGCTGCAGGCCGGCCGCCTGCAGCTCGAGGCAGTGCCGTGCTGCCTGCCGCGCATTGCGCATGATGCCATCGCACTGGCCGCACAGGATGCATCTTCAAAGGGGCTAATAGGTACGAGTTGTTTAGTGCTGTGGGGGGCTGTGCCACTGCTGGCAGATGCGGACCTCTCTGGTTGACAAGCTTTCCGTCCCTTGCTGTTGCACGCAGTGACATGCCACGTGGATCCAAGCGTTCCGGAAGTGCTCATGGGTGATCCAACCCGGCTGGCACAAGTCGTGGGCGAGCTGACAGGTGGGTCGAGCTGGCAGGCAAGTGGAGGTGGCAGGTGAGTCGAGTCGAGGTGGCAGGTGACATTGTTGCTACAAACGCGTTTACCGTTTGAGTGCCAGCGTTTGAAATGCAAGCGTTTGAATGCTAAACGCTCAGCAGCGTGTATGTGTATGCTTGGGAAACGCTTGCCCGGGCAGGGGTAAATTTTTTGCCCGGGCAGGGGTAAAAATGTCCTGCAGGGGAGGGCGAAAGCTTGGGAATTCTGCCAGCAAGCATTTTGTCTCAAAAAAAGAAGTGTTGAAACAATTAGGCATGCATCCTCATATGTCATGTAAATCACATATCCTAAAGCCCATTCTCCCTCCACAAACACAGCAACAACCGCTCATGCCCGCCCTTCTCCATCCCTGATGCGTGCCCTCCGCCCATGCTGCTCGCCCATGCTGCTCGCCCATGCTGCTCGCCCATGCTGCTCGCCCATGCTACTCGCCCATGCTGCTCGCCCATGCTGCTCGCCCATGCTGCTCGCCCATGCTGCTCGCCCATGCTGCTCGCCCATGCTGCTCGCCCATGCTGCTCGCCCATGCTGCTCGCCCATGCTGCTCGCCCATGCTGCTCGCCCATGCTGCTCGCCCATGCTGCTCGCCCATGCTGCTCGCCCATGCTGCTCGCCCATGCTGCTCGCCCATGCTGCTCGCCCATGCTACTCGTCCATGCTACTCGCCCATGCTACTCGCCCATGCTACTCGTCCATGCTACTCGTCCATGCTACTCGCCCATGCTACTCGTCCATGCTACTCAGGCCCCACCCACTCCTCATCCCCGTACTCGTCCTCGAGCACAGGGTCACGCCCTGCTCATCATCCACTTACTCCCCGTCCTCATTAATATTGTAGCCTTCAGGGATGGGGGCTGCCGGGATGTTCCCAGCGAGCACATGCGTTGTCTCGTCGGGAGACTTTTGCCAGTTGTGCACAGCATGCCAGTTGTGCGCAACATACACAAGGTCCCTACATTTCGCGGATCCCAGCCGGTTCCTGCGCATCGTGTGCCCAACTTCCCACATGGACCAACTGCGCTTGCAGCTAGACGTGGACACCGGCTGCGTGAGCACACGGCGAGCGAGCTCTGTGAGCTCGGGGTGCTCTGTGCCGTGCCAAGTCCACCACTCCTCCATCGAGAGCCTCCCCTCCTTCACCTCCTGCCGCTGCCGTACCACCCACGGCATGCCAAAACTCCCCTTCATGCTCATGAACGCACTAACCCCCTCCTGCAGAACAGCTGCTGCACGCTTCGCCTTCACCGTCTTCCTGGCGATGGTCATGCCTCTGCTGTATTGCTCTACCAACTCCTGGAACACATCGGTGCACTCCTCATTGTGCCCAAAAATCTTCTCCACCTGGTTGGCCAGATTGAGGATCCGGGCAACAGCATGGAGGGGGCAGGCCATGGAGAGTTTTGAGTCGAGTCAAGAGTCACATGAGGGGGCAGGCCATGGAGAGATCCCACCTCCGCTGCACTATCTCCTCAATCGCCTCCTCCTCCGGTTTCAATGCCCGTCCTCCTCCTTCAGCACCTCGTGCATGTCCTCCGTCAGCTTCAGCATCAACTCGTAGATCTGACCCATCATCCTCTTGGCGGTCGAGTCTGTTGCACGCATGACTACATGCCCAGCAGCTTGGTGAAGAACTCAGCTGCTGCCCACCACGCCTTGTCATTGATGATGTTCTCAATGGGTTCTACTGCCGCCTTCTGCTTCCCAACATCCCACGCCTTCCACACATCGCCCGCCATCATCATTCTCAACTTCTCGCGCAACTCTACGACGTGGGACACCGCTATGTACTGAGTGTCAAAACGTGTTCCCGCCGGTTTTAACAGCTTCCCACTCAGCTCCCCTGGCTTGCGCAGTAGTTCCTGGCCCAGCGGAGGTTGCGCACGTAGTTGATGACTTCGTTCGCACGCTCCACCGCTTTCTTCACCCGTGCCTGCTTCCCCACATCCTCCACCAGCGGGTCTATCACATGCGTGGCACACGGCACATGCTCAATGTGTGGCCACTCCTCCCTCAACCCCTGTGTGGCAGCGCCATAATTACTCCCCCCGTCCGTGCAGAGCACCACGACCTTCTGAGGCCGGATCTCCTAGATCACCGAGCGAAGAAGGCCGGCGATGTGGCCGCCGGTTTTGGTTTCCATGCGGCAGTCGATGCTCTCCATGAACGCAGCGCTTGCGCCATTCACCAGCATGATGTTCGCCTGCGGGCGCGTTCAGCGGTCGGTCATGCGCCAGCTCAATGCGCTTGCGGCACTCCTTCAACCCGGTGCCACCAATGTAGGCGTGCCCAAGCGGCACGTACGTCGAACCAGCACAAGCAACGGTGCAGAGGGCATTGAGGAAGAGCGGGTGCGACGCATGATGTTCGGGGATGCGAAGTCCAGCGAACATGAGGCCGCACCTCAGGAGGCGCCTTCGTACACTCCTTCACCTCCGGCCGCCCTTGTCCTTCCCTCTTGGTGAAATGTGTGGCACAACGTTTGGTACTACCGGCCATTTTCTGCCCACAAAAGCGACACTCGTATTTCTATGTGGTGCCAGCCTCCTCGGAACGCGGAAGTTCTTATAAACCTCGTGATTCCTATCCGCCTCCTATGCATTAGAAGCTGCGGACGCTGTAGCGGTGTCCGCATGACTAAGAGGAGTCGTCATGGGCGCTCGCCCTTAACTTAAGGTATTTCGTGGCTAAGGTTCAGCAAATAAGGTGGAAAAGTGGCTATGACTATGGCGCGCGGCAGTTAGGGTAAGCGGTTTTGACAGGGGGAGGGGATTGTGAACTTGCGTAGAACCACGAGAAGTGAAGAGGAGGGGCATGGCTGCTGGAGGATCTGCCTACTCGCTCATTAGCGCCTTGCCAAGTGCCCCTTTTGTCCCCTATGTACAAACCCCCTTCCATCCTGCAGCCCATGCTGTGAGCAGCACTCTGTCGGGCCACGTGGCCTTCCATCTCTGGTGCATCGCCCCTCGTCCGCACACCCCTCGTCCGCACACCCCCCCCGCGCCACCTTCATCAGACTATGCTACTGCCACCCCTTCCCACACTCCCCATTCCTGCCATTCATCTCAAGCCTCTCGCGCCCCTCCAGCCCCTCCACCCGCATCAGCATGGCATCAGCTGGCTGCCTGCGTGCGCCGCTTCCCTCCGCCCACCCGCCTGGCCTGCACCCCGCAGCCCCTGGCAGCGAGCCAGGGGGGGGGCGCTGGCAGAGGCGAGAGGGAGGGCGGGAGGGGGGTGGGAGGAAGAAAATCAAAGAGGAGGTGGGGGGTTGGAGAAGGTTGGGGCGGACGAGGGGGTGTGAGCGAGGGGGCAGAACATAGGGGTGGTGTGGCAGGCGTGTGGGGAAATGGCATGGGGGCTACGAGTCTGGTTGAGGCACAAGGTGTCCTGCAACAAGGGCGACATGGTGCGAGCACAAGAATTGCACGCACAGGAGATGCAGCACCCACAGGAAATGCGAGCAGTTCAGTGAAGGGGCGGGGTGGCGGAGGACGGTTGGAGAGGGAAGTGGCGGCATGGGTGGAAGGGGCGTGCAGGGCGAGAGGCGAGGGCGAGTGGATGGTGGTGATGGCGTGTGAGGACACGAGCGGTGGTATACCACCAGAGGAGATGCAGTGGGTGCTGGACCCAGATGGCCACTCGCCCCACCCACCACAGGCCTCTGCTGCTGCTGCTGCTGCTGCTGCTACTACTGCTGCTGCTGGTGCTGCTGCTGGTGCTACTACTGCTGCTGCTGGTGCTGCTGCTGCTGCTACTACTGCTGCTGCTGCTGCTGGCGATGGTGATGGCGCTGCTGGAGCTGGTGCTGGTGGTGGGTGGGGAGGTGACAGAGGCAGCAGGAAGAAGCGACAAAGTGTTGTGGTGAGTGAAGGGGGGCATGCAAGTGTGTGGGACTGCGTGTGTGGAGCTGCATGGCCGCACACTTCAAATGTGTTTGCACCGTGTTTCGCTCCATCCTGCCTGTCGGTTCACCCTTCTCTGCCTTCAACAACTCTGCCTTCAACAAATCTGCATTCTTCTCTCAGTTTCATGTGCCTCCGTTCCTCTGCCCCGTGCTTCTCTGTACAATCCTTTCCATCTCTCTTCTCGCTTTTCTTTCCCGTCCTCTTGTCTTGACTCTTTCACTTATTTTCGTTTTCCACCTCTAATCCCGTTCTGCTTTCCCCCCACACATCTTGCCCCGCTTACCTCCTGCCTCTCTCTGCACTTGTTTCTTGTGTGTCCCCCAGCAGCCAAGGGCGAGAGGCACAGCGGCCCCTCTGTCTGACGATCAGCAGGCAGCGGCCCGCCCCCCTTGGACGCCCTACCCGGTCCGCTTCCTCCTTTCCACCTCCCTCGTGAGTATGCCACTGCTGGAGTTATCCCTAAGACAGGGGGGGAAGGCTTGAAATGTTTGGGTCGTGACAAGAAAAAGATCCATGATTCCAAGTGGCTGATTGAAGCGGAAACTCCAAAGAACATGGTTGACTGTACAGCATCACCCCTACCCTTCGATTTCAAGTCTAGAAATGAACTAGAAATTAACTAGAAATGAACTAGAAATGAAACTAGAAGCAATACTTAGTTCGTAATGGTCTTCATTCGTATTGGGTTAATAACCCAGGACAGGGTCTTTTAACATGTTGGGGTATTGGCTGGTCAACGTATGTAGGAATCAAGCACATCCTTGGTTGTATTCATCACATGCTCATGCTCGTCCTTGGCCTCTCGTTGCTCTCTCTCAGCCCTGTTGAAGCCTTCTCTCAACACACCGCCTCGTGTCTTCTCCCTGCTCCACGCTCTTCTTTTCTCTCTCCGCTCCCCTTTTGCCCCTCTCCTCTCCATGACCTGCACTCCACCATTTCCCCTTCCCCTTCCCTCCCTCTGTCCCCCCACTGCAGGTGGCTGAGATGCGGGGCACCATGGCAGTGCTTTCAGATGCCGCCACAGGCACCACCATTCTGCTCGCGCTGCCCATGGGGGGAGTCGGGAGCGCTCGCAGCAGGGGGGGTGCTGAGGGGGATGGTGATGAGGAGGGGTTGGTGGCAGCAGTGGCGGCAGGGCAGCAGGTGGCGGGCTCTTGCGGCCTTGGCGGGTGCACGCCTTGTGATGCCGCTGCTGCGGTGGAGCCAGCAGCACTGCAGCACGCATCACGGGGGCGGTCTCTCTCCTTACTAACTGAGAGCATGGGGGCCAGCGTGCGGGGTGGGATGGCGGCCACGGAGAATGCGGAGGCGGCGGTGCGGGGTGTGATTGCGGGGCAGTGGGTGGTGGTGGTGGATGACAACGCGGTGAACCGCATGGTGGCGCGCAGAATGCTGCAGGGCTACGGGGCACACGTGCTGCTGCTGCAGTCAGGGGAGGACGCCCTGCACGCGCTCTCCACCCGTGCTCCTTCCCCGCCCCTCCACCTGCTGCTGCTGGACCTCCACATGCCTCCCGGCATCGATGGGTGAGTGCTTCCCTGCTCCCATGGCTCACTGCAGCGTTCTGCTCTCCCCTCTCTCTCATGCTGCAACTGTATGGCATGCTGCCATGCTGTGAACTCCGCTGTCTCCCGTTGTTCTTATTATCCGTTCTGCCACTGTCCCATGCACTTCTCTCGATGCTTGCGAACTTCTTTCCCCGTGACAGATTCGAAACGGCTCGTCAAATTCGTGGCATGGAGAGAGGTCAGCAGGTGCCGAGCGTGGAAGGGCCAACAGAAGCTGCTGGGCTGGAGAACCAAGGCACGGAGGTAGGAAGGAGGCGGAAGGGCCTTTGCATCATAGCGCTGACTGCAGACTTGGATGTGGGAGTGAAGAAGGCGTGCCTGGAGGCGGGGATGGATGGAGCAGTGAGAAAGCCCATAGTGGCTCACGAGCTGCTTGCAGCACTCACAGGCGCTGGATTTGGAGTTGTTGCGCCTACGGAACAGCACTTGTTGTGTCACAGTCAATCACTGTGATTCCCTGAAAACTAGTAATTCTTTAAAACCACTCTGATGGTCCTGAGTCGATTTTCTGATTCTCTCTGATTCATTAGAGGTGGCCTATGGTATGTGCCCTGTTGGTTTCCCTATTTGGGGTATGGGGCTGAGTGCTGCCCAGGGATCTTTGACAGGGAAGGGCGAATCTCTACGAAGTGGGAATCCAGTCTCCCGCACTACCGAACCGAACCGCAGTGATTGCGCATTCTCAACAATTGCACTGCACTATACCACACACATGGGATCCTACCGGTACTCTGTAGGAATCCATCCTTATCCCTGGACTGGAGTTGAGCTGGAATAGTTACAACTCAAGTGCAGAAAAGCCGCTGGTGATGTACTGGTAGCTCTACTCTGAAATCATCCCGGAAGCAGCGCTCTTTCTCAACAGAAATAACAGATGAGCCGTTGGTTGGTATTGGTGGTGAGTAGAAATGCCAGTGACAGAGGAAACCAATCCCAGAGTATCAAGTCCAGTCACGAGGGGCTTTGAGTACTTCAACAAGCTCTGCCTCTGGCGAGTCTGGCTCTGGCTGCACGTTGTAGCGCCACGCGATGAGAGGTGGGGCTGCTCGCAGGGACGGAAAGGGAGGGGCAGCAGAGAGGCGAATGTGAGAGGCTAGAACTGGGTGGCAAGCAAGAGCAGGAAGAGGGACTCGAATGAGCACCGGGAGAAGGCCCACACGACGGTAGTGGCTGCTCAAATACCACCTCAGATTCTATGCCTTAAGTTGTCGCAACGTTACACTGTCCTGCAGATTCACCGCAGCTGACAGGACAGGAGCAATCACATACTTGATAGCCCCCGTCCCCAGCTGCTTTCTTGATGTCACCAGCACAACATCCCATCACCATCCCAACCCCATCCGCATTACCACCCCCGTCCCATCGCCACCACCATCCCATCACTATCCCCATCCCCTCCCCACCCCCATCCCCTCCCCAACCCCATCCCATCCCCTCCCCAACCCCATCCCATCCCCTCCCCACCCCCATCCCCTCCCCACTCCCATCCCCATCCCCATCTCACCACCACCCCCATGCCATCCCAATCCCCATGCCATGCCTTCCCCCAGCACCACCCGCAAGCCTCCCCCGCACCCGAGACCATGATCGACTCCACGCGCCCGTTGCCGTCCATGCCGAACTTCACCCCGCGGTCATACAGCAGGTTGAACTCCAGGTACCGCCCGCGCCGCAACAACTGCCACTGCCGCTGCGCCTCGCTGTACTGCGAGCCCCTCCGGCGCTCCACAATGGGCCAGAAGCTGCCCATGAAGCCGCGCGCCACGTCCATCGTGAAGCCGTACGCGCGCTCAAACCCCGCCTCGTCCGCTGCAGCACCGGCAGCACCGGCAGCACCGGTCGCACCGGCAGCACCGGCCGCACCAGCAGCACCAGCAGCATTGGCAGCAGCAGCCCCAAAGCTAAGCGGAGCATCGGGCGGGGGGATGCAGTCGAGGTCGTCGAAGAAGATGCCGCCCACCCCTCGGTGCTCTTTGCGTGCCGGCAGGTAGAAGTACTTATCGCAAAGCGCCTTTGCCGCGGGGTACAGCGCCGGGTGGTAGCGCTGGCACAGGGTGCGGTAGACGGCATGGAACTCAGAGATGTCCGAGGGGAAGAGGTCTGCGCGGCGAGGGGGGCAGGGGAGAGGCAAGACATGGGAAAAGGGGGAGTGGGGCCAGGTGCGGAAGGAGGAAGAGACAGCGGGTAGTGAGGGTGGTAGAGAACCTTGAGTGAAGTTACAGCTGTGATGGACGGCTCTGTCAAAAGTGTGGACCGTCCTGCGCCCATTGGGGTGATAGTTGGGGCAAGAGGTGCGGGAATGAGCAGCAGTGAGCGGGAAACGCGCGAGTGTGTGATGGTGAGCTCCTCCTCAACTGCACATCGCTGCCTCACAGCCAGATAAGCAGCAGGGCAGGTGAGGGGAAAACTGACTCTCAACAAGGGGCTCACACGAGGGGGTGAGGTGCGCTCACATGAGGGGGGAGGTGCGCTCACATGAGGGGGGAGGTGCGCTCACATGAGGGGGGAGGTGCGCTCACATGAGGGGGGAGGTGCGCTCACATGAGGGGGGAGGTGCGCTCACATGAGGGGGTGAGGTCAGCGCCACCACCAAACCAGCCATTCTGCCCGTCCACCTGGTGGCGGGGAGGCAGGGACAAGCCGCAGGGTAGATAGGGACGAGCGACACAAGAGGCACGCATGAGAACTTGTGAAGCAGAAGGACCATTGCGGCACGCAGACACTCGCAGCAGAGAGTGGCGAGGTGGTGAGGCAATGCCCAGCAAGCAAGGGGGGGCGCATGAGGAATGAGGGAGGCGCAGGAGGGGCAGCGGCGCACCTCCAAGTAGCGGATGTCGGAGCGGAAGGTGGGGATGAGGGGGTGCGCGGAGTGGAACACCAGCGACAGCGCACCCGCGAAGTAGGGCGTCCCAGGTGCCAGTTGGCGACCCTGCCTCGCACTCATGGCCTGGGGGAGAGGATGGGGAAGGGGGGAAGGGGAAGAGGGGAAGGGGAAGAGGGGAAGGGGAAGAGGGGAAGGGGAAGAGGGGAAGGGGAAGAGGGGAAAGATAGGGCGTATGAGAGAGGGTGCAGGACACAGAGGGGATACATTGGAAGGGCGGCTTATATGGCAGGCGTGGCTGGCAGCCCTGGGTGGCAGGTTGGCGAGTCCAGATGGGCGATGAAGGACAAGGCTGAGGTGCGAGGGGTGGGGGGAGGCGGGATTCACTGACGGCTGGGATGAGTAGGATGGGAATGGGGGGTTGAGTGGCGTGGGGAGCAGAATACACACGTGGACAGAGTGACCTCCCATTGCCCTCCCATGCCCCTCATTGCCCTCCCATGCCCCTCATTGCCCTCCCATGCCCCTCATTGCCCTCCCATGCCCCTCATTGCCCTCCCACGCCCCTCATTGCCCTCCCACGCCCCTCATTGCCCTTCCACGCCCCTCATTGCCCTTCCACGCCCCTCATTGCCCTCCCACGCCCCTCATTGCCCTCCCACGCCCCTCATTGCCCTTCCACGCGTCTCTCCCACCTTCCCACGTGTCCCTCTCACCTTGGCGCGTGCCTCTGACAGCTGGCCCCGCACAATCGACACGTTCGCAGCGGCCTTCTCCAGCACGCGCCCGCCCTCCAGCACGCGCGTGATGCCGTACCCCGCTGACGGGTCGCTGGGGTCGCGCTCCCACCTGTCCTCGATAAAGACTTCCCCACTGCCGTCCCGCGCTGCTGACTAGAGCATGAGAGGGGGAAGGGGGGGATTGCAGAGGCGCAGTGAGTTGCGTAGCGGACGTGAAGCCACTGGCGCCGTGCGCAGTTGAGTGCGAGAATGATTGGGGTAAGAGGCGAGCCTGGCACCATGCACACATGCAGCTTATGGGCAGGGGTCCGATGGAACAAAACATATGATGTCAACGCACCTCATGCCACTGCACGACACCGCACCTCACCCCACCTCATCACCGCACCGCACCTCACCACCGCACCGCACCTCACCACCGCACCGCACCTCACCACCGCACCGCACCTCGCCACCGCACCGCACCTCATCACAGATGGCGGTCTGCAGGTCCAGCAGCAGCTGCTCGAAGCCGTCCTTAGAGAACGCCGGGGGGCATGCAGCAGCGGGTGTTGACGCGGCTGGACGGGGCGGAAGGGAAGAGGAGGGTGCGGTGAGGCGGGGAGGGGTGGGAGCGGGGGAACGGATAGGAGGGTCTAAGGCGGGTTGGCAAGAGCAGCAGGTGGCGGACGGCGCCCTTTGAGAAGGGCGGTCAGGGCAGACAGCGAGGGCGCTGAGCGGGGGGAGGGTGGTGGGACAGGCGGTGGGTAGGGTTAGCAGCAGGGGATGGATGGTACTAGCGGGTAGAGGGGCTCACGAGGAATGCCAAGGCAGGAGGGGGGGTGAAGGGGAAGGGAAGAGGGAAGGAGAGGAGCGAAAGGCGGGGCAAAACGAGAAGCGAAACTGGACGGGCGCGTAATGGCAGGGCCTCACGCGCAGGCATTCACCCGTCGCATCTGCCAGCCACGCCACGCACCTGCCACGTCGCGCTGCTCAACACTTGCGCGGGTGCCGATGTACCCTCGACGTGCCGGCAGCAGCCACGGCTGGCATCGCCGCACGGCGCGCGTCCACCGCCGGGCATTCAGCGCGGGAACGCCGCTCCTGAGTTGGCATTCGCGCACGCTGGTCGGCGAACGCAATGCGGCGAGGCGAGTGACGGTGTGCGACTGCGCCGGAGAGTGTGCGACGATACTAGCGGCCATCGCCGCCGCTGCTGCGACTATCTGCGGAGTACTGAAACCCCCTCCCGCAGCAACGGCTTGGCGACGACGGACGGCTGTTTCGAGCGCAGCAGGAATCCAACCACAAGGACACTTGGGGCGGCCCGCTCTCTTGAGTGACTGGTGGGTCCAGCTGGGAGAAAGATGTGCTGTGATGGGTGGTGCTCTCTGCTGCTGCCTGCGATGGGTCGTGCGTGCCGCTTCTCCCACCACCTGGGGGCGACAAAACCAGAGTGCTGTGTAGAAAATGCATGTCACATCGGTTCAGTACGGTGACAGGTCGATCTTTGGCATTGGGACCCTCCAGCCTGCCATTGTCGAGTTCTCGAGAGGGTATTCAGAGGTCCGTGTCAGATACGTCTGCGTGTCCAGAAAAGTTGGAAACCCGCCACCTGTTACGTACGAAAGCACGTTACTGGTTTCCAATATTTCTAGAAGACACGAATACCGAATAACCCGAAGTCTGCCCTGAGTGGAAGAACTACAGTCGGCAAAGAAGCGGCATGGCGATAGGACCAGCCAGTGGCGACAGCGGAATCGCCCAGGCGAAATAAACGAATCGATCGCTTGAAAAGAGCACTTGTGCCAGCCGGGAATCGAACCCGGGTCTGCACCGGGCTCATGGCAGGGTGCTATTCTACCACTAGACCACTGGCACATTAAACACACCTTCGAGGATGTAAAACAAAATTTAGCATGTATTTTGTAAAGCAAGTTCAGCGCCTGGGAGTGGAGAGGTGGAATCAGTAAGGCGCTAGCTGAAGAAGAGGGCGCGGCTAGCGGGCTGGCGAGCCATGCGACGGCAGATACGGAGTTAACCATTATGCATGGACGGCCAGCAAGTGCTTCTTAGGATTCTCAAGGAATGCGGCGATGAGGCGTTGCGCGACATGCAGCCACTGAGCGGCGTGAGTGGCGCCGCATCCCCCTGATAGCTTGATAGCTGCGCCGTTGGTCGACGATCAGAGACGCGTGAGATAGGGGCGTTAGGCCGCCCGCAGTGAACGACAAGAGTGTCATAGGGGTGCGGTAAAGGCGAACACGGAAGGGGAACGCCGGGCGGGGCGGTATGCCCCGTTCGCTAGTGTGGATCAGGGGGGGTTAGGTGGAGAGTAGAAGAGTTTGGAAGGCGGCAGTGAAGGACGAACGTAGGTAGGCTGAAGGCGAACAGCGAAGGGGGCGGGGGGAGGGAGGGGCGGCATGCCCCGTCTGTTTGTGGAGGGCTTCTTTTTGTCGTGGCTCGACAGCTACGAGGACGTGCAGAACGCCGCGCTCACGCTGCTCTACCTACAGGTAACGTGGTAACCCGCTTCAGTTTGAAATAACATGTGGTAAGGCGGCGATACTTTGGTGCCTCCTTTCCCTTTGCACTCTACTCCCTCTCCGTGTTCCCCTACCCTCACCCCTACCCCTCCCCCTACCCTACCCTTACCCCTACCCTCACCCCTCGGGCCCTCCCCCTCCCCCTCCCCCTCCCCCTCCCCCTCCCCCTCGCTCTGCATTTCCCGCTCTGCCTTCGCCACCGTCTTGTCAACCTGCGCACCGCCTCTCCTCCATGCGCGCTCCCACCGTCCCCGCCCACCCCCTCTCCCCCGACCCCGCATCCACACGTGGGCGTCCCGCATTCGCTCGCCTGGGGCCCGCCTTTCCTTGTGCTGGCTGTGCGGCACCCCGCCATTGTCCCTCTCGCATCCCGTGCTGTGCTCACGTCGTCGTCGAGGCGGCACTGGCCGTGCTGGGTGGCAGCGTGCTGGGTGGCAGCGTGCTGGGTGGCAGCGTGCTGGGTGGCAGCGTGCTGGGTGGCAGCGTGCTGGGTGGCAGCGTGCGAGTGACACTCAATCACGCCCTCCTCCCTGTCCCGCTCCCTGCACGCCATCCAATGATCGCTATTCATCCCACCCCCTGCGTCTGCCCCTCTGTTCCTCTCCCCATCCCTACGGGTGGGCAGGTGTTCATCGGGCTGCTGGGCGTGGTGGGCCCCACCTACACGGGCGTGCTTGTGGCAGACGTGGTGGTGGCGCTGTTTGGCCTGGTGGCCGTGGCCAGCGGCTACCAGGCGCTGGGGCGCACGTACGCGCTGCTGCTGCCGCTCATGCTGCTGCTCGACACGCTCTGGCTCGCACTCTTTGCCCCCCACATCTGGTAACCACACCCTCTCCTCTTCGCCCCCCACATCTGGTAACCACACCCTCTCCTCTTCGCCCCCCACATCTGGTAACCACACCCTCTCCTATTCGCCACTCACATCTGGTGCTTGCACCCTTTTCACACAGCGCTCCACTCGTCCGCCCATTTGTACCTCCTGCACCTCCACTTTCCTCTCTCCCTCCATGCGTCTGCCTGCTGCCCTCTTTCTTCATACCCTCTGCCTCCCTCCACCTCCTCGCCCTTCCACGTACCCGCTTACGCCCACACCTCTGTTACCCACAGCTCTATTATTACCCACACCTCCTCTCATCTCGCGTATGTCTGCCTGAGCATCTTCTTTCATCCAGACCCTCTGTCCGCCGTGCCGCCCGTGAATGGTGGCACTGCCCTGTCCCTCCCAGTACGTGGTGAGCGCACCACTCTCGCCGTCCGCTCTGCCCGCATGGATGCATGCAGGAGCACGCAGCTCACGTCCCCTTGGAGCCAGCGCCCGCTGGTGGCGGTGGCCATGCTGCTGGAGCTCGCCTGCCGCTGCCGTCCAATCAGCGTGCCCTCGTTGTCGCTCTCTCTGCCCACGTGATCCCACCGACTCCCCCCAGGAGCACGGAGCTCACAGACCCGTGGAGCCGCCACCCGCTGGTGGCAGCGGCCGTGCTGCTGGAGCTCGCGTGCCATTGCCTCACCTTCGCGCTGCGCCTCCTCTCCGCGCTGCTGTGGCTCCAGGTGACCATCCCTCTCGCTTTAGGTTAATCTTGGTCTACTGCATCTGGGTGTTTCTCCTCCGTCTCCACGTGGTTGTCCCTTCAGATCCATTGGATCCACGTGCTCGTGCGTCAGCTGCTCTCAGCAGTCGCGTCACCTCCCCGGCCGGGGGAACCTGTCCCATGGCAATCCACCGCATGCCCCTCATCGCCGCCTTGCCCCACCTCCCTGGTCGCGGCGCCCTCTGTCCGTTCCCAGCCTGCCAGCCTGCCAGGGTTTGGCTCAGCCGTCCACTTGCGCCGCTCCACTTCATGCGCTATAGCTCGTCGCCTCTTTTCGGTGGCATCGCCGTTTCACTCCCTGCTTTCCCTAGTACCTGTTCATCCCCTCATCCCCCCCTCCCCCCCTCTCCCCTCCCCCCCTTCTCAGATGCTGCGGCTGGGCCTGGCGGAGCAGGGGTTGGGCATGGCGGTGCCCAGCTCCGAGGTGCACTCCTACCTCGCGCATTACGACGCCCTCGCCCCCTACCGGCCAGACACCCTCGCCCCGTACCGCCCGCCAACCTCGGCCACGCCGGACCTGAGCCCGACGGCGGTGCGGCAGCGGTCGGTGAGCGACGAGTTCCTGGGGAGCTCCATCTTCCACCCCTCGTCCTTCGCCACGCTCTTCCAGTCCGACCACCTGCACAACTACCTCTCCGAGGTAAACCGCTGCAACCTCTACTTTCCTTGGGAGCTCCGTCCTCCACCCCAAAGCTACACAACTTCCCGTCCGAGGTGAGCCCCAAAGCCTTCAACGCCCCTCAGGACCAACATGCATGGATTGGTTTGTCCAACCAGCCAACCTGTTGGTTGAGGCTAGCACAAATGTGTGAATCCAGACTTGCCCTCTGGTTGGATGTTAACCTCTGCACCTCAATTGACTTGTGCCCCGGTTGGATATTAACCTCTGCACCTCAATTGACTTGTGCCCAGGTTAGATATTTACCTCTGCACCCCAATTGACTTGTGCCCAGGTTAGATATTTACCTCTGCACCCCAATTGACTTGTGCCCAGGTTAGATATTTACCTCTGCACCCCAATTGACTTGTGCCCAGGTTAGATATTTACCTCTGCACCCCAATTGACTTGTGCCCAGGTTAGATATTTACCTCTGCACCCCAATTGACTTGTGCCGTAGCAGGCTCTGTTCTAACACAGCCGCTGGCCTCGCATGCTACAAGGCCCACACTCATGGGCAGAGGCCCACACTAATGGGCAGAGGCCCACACTCATGGGCAGAAGCCCACACTCATGGGGATGCCGTCCAGCCGGCTTCTCACCTGCGCAAGCCTGCTTCTCTCCCACTCAACTCCTCATTTCATCCCGCTCAACCTCCTAATCTTCCCCGCTCAACCTCCTAATCTTCCCCGCTCAACCTCCTAATCTCCCCCGCTCAACCCGTGCCTCTTCCCCCCATTCCTTGCGTGCTGGCAGGACGGCAGCAGCAGCGCGCCCAACAGCCTGGACAGCAGCTATGGGGGACAGCCCGTGGTGGCAGCTGGGGAGGAGAATGAGGTGAGATGCGGTGAGATGGGGTGAGATGAGGTGAGATGGGGTGAGATGAGGTGAGACGAGGTGAGATGGGGTGAGATGAGGTGAGTAGGGTGGGTGGGGTGAGATGAGGTGTGATGCGGTGAGATGAGGTGAGATGCAGTGAGATGCGGTGAGAGGAGGTGAGGTGACGTGAGGTGACGTGAGGTGAGATGGGATGAGATGCACTGAGCGGAAGTGAGGGATGTGAGTGGGGTGATATGAGGTGTTCAGTGGGGTGTGATGCGATGAGTGGTGGGAGGTGAGGAGCGAGGGAGGTAGCGTTGGAGATGGCAGTGCGCCCAACAGCCTTGATAGAAGCCAGTGCTGGCAGCATGGAAAGCGAATGGGGTCTATTTTTGAGGCGCCTCAAGAATGGGGTGAGGTCGTGAGTGAGATGGGGGCAGAGGGAGGGAGGGAGGGCTTGGTGTGGTCAGCACCTCCTCTGGCTGCGTACTGTCCCGCGCTCCTCCCTCCTCCTCTGCTTCCCTTTCATCCCTGCATCAACTGCTGCATGTGCAAATGCCTCGCCCTCATGACCTGTCCCCTTGCCCTCCCTGCCCCTGTCCCAGCAACCTGCACGGTCACCACAGGAGATTCCACAGCCTGTTTGAGCTGAGCTCTCTTCGCCTTGGCGTTGTTGGTGTGTGTACAGACAAGCACGGTCACCACAGGTGATGCCGTGGCCAGCTTAGCTTGTTGTCAGTGGAGCGCAGCTTTGACTGCCTTCACTCCCGGAGTGGTTTAGGCAAGTGCAGATGAGCATGCAGCACAGTCGCCCCTGCTTGCGCCCACCTGTCCGTAGTTAATAAGCTGTCTGTAATCTAGGTAGCTTCCTGCAGGCATGTTCCAGTGGTACTATGCAGACCATGTCTTCCCTTGGAAGGGACACTGAGTCATCCTGAATAAGCATTTTCACGTGAAGGCTTAGGTTGGAATAGCACAAAATCTTCTGTGAGGGGATGCGCAACGGGTCGTTCCTTCCTTGAATAATCATGGTTCGGCAAAGCGTGCAGCAGTGCGTCATGGCATGGGGGCGTGCAGCGACCGGTGGGCTTCCAGCAGGGCATCCACAGGCAGCACTTGGACAACCCTCCATGGCACCCCATTGGACGTGTGTGGACTCCGTTCCCTGATGGCGCAGCCGTGGCGCTCGGCTGCTCGAATGGCTGAGAGGTCATTGACTTGATGCAGCATGACCATCTGGTGGCACGCATCACATGCACCACACGCAGCACACGCAGAGAGCGCACGCTCAGTCGGGACGCTCAGGCAGAGAGAGAGCCACGGCATGGGTGTGGGCGCACTGAGCAAGCTCCATGTCTCCCTGCTGATCATAGGCCTCCATGTTTGCATGCAAAACAACTCAAGGTTGCGACCTGGAAGTGGCCCACAAGCTGCAGTGCTGCCGACGAGTTGCTGCCCTCGCACCCCTACACACCCAGGCCCACACACCCACGCCCACACACCCACGCCCACACATCCACGCCCACACACCCACGCCCACACATCCACGCCCACACACCCACGCCCACACACCCACGCCCACCCACCCACGCCCACACACCCACGCCCACACATCCATGCCCACACACCCACGCCCACACACCCACACCCACGCACCCACGCCCACACATCCACGCCCACACACCCACGCCCACACATCCACACCCACACACCCACGCCCACACACCCACGCCCACACACCCACGCCCACACATCCACGCCCACACATCCACGCCCACACATCCACGCCCACACATCCACGCCCACACACCCACGCCCACACACCCACGCCCACACATCCACGCCCACACATCCACGCCCACGCACCCACGCCCACACACCCACGCCCACACATCCACGCCCACACATCCGCCACACATCCACGCCCACACATCCACGCCCACACATCCACGCCCACACATCCACACGCCCACACACCCACGCCCACACAGCCACGCCCACACATCCACGCCCACACATCCACGCCCACACATCCTCGCCCACACATCCACGCCCACACACCCACGCCCACACACCCACGCCCACACATCCACGCCCACACATCCGCCACACATCCACGCCCACACATCCACGCCCACACATCCACGCCCACACATCCACACCCACGCACCCACGCCCACACATCCACGACCACACACCCACGCCCACACATCCACACCCACACACCCACGCCCACACACCCACGCCCACACACCCACGCCCACACATCCACGCCCACACATCCACGCCCACACATCCACGCCCACACATCCACGCCCACACACCCACGCCCACACACCCACGCCCACACATCCACGCCCACACATCCACGCCCACGCACCCACGCCCACACACCCACGCCCACACATCCACGCCCACACATCCGCCACACATCCACGCCCACACATCCACGCCCACACATCCACGCCCACACATCCACACGCCCACACACCCACGCCCACACAGCCACGCCCACACATCCACGCCCACACATCCACGCCCACACATCCTCGCCCACACATCCACGCCCACACACCCACGCCCACACATCCACGCCCACACATCCACACGCCCACACACCCACGCCCACACATCCACGCCCACACATCCACGCCCACACACCCACGCCCACACACCCACGCCCACACACCCACGCCCACACATCCACGCCCACACACCCACGCCCACGCACCCACGCCCACACACCCACGCCCACACATCCACGCCCACACATCCACACCCACAAATCCACGCCCACACATCCACGCCCACACATCCTCGCACCTCTCACCCTCGCACCTCTCACCGTACCTTGGGTCTTTGCCTGGCAGCCATTGCCATCACCAGCGCCAGCAGCCTCTGCTCCTCCGCATCCATCTCAACCGCTTTGGACTCCTTTTCGCCCATCCCACCCCCGCTGGCCTCATTTCCATCCTTCACACGTCCCCCCGCGTTCACGCTCATCAGCCCCTCCTCCCCATCGCCCCCTCCCCTGCTGCCATGTGCGGCAGCAGCAGGACCACTGCCAGTGGGGCCCACCGTTGCTGGCAGCACAGAGGCGACTACTCCTGCCCCTGCAGCACTTGCACCTACACCCGCTGCTCCTCCTTGGCTTAGCCTTGCATCCTCCCCCCTTGCACCACTCACTGCCGTCACTCCACATACAATCTGCAAACCAAGAGTGTCACGCCCTGCCTCCTCACCCTCACTCCTCTCCCTCTCTGCCTCCTCACCCTCCCTCTCTGCCTCATCTCCCCCACTCCCCTCCCTCTCTGACTCCTCACCCTCACTCCTCCTCTCCGACTCCTCACCCTCCATCACCACAACCACCTCCACCTCCTCCTCCTCCTCCTCCTCCTCCTCCTCCTCCTCCTCCTCCTCCTCCTCCTCCTCCTCCTCCTCCTCCTCCTCCTCCTCCTCCTCCTCCTCCTCCTCCTCCTCCTCCTCCTCCTCCTCCTCCTCCTCCTCCTCCTCCTCCTCCTCCTCCTCCTCCTCCTCCTCCTCCTCCTCCTCCTCCTCCTCCTCCTCCTCCTCCTCCTCCTCCACCTCACTCCCCAGATCAGCAGCACTTCTCTTCCTCTCACCCTTTCCCTCCGTCCTTCTCCCTACCCTCCTCCCCCCCTCGCCCCACGCCATGCTGCTCTCGCACACCTGCACCCCCCCTCGCTCGCACACCATGCGCCTCACCCGGCGCTGCACCTCCCGCTGCTCCGCCTCCCACACCCCCCCCCTCGCACCCTGCTGCCATGGCTCCGCACTCACCTCGCCCCCCCTGCCAGCGCACGCGGGAGCGCAGCATGGACGGGACGACCAGGGCAGCGAGGCGGCGGACAGAGAGGCGTCGTGGAGAGAGACGTCAGGCAGGGAGGTGGCGGGCAGAGAGGCGTCGGGCGGGGAGGCGGCGGGCAGAGGCGGCAGCAGGCGGGCAAAGAGGAGGAGCGCTGCTTCGGACCCACTGGCTGCTGCTGGGATGACGTGGGTGCCGGTGTCTGGGGGAGGGACAGTGGGGCGTGAGGAGGAGGGGGGAATAGTGCACAAGAGGATGGACGGATGTGTAGGAGAGGATATATGGAGGCAGTGACAGCACGGGAGGGTGAAGAGAGGAGGCCGCGTGGGGAAACGAGGCAGGTAGGGAGCAATGTACGGATTGGGAGACGGAGAAAGCGAAGAAGAAAGGGCAGGCAGGATGGGTGGGCAGCAAGGAACACATGCGTTGAAGACTGGACGCGACGGGCAGGCAAGAAAGCGAGGCACAGGATGAGAGGAAGGAAGAAACAGCAGAGAGGGGTTGGTTGGGGGGGAGGGGGGGAGTGAGGGGTGGGAGGGATAGTGTGGGAGAGCAAGAGAAGGCAAGAAGGCAGAAAATTAGATAGGGGGAGCAACCAGGCACAACAAAGTCGAGCGGAGGGATGGGGATGGCAAGTGGAGACAACCAAGGGAGGTGGGGTGGTCACCTAAAGAGCACAACAAGCGGCTGACATGCACGCCGTGCCTGTCAGTGTAGCACCCACACGCACCACACGCCCTGCGCTCTCTCCACCTGCTGAACTCACTGCCACTCTCCCGGTGCAGGAAGGCAAACGCATGCCCCTCTTCCCCCTCTTGCCCGTCTCGCCCCTCTCGCCCGCACTCCTCCGCATCACCTGGCCTCGCTGCCCACTCCTCCGCATCATCCGGCCTCGCTGCCCACTCCTCCGCATCACCCGGCCTCGCTGCCCGCTCCTCCGCCTCATCCCAACCACCTTGCTCATCGCCTTTCAGCCTGCCATCTCCCCTCACTCCTCCCTCCCTCATCACTGCACCGCTCAACTCACTGCCCTCCGTGCTCCCTCCCACCTCTCTCACACTCCTTTCTGTGTCCCCATCCATCCCATCACTCCCATCACGCCCATCACTCCCATCACGCCCATCCATCCCATCACTCCCATCACGCCCATCCATCCCATCACTCCCATCACGCCCATCCATCCCATCACTCCCATCATGCCCATCCATCCCATCACTCCCATCACGCCCATCCATCCCATCACTCCCATCACGCCCATCACTCCCATCACTCCCATCACTCCCATCCATCCCCCTGTCACTCTCACCAATCTCCATATCCCCCGCTTCCACGCCCCAACCACTCACTCCGTTACGCGCGCCACTTCGACCATCCCCTCTCATCTCCCCCCAAGAACAGCGCACCGCTTCCCTCTTCTCCCCACACCCCTCCTCCCCACACCCCTCCTCCCCACACTCCTCTCCCACTTGCTCCAGTTCATCAACCCTTCCCCCCTTGCTTTCAAGTCCTGCCCTTTGAGCCCTTTCCTCCCGCTCTTCATCCTCCTCGCGTCTCTCGTCTTCCTTTTTCATTCCCCACGCTTCCTCCTGAATCTGCCCCCCTGACTGCTGTCCCCCTGACTGCTGCCCCCCTGACTGCTGCCCCCCTGACTGCTGCCCCCCGAACTCGTGCTCTCCTAACTGGTGTCTCCCATGCATGTACCCCCCACGTTCCACGCTCTCCCCGGCCCCACACCCATGTGCTGGCAGCAGCACGGCAGAGGCGCACACATGCAGGGGCCTCTGCTGCCCCACCCCCTGCTGCCCCGCCCCCTGCTGCCCCACCCCCTGCCGCCTGCCGTGCCTGTGGGTCTCACGCTCCAAGTGCTCCCCTTGCTCACACGCATGTGTCGTTTGGGCACAGGGGCATACAGGCAGCAGAGCCACAGAGTGCACTGCTGTTAGCTGGGACAGGACGGGGGGAAGAGAGGGGTGGTTGATACGGTGATTGAAAAAAGGGATGTGGCAATGGAAGAATGGACATAAATAGAACAGATATCCCACTACCATGTGGGCCAGCCACCAGGGCCATCACCACCCAGCAGCACCATCACCACCCCGCAGCACCATCACCACCCAGCAGCACCATCACCACCCAGCAGCACCATCACCACCCCGCAGCACCATCACCACCCCGCAGCGCCATCACCACCCAGCAGCACCATCACCACCCAGCAGCACCATCACCACCCCGCAGCACCATCACCACCCAGCAGCACCATCACCACCCCGCAGCGCCATCACCACCCAGCACAGCCCAAGCACTATCGCCGTCCGTATCTCACCGAGCATCGAATGCGCACCCTCTCTCCATCTCCTGCCAGCTCTTCTCCACTCATACTCATACCGCCTCTCCACCCCCGCTCCTGCCATCCTGCTGCTGCTTCTCCTCGCGCTCCTCTCACTCCCATCCCTTCTTCGCCATGAGCCCCATCCGCCCCCCCCCCTCCCTGTGCCAACCTGCCCTCTCCGTTTCCCCTGTCCTCCCTCGTGCACCCTCCTCTTGCCGATGCCTCTCCCCTTCCTCGCATGCCACCATGCTCTCTCTCCTCCACCCCCGCCTCTCTTCTCCCACCCCTCCTCTCTGCACCACTCCCCCTCAGCCGCCCGCCTGCCTCTGCTGCAGCACGCAGGTGTGCCGCGCCCGTGGATGCCCCACCCACGAGTGCACCACCCGTGGAAGCAGCAGGCATGGGAGCACGGCCCATGGGCCACAGCACGGGTGCAGCCGCAAGAGAGTGATGTGGCGCGGGCCAGGGAGGGGCGGGTGGTGCTGGCGAAGCATGCTTAACACGTGGCAGCGGGGGATGAGGGGGCGGGGGAGCAGCAGCAGCAGCGGCATTAGCGGCAGCAGGGGGAGGAGGGGCGAGCGGGAGCAGGAGCATCTGGGAGCAAGCCACCATGCGCACGCGCACCACATGTCCGGACTGCGTGCTCTCAGAGCGCCTGCTACCCGCTGCCCCATCGTTTGCTGCGGCAGCAGGTGGTGCAATCCCTCGGGTGGGCAGCCCGCCAGGCACGTGGCAGATGGCAAGGTCGTCTGAGCTGGGTGGCAGTGGGCGCAGAGAGCAGATGGAGCAGCAAACAGCATAGCGAACAGCACCCAGTTGTGTGCAGATATTGAGTTAAAGTAGCGATTCCAAGCCAGCGGACCAGACAGCGAGACAGTACAGGTGCCACAGTGAATGCAAGCGATCTGGAGTGGACGACAGACAGCTGTGGTGGAACCCTCAAAGGAAGTAGGCATGGCACTGGATGCAACTGATGAGGATGGGATGAGAGGGGAAGAGGCCGCACGGGTCATGTGGGCATAACGATTACCTGACAGCGGTGGCGGATGGCGCGGGCAGCAGCAGGGCGTGGCGGAGAGAGAAAGAGGCGCCCACGCCAAGACTCTCAGGGATGGGGCAGGGGGGTAGGGTGGTGGGGCGGATGAGGGGGTGCGCGTACAAGAACACATGCACCTGCCGCCCGCTCGCCATGTGCTGCGCACACACCACGCCCCACCTCTCCTCGTCGTTCGACCCACATCCCCTGTCACGCTGGCAGGTCGCTGGCAGCTTGGCGCGCTGCCCTGCAGCAGCTGACGCTAGGTTGGCTCCCTCATCCCCTCCCTGCTTGCTGTTGTGAACCCAGCTCAGGTACTGCTGCTGCTGCTGCTGCTGCTGCTGCTGCTGCTGCTGCTGCCATTGATGCTGCTGCTGCTGCTGCTGCTGCTGCCGTTGATGCTGCTGCTGCTGCTGCTGCTTCCACTGCTGCTGTGGTTGATGGTGATGGCTGGAGAACGACGAAGGCATGGCGGCATGGGGGTGAGGGGGCATGGCGGCATGGGGGTGAAGGGGCATGGCGGCATGGGGGCGAGGGGGCATGGCGGCATGGGGGTGAGGGGGCATGGCGGCATGGGGGCGAGGGGGCATGGGGGCATGGGGGTGAGGGGGCATGGCGGCATGGGGGCGAGGGGGCATGGGGGCATGGGGTTGAGGGGGCATGGCGGCATGGGGTTGAGGGGGCGTGGCGGCATGGGGGTGAGAGGGCGTGGCGGCATGGGGGTGAGGCGGCATGGCGGCATGGGGGTGAGGGGGCGTGGCGGCATGGGGGTGAGGGGGCGTGGCGGCATGGGGGTGAGGCGGCATGGCGGCATGGGGGTGAGGGGGCGTTGAGCGCGGAACGAGGGAGGCAGTGACGAGCAGCCCGTCCAGCGACACCACTCGCCCGGCCGCCATGGGCGCGCACAGCATTCCGCGCACCTGCGCTCTCCGCCACCCCTCGCTCTCGCCGCTGCTGCTGCTGCTGCTCCCACTGCCACCGCGATGGCCACCGCTACCGCGAGCGTGATCGTACGCGTTGCGGGTGTCGGGGCGGCGAGCACTGCTGTCAGCCATGGGAGTGGATCGGCCTAGACGGAGCCGTGTGGCGACTGCGGGCAACACACGGCGGGGTGGCGTTCATTCTGATCGCTTCTCGCCGTCGCACAAGTCGCAATCGCTCGCATCCGCCGCTCGCGCAATCAGCCTGGCACTCCGGGCTCCATGGTGCCTCGCACACCGCCTAGGAGCACGATGATCGTGCGAGTCCATCCACGAGCAACAAAGGTTCAAGCTACAGTAGCGGGCTTGGCGGGGTGAGACCCGAATGGCTGGCTTGACCCGACGATGACTACTCGTGGAGAGTACGACGCAGAAGCATTTCGGCGGGGGAAAGCCGTCAAGAGTTCCGCTAGTGAATCGTGGAATTAGTGAGATACGAGCTTCAACGAAATGTCGGCGAATCTCATTTGCCTCTTCCCTGCATCTCACCGCGCTAGTGAGTTACTCTGACCCGAATCTGGCACACAATGGGAATGGGAAATTCGAGAAGCGGGGAAGAACAGAAAGAGCGAGGGGGAAAAGGCCAAAGAAGGACTGGGAATGGTCTCGTTACCCGAGCCTGCGAGGGAAACTTCCGCCGCGAACTCAGCCTCGCTATCCCTCTCCACCGCTGGGAGCGGAGAGATTCCGCTGCTCGAAATCCCAACCTTACGCGTTTGCCCCTTCTCTCACCACCATGTCACCCACCCTTACGGGCGTAGGGTCTCCCAGGTCTGCAACAATCCCAATCATGGGCCCCCGCTCGGGTTACAGACTAGCGCGACTTCGTCCAGCAATTTGCAAGGTCAACTTTTGACAATATGGAAAACATTTACTGTATTATTGTGCTTTTATTTTGTGGGGCAACTTGCTCGTCGTTCTCTATGTTTGTTTCTTCCACGATTGACGAGACGACATGCGCAGACACTCCGCAAAAGGCTCATCTACAAGATGCTCCGAGTGTACTACGAAGGTACACCACACAGGTGTTGTCATAGTTTTTTCAAGAATCCCCACGACCCGTAGGAGACTGCCTTGCCTTGTCCCAAGGTAGCTCTCTTACAACTGAATTAATTGAGTTAGGAACCTGTGTACAATGAAATCTATCTAAGGGTTCTACCCTCTAAGAGGTGACCCTTGTCAAACATGTCTATTTGTTATGTCTGTATAGACTGTATAGGGTAGCCTCTTAGAGGGTACAACACTTAGCTATATTGTGTGTACTCTCCCTCTATCACTATTATTCAATTTTCTGATATGGTATCACGCGTAGGTAGGATCCCCCCCCCCACCTACCGCTTCCGCTCATGCCCCCTAGCGCCCCTCCTGGGCCCCGTCGCGCTCCTCCCAGGCCCCATCGCGCTCCTCCCAGGCCCCGTAGCGCCCCTCCTAGGCCTCGTAGCGCCCCTCCTGGGCCCCGTCGCGCCCCTCCCAGGCCCTCTAGCGCCCCTCCTGGGCCCCGTCGCGCTCCTCCCAGGCCCCGTAGCGCCCCGTCGCGCCCCTCCTGGGCCCCGTAGCGCCCCTCCTGGGCCTCGTCGCGCCCCTCCTGGGCTTCGTAGCGCCCCTCCTGGGCCCTGTAACGCCCTCCCAGGCCCCGTCGCGCCCCTCCCAGGCCCCGTCGCGCTCCTCCCATGCCCCCTAGCGCCCCTCCTGGGCCCCGTCGCGCTCCTCCCAGGCCTCGTCGCGCCCCTCCTGGGCTCTGTCGCGCCCCTCTTGGGCCCCGTCGCGCTCCTTCCAGGCCCCGTAGCGCCCCTCCTGGGCTCTGTCGCGCCCCTCCTGGGCTCCGTAGCGCCCCTCCTGGGCCCCGTTGCGCCCCTCCTGGGCCCCGTAGCGCCCCTCCTGGGCCCCGTCGCGCCCTCCTTGGGCCCTGTAGCGCCCCTCCTGGGCCCCGTCGCGCCCCTCCCAGGCCCCGTCGCGCCCCTCCCAGGCCCCGTAGCGCCCCTCCTGGGCCTCGTCGCGCCTCTCCTGGGCCCCCCCGTTGTGCCCCTCCTGGGCCCCGTAGCGCCCCTCCTGGGCCGCGTCGTCCCCGTCGCGCCCGCCCGGCGCCGTCGCACCCTGCCCGGCCCGTCGCGCTCGCCCGGCCCCGTCGCAGCCGCCCGGCCCCGTCGCACCCGCCCGGCCCCGTCGCACCCTGCCCGGCCTCGTCATAGCCGCCCGGCCCCGTCGCACCAGCCCGGCCGCTGTCCCGCTCGCCAGGCCCCGTTGCACCGGGCCGGCCCTGCCGCACTCGCCGGGCCCCGTCGCCCCAGCCCGGCCCCGTCGCGCCCGCTCGGCCCCGTCGCCCTGTCCCGGCCCTGTCGCATCAGCCCGGCCCCGTCGGGCCAGCCCCAGCCCCGTCCTCCTCACTGGTACGGTCCCCCCTCCCCCCCCCCCCCCCCCCCCCCACCCCGCCCTGCTCCGTGCCGCCCTGCACCGCACTGTACCGCACTGTACCGCGATGCACCACACTGTACCGCACAGTACCGCACTGCACCGCATTGCACCGCACTGTACCGCATAGTACCGCACTGCACCGCACTGTATCGCACTGCACCGCACTGCACCGCCCTGCACAGCACTGGACTGTTCCTGATGGCGGCGGAGCTTCGCTTCGACGCTGAAGGTCAGCCCCTAGAGTTCGAGGCGTGGCTTGCCGACCTCCGCCGCCAACTCACTGGCCAGCGGCAGGATGGTGAACCGCTTTCCGCACACCTTGACGGTACGCTCCCCTGCCCAGACCCTCCTGCTATTCTGCTCGCTGACCCCACACCCACTGAGCGTGAGTCTACTGCTGCCACTGCCCGTGCGCGCTCTGTCTGGCTTTCTCGCGATGCTGTCGCCTAGCTTGTCATTAGCAACGCCCTCCCCCCGTCCGAGCGTCCTCGCTTTAGGTCCCTCACTACTGCTCAGGCATACTTAGATGCTGTCATCAAGCGCTATTCCACCCCTCCGGCTGCCTCGGTGGGTCGCCTGATCCTCCCGCTGCTCTTTCCTGACCTTGCTTCGTTCCCCACTGTCTCTGACCTCGCTGCCCACCTGCGCTCGATAGAGGAGACCTGGCGCGCCGCCTGCACTGACGCACAGCTTAGAGCCCACCAGCCGCCCATTACCTCTACCCTCTACCTGCTTGCCACCCGCCTCCCTGACCGCCTTGCTGTCGCCCGCGGCCGCTTCCTTAGTGTTCACCCCGCAGACCTCACCCTCACTGACTTTGTCGACACCCTGACTGTGATAGAGACCCGTCACCGCTCCATCGCCCAGGCGAGCGGTGTCGTGCCGGTCCCTATCTTTCAGGGTTGTGCCCCTGCTCAGTGTACCTTCTCCGACGGCTCTGCCGCAGTGGCTGAGACTGCTGCTGCAGCGCAGGCCCGTTCGGGGAAGGGCCGCCGCCCCAAGGCTGGGCGCGGCGGAGGGGGCGGCGGGGGTGCGGGCAGGGGTAGTGGTGGGGTCGGGTCGCCTGGTGCTGGAGCGGACGAGGGGACCCTGCCCAGTCCAGCTGAGTCGCCGCCCCTGCAGTTGCAGCAGCCGCAGCAGCCGTCGCAGACGCGGCAGACGAGTGTTCTCCCGCCAGGGTGGCCCGGCGCTGGCGGTGGACGGGCGCGTGGTGGTGTGCCGCGAGGTGGCTCTTCCGGCGGGCGTTGTCAGTACCAGATCCAGACCGGTCCTCGCCGCGGTTTCGTTTGCGGTAAGATCGGTCACTCCACTCCCCGCTGCTTTCGTCGCCTGGACGACCTCTTTCGTCAGCGTTTCGGCCCGTCGCCAGACCTCCCGGACTGGCACAGTTTGCTTAGTCGTCAGATTCAGATATTTGATATGGACATGGATGCCATTGTTTCTGCTCTGCATGTGATGTATGCTGATGACTCTAGTGTGCTTCCGACTTATTACTCACTGTTGCCTAGTGTAGGTGTGCCTAGCTTAGCCCCCCCTGCTGCGTCAGGCGTAGGATCCCCTGCTTTGTGTAGTCTTGGTGCTTCTGCCGTCGTTCCGTCGCCAGACCCCTCGGCTTTGCTTTCCTTCACCTTGGACTCTGGCGCCTCTCGGTGTTTCTTCCGCGACTCCACCACCCTGACGCCGCTTCCTGTTCCTGCTGCCGTTTCTCTTGCTGACCCCTCCGGCGGTCCGGTAGTCGCCCGCAGTTCCACCACCCTTCCCTGCCCGGCGGTTCCTTCGGGCTCTCTTACAGGTCTGCATATCCCCTCGTTCTCCAGGAACCTAGTTGGTGTCGGCTGCCTCTAGGACCTTGGCGTCACCACTACGTTCCCTGGTCACGAGCGGTATGCTGTCTGTACCGAGGCCGCCACTGGTGCCCCCCTGTCCACGTTCCCCCGGGACCCGGTGTCCGGCCTGTTCACTCTGGACACCGTGCCCCCCCCGGCTGGAGCGCCCCCTCAGGTGGCTGTGTCTACCCAGGTTGCTGCTGCCTGCTCCTGTCGCTCCCTCACTCACCCGACCCTCCTGTGGCACCACCGCCTAGGTCACCCTGCGCTCCCGCGTCTGCGTCACATGTCCCAGCACGGTCTTGTCCTTGGTCTCCCAGGTTCACTCCCCGCGTTTCCCTCCTCCCCAGCTCCACCTTGCACGCCTTGTGTCGAGGGTCTGCTTCGCTGTGCCCCTCACTCCTCCTCGTTCCCCCCTACCGTCGCGCCGCTGCAGACCCTGCACCTGGACGTCTGGGGCCCCGCCCCCGTCCCTGGGCCGCGTCGCGAGCGCTACTTCCTTGTGCTTGTCGACGACTTCACTCGTTACACCACAGTCTTTCCCCTGGAGCGCAAGGCCGACGTGCCTGGCGCCCTCATCCCCTGGCTTGTCTCTGCGCGTGTCCACCGCGGTCTCCCTGTCTTGCGTCTTCACTCAGACCGTGGTGGCGAGTTTGCCTCAGGTGTCCTTGGTCGCTATTGTCGTGCGGAGGGCATCACCCAGACGTTCACCCTACCGGACTCCCCACAGCAGAATGGGGTCGCTGAGCGACGCATCGGCTTGGTCATGGAGGTCGCTCGCACCTCCATGGTCCATGCCGGTGCACCCCATTTTCTGTGGCCGTTCGCTGTGCGCTACGCTTCTCACCAGCTTAACCTGTGGCCGCACCCTCAGCAGCCGCAGGTTTCGCCGACCCGTCTGTGGACTGGGTCTCCTGGTGACGCGTCTGCGTTCCACGTCTGGGGCTGCCTTGCTCACGTCCGTGCCTCCGGCACGGACAAGCTCACTGCCCGCACCCTTCCCTGCGTCTTCCTCGGTTTTCCCCTTGACGCGTCCGACTGGCACTTTTACCACCCGCCGTCTCACCGCTTCTTTCACTCTCGTGACGTCACCTTTGACGAGTCCGTCTCCTACTACCGCCGCTTCCCCCACCGTGGTCCCCCGGTTACTCCCCCCCTGTTCCTGGTCACCCCTTCCCCGGTAGTCCCTGCCCCTCCTCCTCCTCCTCCCCGTCCCGCCCCCTCTGGTGTCTCCCATGTCACCCCCCTTCCGTCCGTGAACCCGGTTGAGGAGTCTTCTGACTCTGGTGGCCCTCCGGTGCAGTCCTCGCCGGCCGCCCCTCCCCAGGTGCCCCCTCCCCAGTCCCCTCCTCCGCCGTCCCTACCGCCA